ACTATACATTAAAATATGTCAATATATGCTTCATGGAGGTTTTGGCGGAATACTTGGGGCATATAATGGCTTTGACAGCTTAAGAAAGGGTTCCTTCGGGTATTTTAAGGACATATTTCTCACCCACCTTTCCAGTTATACATACAATTTTGGTGTCAATGGGTTCAGCTCAGAAAGATGCAGAAGACATCGTCGCCCGATTCTTAATATTCGCGTGGGTGCGCGAGAAACTTGGAAATATTGAAAGACGCGCCTGGAAACTTCGCCATATAAACACGGGCAAAAACCCCGGAAACTTGTATGGTACCACCAAATTCCCAGCTCAGACGTTCCCCAAAAAAGGTGTGTCAGCATCGCTGGAAACAGCAGGCGGTGGATGGCCAAATTCACCGCCTTTTTGGGGGCGGCTGAGGTAACTGAGGTAACGTTCGGCCAGTCACGGGCGCACGTGCGCGGCCAGTATCAGTTGTTTACCTCTTAACTGTTAACGTTAGTCTCTGTCTACTCGAGTCATGCAACTCAACTTTTTTATATAAAAATAAATTACCTCTTTCACTCTCTCTATGTCACTAGTATATACTCTATCCAAGAGCCCCAAATACTAAACCAGCCACTTAAACTCTCCCTTGCTAGCATACCTTCAAGTTCGTATCCTTGCAGGACCCAGGATCGAGGCATCTGCAGCCAGGCGATCCCAGCCCCGCACCGTCGCTCGCGCCTACAGTACGTGCATGGTGATTCGTGGCCAAGTTGCACACACTCTACGTACATGCATGAGGTTAGGATCAGGTGGTTGATATGACGAATAGTTTCATATTTATAACTATATTTATCCGGTCTTTATGTTGGAGTCAGGTTTGGTATGTGTACAGTTGAACGTGGAAAGATATATACCGCCGAGAACCGCGCGAGCCATCACTAGTATGGCATCTAATATAGTGGGGAACTCGAGTGAGAACAAGTCTCATAGCATTATTCATACTAATTTGTAGAACTAAATAACAAACGCCAGACACCCTCAAGCGGTCAGGGATGACATGCAGCCTAATCATCGCATCATGGTATCATCGCGGGCACCTAGGACATGCTCATCGCCGCCCGACGAATACTGCGGCGAGGACCTTCACCAAACACATTCACAGAGCCCTCCGTCTCCAGGGCGCGCACCACATCAGTGAATTGGTTGTGGTCGAGCTTGTTGTCGCTCTGTTCGCTAATGTCCCGGAAGAGGTCCGTCCAGCGAACGGAGCCACCAGTCACACCACCTCGCTCGTCGAGGCGGGACAGTACGGCCTTCTTCAGGTCCTCGCGTAGACGGCGGTCGGCAGAACTGGTACCCTCAGTCAAGAGACCCATGTCGATGAGACCGGTGCGGGCATCGGTGGCCGCTTGCTTGATGGCGGAGCGGATGAGGCGGACGGCCTCCTCGACATCACCGGCGGTGACTTCCGGAGACAGGCGCATGCGGGCGTGGGCTTCGGACAATCGAATCATGGACTCTAGTTGACGCGTGGTGGCGGTGATACGGCGCTCTTGGGCACGGATATCGTCACCCAGCTGGCGCATAGCAACGTAGGCCTCGACGAGAGCAGAACCGGCGGCAGGGGTGATCACGGGGTGGCAGTTGGTCTTGGCATATGTAATGTAGGCTGTAAGGAATTCGACGGGCTATATAGAGTATTAGAGGGTTGAGTCATGGATGGGACGGAAAGTCAACTTACCAAAATCTCCTCAGAGCTGGCGTTTTCGGGGTTGTCCTCCAGATACATGCCAACCAAGTGCTTGGCTAGGCGACGATCTTCCGTCTCATCCACGCGGTCAAGGACCAGGTACACCAAGTCGAAACGAGAAAGCAGAGTAGGCGGTAGATCGATATTCTGAGGGACAGCGAGTTTAGGGTTGTACCTACTGCCGATGGGATTGGCAGAGGCCAGGATGGATGTTCGGGCGTTTAAGGTAGTAATAATACCGGCTTTGGCGATAGACACGGTCTGCTGTTCCATGACTTCGTGAAGGACGGACCGCGTGGCCTCGTTCATCTTGTCAAACTCATCAATACAGCAAACACCACCATCAGACAGAACCAAAGCACCGGATTCCAGAACCATTTGACGGGTCTCAGGGTCACGGGTGACATAGGCAGTCAGACCGACAGCCGAAGAACCCTTACCACTGGTGTAGACACCACGTGGGGCAATCTTATGAACGTAGCGCAGCAGCTGCGACTTGGATGTCGAAGGGTCACCGCAGAGAAGCACGTTAATGTCGCCACGGTAGCGCGGGTTACCTCCCTTTTGGAAGGTCTTGTTTGTACCTCCGAACATTTGGAGTAGAATACCCTTCTTCACGTCATCCATTTCGTAGACACTGGGAGCCAGAGAACGAGACAGAAGCTCGTAAATATCGGGACGGGACGCGGTTCTCTTGATCTTTGCTTCTTCTTCAGCTGAGATATGGCGACCCTGCTCGGCATCGGCTGCCTGCTCAGACATCTCTTGTTCAACAGTGGACATGTCAATGCCCATCTTCTTACGGTCAACCTTTTGCACGTGAAGAACATCGATATAGGTCTTGAAGAGGGCTTTCTGAGATCTCTGGCGAGCACTGACGCGCATAGGGTTGCAGCGGAAGATACCAGTGACCTCCACACGATCACCAGCTTTGCAGATGTCAACCAACTCATCGTAGACACATAGAGACACTGAATGAGGAGTCTGTCCATCGGGGATGTTGTCTGGGGTCTCCTGAAGCTTGATGACTTGCTTGTCGGAGAATGAACAACGGTTATGAAGGAGCTGCATGGAGTTCTTCTCCTTACAGGAGTCGCGCGGGCAGACCGTGGGCTCGGTAATCTTGCCACGGTCAATGTCGACTTGAACACCATAGCTACAGGCGCTGCAGCGGAAGAAAGCCTCTTTCATGTCAGGGATAATGGGAGTAGCACGAATGACCAAACCCTTGATGCTGACCAGCTTGTCCATATCAGCAGGGTCGAGATCTCGCATGTTCACAGTCTCATCCAAGCCAAAGGGAAGCACCTTGAAGGTCATTGCCTCTACTTCGCCGACCAGATCAGGCACATCTGCAGTTGGCACAACACCGTCCGAGGTGAGGATAGACTGGCCTCGTCGGTCACGGCCATGAGCTCCCCGCTGAGCCTCTGTTCGCAGAACATCCATCTCCTTAAGGGCCAAATCGACCATGACATCCTTCACAGTCTGATCCATCAGTGGGATGATTTCTTGTGGGTATGCAGCAAGCTGGTGCCATAACTTGCGAGTCAGAGGGTATGCCTTGAGGTTTGCAATATCGAGGTTAAAGGTCGTCACACCAAGTCGTCGGAGGTCGTTCAGCATGGTGATATACTCGCGTCTCTCAGCTGCCCCACCCATAATTCTGGTCTCATCTTCAGTTGCGCCGTCAGCCCAAAGACGGTACTTTGTGGCGAAATTATACAAGAAGTTCTTAAATGCTGACATGGAATCCTGGATCGAGATGTTGGTACCCCAGATCACACGGGTCGAGTTACCAGCCATGGCCTCGGCCTCGGAAGTGCCGGGGTTAATATTCGAGAAAGTGGCATCGGAGCGGGGGAGAGGTTCGCCTGCCGCAGGCATTCCATTGCCATCGACAAACAGACGATTGCGGCGAGTGGGAGTAGATCCAAAGCCACCAGAGTGCAAATCACTGCGACGAGGAGCTCCACGTCGGCCCTGACCTCCCGGAGACACAAACAACCCACTGCTGGTGCTCACGGCATCGGAGCGAATGTCTGAGCGAATATCTGATCGGCCGAAGCCGCGGGTTGGGCTGGAACTTGGGATGTAATTAATTGGGGAAGAGTCTGATAAGGGTTAGCAATTTGATGACCAAACGAGAAAGACTGGTGCGGCATAAAAATTTCATACCTCTCACACCCGTATTTCCTCGCGGGGTTCTTTCTCCATCGTCCACCGTTGAGCTGGCATCTGCCATCCGCTCATCAGGAGTCTCAGCATTGTTGTTTCCCTTGGTAGGGGATGATTGGAAGAAAATTGGTGATGAAGAAGGGGCGACACCTTCGGCCATTAGCCGTCTCGAAGCACGGGGGGTGGCTTGAAAAGTTGGACTGCTAGGGGGCTCCTGTCTAGATGAAGAAGTAGGCGACGAAGCATTTTTGGAGGAACGACCCCTCCGTCGTTGTGCTGGTGACGACATCGCGGGTATGAATTCAGGCGTTGGTGGATGGTGATGGTTGGGTAAGGGAAGAAAGGGAGAGCAAAAAGCTGTGGGCGGAACGCGCTTTCTGCCGACGCGATGGGCGCGTTAAGTGGTTTCCCGATTGGGACGACGTGTGCTTGTGTCCCAGCCACATCACCTGATGGTAACACGTGATGTGTTTACCTTGGTGTGGCTGACGTATCTTCACTCGTTTCTGCACCGCCACCCCCGAAGCCGCACCACCAATCACCGCTCTTGCCCTGGTAGCTTCATTGTAGATGTGACTGAGACCTCATTTGTTACTACCCGAGTATGTACTTTCCCCTAATTGTGGCGTTTGGGTTGCACAAAGCAGGCTTGCTTCTTCGCTTTGATCCAATCTCCCTGCAGCCGCTGTGACTTGTTTGGCTGTTTCACCTAGCGCCTGATGTCATTCTATTTCCGATCGGCGCTTTCACGATCCCTCCAATCCCTGTTCGCCATCCCGAATTCTTGAACCCAAGCTCAATCTTCACGCCACTCGTGTCATTGTTGAACAGTAAATACGACATCCTGTCTGGCTCTTCAAACCCCACTACTGATCCCACCGGCGCCTTGTTAGTCCCTTCAGGTGGATTCCCTTTGTTATTTTTTTCCCTTATCAGCTCTTGTGGAAATTTCCTAGCCGACAGGATATTGCTCTCTTAACATCTCCGGAAAACTCGTTATGCTACTTGCAGTGAACTCTTCTGAACCCCCTTCAGTGTCCTAACTGCCCTTGCTCTACCTTTGTTTGATCGGCACTACCCGAGCTGATCGTCATGGTCTCGGGTTTGGAAGAAGCGCTGGAGCACAGTGGTGGTGGCCATGGCCGAACGGCAGAGGGTGTCTCGATTTCAACCTTCTTGGCCTCGCTGGCGACGGCCATTGTGGTTTTTGTTGTCGAATTCTTGCTCTTCCTCCTGCTAAAAGGCAAACTTACTCGCATATAGTAAGTACAACCATCCCCAACGAAAGGAAGCTTGCTCACCGAAATCTGTGTCCAGCCAACCTCGAACCTATTTGGTACCAGATAGAGAACGGACCAAACCATCTCCACCAGGCCTATTTCACTGGGTTGGCCCTGTCTTCCGTACCTCCAGTTCCGAATTTATCCAGAAATGTGGGCTAGATGCATACTTCTTCCTGCGCTATCTGCGTATGCTGCTGAAGATCTTCCTCCCCCTGGGATTTCTGATTCTGCCAGTTCTACTTCCGATCAATCGCGCCGGCGGCAAAGGTACATCTTTTAAGAATGGCACTGCTGGTGATCGATGGAGTGTTACTGGCCTGGACCAGTTGGCATGGGGAAATGTCACACCTCAACACACGAACCGATATTGGGCCCATCTGGTGATGGCTTTCATTGTCATCATTTACGTCTGTGCCGTCTTCTTTGATGAGCTTCGGGGCTTTATTCGTCTGCGACAGGCCTACCTGACTTCTCCTCAACATCGACTCCGTGCTTCTGCGACCACTGTGCTGGTCACTTCCATCCCGCCAGATTGGCTTGATATGGATGCGCTTGATAGACTGTTCGACGTTTTTCCCGGGGGCGTGAGGAACATTTGGATCAATCGGAACTTTGACGACCTGAATGAGAAAGTGAAGATGCGGAACAAACTTGCCCTTAAACTTGAAAGTGCCGAGACCGACCTGATCTCGAAATGCAAAGAGGCACAACTCAAGACGGTAAAGGCTGAGGCAAAGAAAGCCGGGAAGAGCACAACGCATGCGGAGAAACAAGAGAAAAAAGCGGCCGACAAACGGGCGTCCAAAATCGCCATGGGCCCGGGTGTCAGCACTGGCAATCCTCACGATCCCCACACGTTACAAGAAATGCTCCACGGGCCAGCAGACGGACACGCCAAAAGATCCGAGGATGGACCTCGACGAGTATTTGACCCTGCGTTTGCAGCCGCTGGAGCAGTTGGCCAAGGTGTGGGGAAACTGGGCAAATCTGTGCTTGGGGGTTTCAAAAAAGCTGAGAATGGGTTCGAGGGGACTTTGTCTCAGACCCGAGGCTTCGTTGCCACCACAGACGACATTCTCCCGCCCCGTGGGAACACACCTCCAGGCACCGATCATGCTGTCTCCGGCAAGAAGTCTTCTGGGGAGTCACTTCGATCTCAGCAGCAGCCAGAAACCCCCGACCCGGGTCGTACCGACACCAAGTCTCGCGATAAAGCATCATTAAAACCACCATTTTGGAGACGAATGTCATCTCATACGAAATCCCAGGGTACGCCGGAACCTGATGAATATCCACTGACCGCACCTGACACTCCTGCTACCGATGCATTTCCCCGTGGTTCTGTCAACGCCGCTAATGACGAAAAAGACAAATCAGATGTCAAAAAAAGGAGACAAAGTGGAAGAGGAAGAATACCCTCTCGCCTACAATGAAGATTTCGACAATGAGGACTATGGAGAGCCACTGTGGAAGGAATACATTCGACCCAAGGATCGGGATACAATGCGTCTGCCCATTTTTGGCTGGAGTTGGATGCCCTCTATCTGGCTTCTTGGCAAAAAGGTTGACACTATCGATTATTGCCGCAAAGAGCTCGCTCGTCTGAACCTGGAAATCGAGATCGATCAGCAGCATCCTGAGCGGTTCCCTCTAATGAACTCGGCTTTCGTCCAATTCAATCACCAGGTTGCTGCCCACATGGCCTGTCAAGCTGTCAGCCATCACCTCCCAAAGCAGATGGCACCCCGAGTCGTTGAAATCTCCCCCGATGATGTCATTTGGGATAATATGTCCATCAAATGGTGGGAACGCTATCTTCGCACCTTTGGAATTGTAACTCTGGTGTGTGCAATGGTTGTTGGTTGGGCCTTCCCTGTTGCTTTTACTGGTCTGCTCTCACAACTTTCATATCTCGAGGGTGCATTCACATGGCTGGCTTGGCTTGGCAAGCTACCAGACTGGTTTATTTCTGCTGTCCAGGGCATTCTTCCCGCGCTGTGTTTGGCTATCCTGATGGCACTTCTTCCCCTCATTCTCCGCTTCCTGAGTCGTACGCAGGGTCTCTTCACGGGCATGTCTATCGAACTAACTGTACAAAACTACTACTTTGCCTTCCTTTTTGTACAGCTGTTCTTGGTTGTTACCATCGCCTCGAGTTTCTCAACAGTCATCGAGAATATCACTGACGTGACGAGCTGGCCGGAACTCTTGGCTTCGAACATCCCCAAGTCCAGTAACTACTTCTTCTCTTACATGATTCTGCAAGCCATGTCTGTGAGCGCTGGTGCTCTTGTGCAAATCTTTGGCCTGGTGAGCTGGTTCATTCTGGCACCCATTCTGGATTCAACTGCCCGGAAGAAGTGGGCTCGAACGACCAACCTCAATCAGATGCAATGGGGCACGTTCTTCCCAGTCTATACCACACTGGCTTCCATTGGTAAGTCATATCTCTTGCTGCTTTACTAAGCAGCTCGTCTGACATTCTCACAGGGTTAATCTACTCAGTCATTGCGCCTCTGATCTTGGTTTTCAACATCATCACCTTCAGCCTTTTCTGGTTCGTCTATCGGTATAACACACTCTACGTCACCAAATTCCGCTTCGACACCGGCGGTCTTCTATTCCCTCGAGCAATCAATCAATTATTCACTGGACTATATGTGATGGAGGTCTGCTTGATTGGCTTGTTCTTCTTGGTTCGGGATGAAAAAGATAACGTTGCTTGCAAGGGGCAGGCTATTTGCATGATTGTGATCCTGGTCTTGACCGCTGGATACCAAATCCTCCTCAATGACGCCTTCAGTCCGCTGATTCGATATCTACCGATCACCTTGGAGGAGGCTGCTATCAAACGCGATGATGAGTTCCGCCGTGCTCAGCACGCTCGCCTCGGACTTGCCATTGATGACGATGAGGTGAATGATGTTGAACACGCCCTCGCAGAGGAGGAACGCCGAGAGCGCCAACAAGGACAAGATGCTCGGGATATCGAGCTGAAACCCTTGGAGACCAGTGGCCTAGACCAGAAGCGACAGGATTCTGGCAGTCTCTTTCCAACGTCCAAGCTTGAGCACAAACGTCCATCGTGGGCAACCAATGCATCCAGACGACGATCTAAGTATTTCGGGCTCAACCCACCAAGCTCAACACCAACCATCCGAGCTATGCGAGAGAAGATGGCTCTCGACACCGAAAATCAGGGACCTGCCCCAAACACAGTTGGCCAAGCCCTCTTTGCTGGTATACATGATGAACTGGAGGATCTCACGCCCGACGAGCGCGATCAGCTGGTGCAGCGCGCCTTCCAACACGAAGCACTTCGCGCCAAGCGGCCGGTTATCTGGATTCCACGCGATGATCTGGGTGTCAGTGACGATGAGGTTTATCGTACTCAGCGGTTCAGCAAACACGTCTGGGTCAGCAACGAATACCAGGCGCTGGACGCCAAGTGTCGGACGATATTCAGTCGCAGTCCTCCAGATTTCTCCGAGGTGGATTTGATTCAACTGTGATGTGATGTGATTTTGTACATTGTTTCTTTTAGCCATTGCCTAGCATTTTCAAGCGTCGCATTCAGTCATAGACATCCAATGTCTGTCCTCTCGGTTCTCTTTCGAGTCCAACTTCTGTCTTCAGTAATCCCAAATCCCTTCTCAATCCATAAACTTGCACAGCGGTAATCTATAATCATCCACAACCCAATATGCCCTCCGCACACCTTCCCACTCACCCTCCAACTTTGGCACCGCAATCTCCTCCCACTGCACATCAAATCCAGCCTCAAACAGATCCATCTCCGCCACCTTCTGGTAGACATCATACGAGATCTGCCGATCAGCACCCATACCATTAAAGAATCCCCAACGGCCCTCCTGCTCCAGCAATCCAATAACCTGCTCAGAGAAAAACTCCCGGAAATCACCATAAGACTCAGCGAAGGTATCATAGTAGATAGCATCAAACATCTCGCCAGACGCAACAAGCCCAGGAAGGATATCCTGCCAACGACCCTGGTGAATAACAACGCCAGGCTTAGAATCCCAGCCACGACGCTTCATCTCCGCAACGACGTCATCATGCGCTTCAATGATATGGTGTGAGGCAGGCTGCTGTTCTTGGAAGAATCCATCAACGATGCCCATGCCGTGGCCGATATTCAGCACTTTCAGGCCGGGGGTTGGGAGAAGTGCCTTTGCGGATTTGCGCATGATGTCGCTTTCCCATGCCATCATTACGCCGTTCTGGTCTGAGTCTAGAATGCGGTCGTTTTGGATGTTTAGCTGCGATTCCAGGTACTGCGGGTTGTTCACGCCTGGGTTGGTGGTTGTGGCGTCGACAAGTTCGGGTACTGTCTCGGTTTCGGTTGCTATGTTGGCGTTGACGTTGGTCTCGGTCTGGTTCTCGTCGTTCTCTTGCTTCTCCTCGTTCTCTTCGTCGTCTTCGTCGGATAGCTCCTCGTACGCGTCGAGGCGGTTCAATAGAAGCTCTGCGCGGACACCTGCGTCAACAATCAGGCCGTACAACTCGAGAGCTCCGATGCGCCGAGCGAGACAGCCGGGTGTCTCATTGTTCTTGTCGAGATCGTTCCAGATAGCACCCTCCTGCAGAAGGAACTTGACTGTCTCCACGGCTGACTTCAGAGTCTCGTTGTCCAGACCCTTTGGGTTCAGCTCTGAGGTTTCGGCACCATTGGCTCCGTTCTGGGCGCCCTCCGTGTCGCTGTCAGGCTCACAGGCGGCGATCGCAGAGTGCAGAGGTGAGAAGCCTGACTCGGTGTCTTTGACGTTTGCTGCGTCGGGCAGGGTAGACTGGGTGCGAAGGAGGCGACGCAGCTTGGGAATGTCATGCTGCGAGGCCGCTAGGAGGATCTCTTGCACGTCGAGGTCGATGTCGACCTCTGTGAGGTGGATTGGCGTGTCGTCAGTGACTTCAGGCATTGTCTGGTCGCTGTTATTTAGCTTCTTTCGCAATTAAAAGACAAAAAATTATGTGAGGATTTTGCTGGTTAATACTCACGAATTAATTGTTATATTCAACAATGCTTGTCGAGTGTGTTGGACTATCAAAGCAAAAGTGGCGCCCCTCCATACTGAAAAATTGTACTCGCCGCCTTTGTCCCCGCGCGGAGAAAATATATATCGATGACCATCCATGAACTAGAGCTACACACTTTTACGAAAGATACAAGAGATTTCAAAAATCAGAGAAGAGAACACATTTGGATGATTGTTAATCCAGCTATTTGTACAATAATTCACATCCCTCGCAGCGCCATTAAGTTTGAAGTGGAATGAGTTTATTTGACTTCCTCGGAGTGGGCATTGACGTTCAAGCCCAGGCCTTGGGTATCAAGGTAGAGCTTGTTCTTGCCGCCGTTCTCCTGGAGGATCTGGGCAATCTGGCGAGCGTTCTCGATCTTACGGAGCTCGATGTAGCTCTTGCTCTTCTTGATGGCGTCACCAATGAGCTCGGCCGAGCGGGCCTCACCCTGTGCGCGAACAATGAATGCCTGCTTCTCTTGACGAGCCTTGTCGACCATGAACGCGGCACGCTGGGCGTCTTGCTGGGCGACCTGCTTGGCCTCAACAGCGGCGGTGAACTCGGGGGAGAAGGTCAAATGCTGCACGAGATAACTTGTTAGCATTTGTTCAGATTAATGCTGGAGCATAGTCACATACCGTCAAAGACACATCGTCCAGGGCAATGTTGAACCGGGCAGCCCGGCGAGCTAGGTTCTCCCGAACCAGACGGGCAACATTCTCACGCTGTGTGATCAGCTGACTGGCGTTGAACTGAGCAACAACGCTCTTCAGCACCTCGTTGACGATCGAGGGCAGCACGCGTTCATCAAAGTCTTGGCCCAGTGTTCGGTAAATCTGGGGAAGGGCATCCACACGGGGTCTGGACAGGACACGGCAAGTGATGTTCACCATCTGCAAGTCCTTGGTACCGGTAAGAGAGGGAATGTTGCGAGGCTTGGCGCGGACATCGTAGATGATTGGTGTTTCGAACCAAGGGATCTGGAAGTGAGTACCTAGAATCATTCAACAAGGTCAGATAGCTCTCTTTTCTCAGCCAGGGAGTTTTCTTACCTTCGGCGTAGATCTCCTTCTTAACACCACCTAGGCGAGAGTACTTGATCGCGCGGTGACCACCATCAACTAGAAACAAGTTAGAGACGTAATTTCTCGAGAATTGCAACAGAACATACCGTTGAACAAGGCATTTGAAGCGACGTAGGTACCAAGACCTGCCAGAACAAGAGTTCCGACAAGTCCCATACCGCCACGGCCACCACCGGGGAAGCCACCGCCGAAGCCAGCCTTGCGCCGGGACAGCATGACCTGTAGACGCTCCCAGGCCTCTCGTTGATTTTGAGACATGATGTGAGAAAAAGCGTGGGGAGAGGATGGAGATGGATGAGGGCGGACTTGGTCTGACGCTCAAGTGGATGTGAAGTTAAGCTGCGGCGGTGGCAGAATTAGCTCCTCTGTCGCGCATCAACTTTCAACTTCGTATTCATTTTCCGATCAGCATCACAATCATGGCGCCTGATCGAACTGGGAAGAGTGTCTTTCTGGGGAATATCCCCTACAGTAAGTACTCTTTAAAGGATGCTTTCCAAGCGCGATGCTAATTCAGCTCTAGACCTCACTGAGGAGCAAGTCAAAGACATCCTCAGCACGGCCGGTACCGTCACCAAGTTCCGACTGATGATGAATCCTGAGACTGGCAAACCCAAGGGTTATGGATTCGCAGACTTTGCCGACCCAGACTCCGCTGCCTCGGCGGTGCGCAACCTCAACGACCACGAGGTTATGGGCCGCAAGATCCGTGTTGACTGGCCTCACAACAACGAGAAGGACTCTATACCTCCGGACTATTCGCAGCAGTCCCAGCCAACGATGAACCAGGATACCACACAGCAGCAACAGATTCCCGGCTCAGCGCCATTGCCACCCCTCCCACCCGGAGTTGAACTGCCACCACAGATTGACTGCCCGAATGCCATCTCTCACACCCTCGCATCCCTTCCCCCAACCAACTCCTCGATGTCCTCACCCAGATGAAAGCCCTCGCTGTTGCAGACCCAGCTCGTGCCACCGAATTATTGCGCCAAGCACCTCAGCTCGCCTACGCCATCTTCCAGGCTCTACTTCTTATGAACCTGGTCGAATACCAACTGCTCGGTTCCATCGTTGAACAGGCGGCCCAACCCCAACCTCCTCCTCAACAAGCCCAGCAGTTCCAGCCCTACGGTGTTCCGGGTCAGATTTCTACACCCCCGTTACGGGAACTCCTTTCGCTCCCCCGCCTGCTCAACCTGCCCCGCAGATGCACGGTCAGGAAGAGCTTCTCCAACAAGTGCTTAGCATGCCCCAAGCTACGATTGATGCGCTCCCTCCTATGGAACGGAGTCAAATTATGTTGCTCCGCCAGCAGCTTATGCAAGGCGGTATGCGGTAGCGGCTTGTTGCATCGAACATGAGATTCTTCCTCTATGAGGTTTGAAAATCCCCTTGCTCTGACTAGATGAAAGCGTCTGGTCACGATGTTTCCCAAAATTTTTTTTTTTTTTGATTCTATTTCATTAGGCGAATGGATGGCGCAGGGAGTTTGATGCTTCTTTTTCTACGGACTTGCATACCGGCTTAACCGAAGCTAAATTTCAAAATGGCAATCAAATGAGATTCTGCACTTTTTGTCGTAGCCTTAAAACCTTACAATCGAACTCGTGCATTTTTGGTTTTCTCACAAGTTCTCCCCTGCAGCTGCAATGGCACCGCGTACCTGCTTCAAATTTCCAATTCTGCCTTTGTCCCGTCGTACTGTATTTTGGCCAATGACTCCTCGGCTGTTTTCCCGCCAATGCCAAGGCGAAGGGTCTGAATTAAGGCTACTACCGCAGCGTAAGTTAGACCATTGTTAAATGGGGAAATTACTGAGCAAAATGGCATCGGCTGATTGTACTGACTTTTTATTTTTGATCTCCGGCCGTCCTGATACCACAAGGCAGCAATTAGTATTGTCCAAACCGCATTCTGGCGGACACCCACCGAAAGCATGGCACGTGCTTCGCTTGCCCTACCTCATCAACGTCAAACTAGTTGTATACTTGTTTCCATGGACATCCTACATGCAGTTTGAGAGTATTCACTGGTCTTGTTTACTGGTCCTATTCATGTTGTTCCTGAATTTTCATTTATTATATAGCGAGGAATTGAAGATCCAGCTTTCGGACTGGAAGTAAATGTAGTATGTAGTGTGTAGTAGTAGTAGTAGTAGTTGAGGGGAGCGTCTGCACAGTATTGTGAATGATGGGAAAGAAAGAAGCAGCGGATATTTAGTAGCTGTGGCTCATTTTATAGCGATAGTACTGGTTGGATGAGGAGCATGGTTATGGGTAGATGAATCGTATGGTCGCCGTCGCTCGTATCTTTGGCGTCACAATCTCCCAATCGGGCGAGCTTTCCCCCCGCCAGCTGCCAGACATCCCTCTTCTTTCAGTTTCTGATCCGATGTTCTCTTCTCCTTCTTCTTCCCTTCCCTCATGCCTCTCTCCAGACTTGCAGTACCCCATTTTCTGCAGACCTTCGAGGTGCCAGTGTCCAAACAGGTCTATTCTTGAGTCCCTCGACGTCTTTGACCTCGTTTGTGGCACCTCTCCTCATCTCTGAGGCTTCATTCTCTGTGTATCAGCGGCTGGCTTCGTCCAGTCTCAACACCATTATGTCTGATCTCAACACCACCTCCCCCCTTCCTCTGATTCCGGTCATCGTTTCTCAGGAGGGTACAAACCAGCAGCAGTCGGTGGCTGACCTGGCAAAGGATGATCGAGACCCTGAGGTCGAAGAGATTCCGGAGCTGCGGAGGGGATACTTGGTTCTTGAGACCAGGTATCTAGCCAATGATATGTCACCTCTGCATAGGCTGGAAGATATTTTCGCTGACATGGCGGCAAAAGCCCTTCAAATTGGATTGTCGGATGTCATCTGTCGGCTCGGCAAACGGCCACTCCGTGTGGCAACGATGTGTTCAGGAACGGAAGCCCCGTTACTGGCCCTGGGCATGATTTCAACGGGTAAGTGCCTCGATCGTGCCCTATCATCGAATCAGTATATCATCATATTCATCTCATGTTGCACTCACTGTGTCTTCGTTTGGGGATGAGGTTGACGCCTGTCGGTGTTTGATGGGATCATCGTCGGCGACTTAAGGTCATCGGCGTCCTGATGGTTGGCGACGCCGAGCATTCGGGGCTTCCCATCCTTGCCCTAACACTATGTCACCTCCCTCTCATTCCATCCGTACCCGCATCTCTCTGATTGCTCACTTGTCGCTTGCTTTCGTCTCTTCTTTGGACCAATGGCTGATACCTTTTCAGGTCTAGGTATGGACCAGCAACTCCGGATCTCGCATGCTTTCAGCTGTGAGATTGTCCCGCTCAAGCAATCATACATTGAGCGGAACTTCCGCCCTCCTCTCCTGTTTCGTGACATCATGGAACTTGGAGGAGATACGGCGTAAGTAGACCCTTCCATTCTCGTTTACATCCACATTCTTACTAACCTCGATCTACAGGCGAACGGCCTACGGGTCGCCGGAATTGATACCCGGCAACCTCGACATATTAGTTGCAGGAACCGCCTGTGTCGACTTTTCTCCGCTGAACAGCCGCAAGAAGACCCTGCTGGAAGGTGGAGAGTCTGGGGCCACCTTCAACGGTCTATTGCGGTACGCGGAGAAATATCGACCCCGTTTGATCATTCAGGAGAATGTTCGGACCGCCCCATGGGAGCAGATGAAGGGAATTTGGGAGGGCCTCGACTACATGTCGGTCGATCTACACGTCGACACAAAACATTACTACATACCACAGACACGTGAACGTGGGTACTTGGTGGTCATTGACAAGCGCCGCTTGGAAGCAGCGGGCCTGCTTGGAGATCTCAAGAACCAGGTCGATATTAAAACCATCGACCAACACGTTCGCAGCCTTGTCGACTCCTTCAAACGGAGAGCAAGTGCACCTGTCGGAATGTTTTTGTTGTCCGACGATGACCGTCGACTCGAGTCCATCGAGAAGAAGGCATGCCTAGAGCTGCGAAGCGACATCAGCTGGGAGAACTACCAGGCTCGTCATCAGCGCCATCGTGACGAACTTGAACTAGGCAACGAACGCCCGATCACTCGATCCCAACCCGGAGTCAATATGCTCAGGGCACCGGACTTCTTCTGGCATCGTTTCATGAAGACGCAGCCAGAGAGAGTATGGGAAACCGTGGATATGAATTTCCTGAAGAAGATTGTTCGTGGATACGACATGAACTTCAAGGAGTAAGTCCCACCTTGCCCTCACTATCGCTTGATGAACAAGTTACTAACTTCTTATCTCACCTAGGCGTTGGATCGATTTGTCTCAAGGCGTCGATCGAGGGCATGACAGCCTTGCTGGGTCTGGGATCGCTGGTTGCCTGACACCAAAGGGTATACCATTCGTGACCACCCGTGGAGGCCCCGTGTCTGGCACGGAGGCTCTTTCACTGCAAGGGCTGCCCCTCGATCGAATGCTGCTAACGAGAGAAACTCAAGCCGAACTGATGGACATGGCTGGAAATGCAATGACGAGCACCGTCGTCTGTGCAGTGATGCTCGCGGGCCTGATCGCCGCGCATAAAATTCTTGACACCAACGAGGGTCCGACCAAGTCTGATAACACCGAGGATAATCCGCTTCTCATCAGCAAGGAATATAGCCTTGTGAGGAGCAGCCTCGGTGTGGCCTCAACTCGCCCCGTCAACCACCTTGATCTCAAAGCATTGTCAGCAAACACCGTCATGTGTTGCTCGTGCGAGAGACAGACCGGGGTCAAGAATTCAATTTTCACCTGCTCCCTTTGCGGACATTCCGCTTGCATTTCTTGCTATGGAAATCCCACGCACTCATATCTACGTGAATTCCGCTCTCGAATTGAGCCGTCAGAGTTTATCGCGAATATCAAGGGACTTGTTCCCATGAAGCTTATGCTTTCTGGTTTATCTGAAAAAGATTTCGAGACATTCAAACCTTTTTACCCCGACAACACCCTCTCAGCGTTCTGGGACGACTTCATGCACACCACCAAATCACTTTGCAACGACGCTTTCCAATTTTTCGAAGTGAAGCGCGGGAAGAGTTGGCGAATCATTTATCAAGGACCGTACTCCAGCTTGTATCTTGAGATTGGACCGGATTCGATCCAGTGGCTTTTGTTCGCAAAACCACCCAAATCCGCGAGCACGAGATGCACCATCCGAGAAGTGCTAGCAAAGCCAATCGCACGCATGAAACCGAACGATGGGTCATTTGTTGAAGGTAATTGGGAAGTGTGTTCCCCTGCGAGCACAGCATTCACCATCAAGATCACTGGAACGGAGCAGCAAGTCAAATCATTCGAAGCAGAATGTGGTCTCAAGGGTGCCAATTTCGTCAACTCTCAAGTCTGGACTCATCTTTACGTCGATGCACTAGACGCCGATCTTGCGAACCTTGACTACAACATTAGAGGATTTTACGAAGCTCTTCCTCACTGTGGCACATCACTCGGAGCAATGTACCGAAGGAAGAGCACTGATAACCAGCCTACCATCTACCTGTTTCTTGACACGCAAAAGCTCACCCTCCCCAAAGACGATGCCTGTGTATTTGCTCTTGATCACAGTCGTCTTCCTGGATATGAACAAAGAATATCCATCGCTGAGTTGTCCCCCACTTGGAGAGCTTTGAATGCATCAAAAGGTCCGAGCAAAGTCAATGCCTATTGTCGTCGTTGGCTCAAGGTCCCCAGAGTGAAGTTGAACGTCTGTTCTGAACAAATAACTCACGACGCCTTGCCGCAAGGAACTCAGATCTCGATCACAAACCAGAGATGTCATAATGCTTGCATTCCCCTCGCTTCATTGTCCGCTCCAACAATGATTCTCAACCTGCCCGACGCAAAGCCCGGGTGGCAAGCGTGGGATCCCGTGGTATCAATGAGAGAACTGAAAGGTCTCGCTTGGTTATTCCCGAAGATTGCTGGATGGTCCGACTTTGAAGAATGGAACAAGATCGTCTATTCAGAGAGTCCGGAACATGCCAATGAAGTGACTGACAACTGCAACATCTGCAATCCACCTCCCCCAACATCATCTGGGGCCGGGACAACAAAGACCGAATCACTCCCTATGAGAACCCTCAGGATGCTGCTACCTATGAACGTGCCGTAAAATCTCGCCCTTCGCCGTTTTTGGTCTTCAGAAGAATCAACGAACATGGAGATGGAGAATTGTGCTTCACTCTCAACGTTCAAGCTCTGATGCACCAGGCACATGGAAAACTGGTTGGCTTCGAAAGCCGCGAGAACATCAGCTCACACTGGCGACTTCTTCCTCATGCATACGATATGCAGAAGTCCAAGCTGGGCCGACAAGAGACTGATTGCAAGTTCACATTACTTAACAATTCAAACGATACTCCGTCATCACAACCTCCCAACTTCATGTATCCTCTGCGCACCGAGCAACTGCAATCGCTCAGCTGGATGATCTCCCAAGAGGTAGATGACATTGCACCCTTCATGGAAGAAGAAGTCGAAGAATCCATTCTTCCTTTGATGCCCTGGCGTGCCGAAGTCAAAGCGACAATCCCCAAGATAGTTCGTGGCGGCGTGCTGGCTGATGAGGTCGGATATGGAAAGACGGCAATTGTCCTTGGATTGATTGATGCACAGTACGAAAGAGACTGCAATCGGATTCCGGATGAAAGCAACGGGTTGATCCCAACAAAGGCAACTCTGATTATTGTGCCGACCAACGTGTTCAAGCAATGGCATTCGGAAACCAAGAAATTCCTTGGAGAGAAATACAAGGTACTTGCACTGGAGTCGATCACCAAGACTACCATTCAGGATGTTCAAGATGCTGACATCGTTCTTCTGTCATGGAGTATCTTGGCGAACGACAGCTACTACACCCGACTTCAAAGGTTCACCGGAACACCGCAAGCTCCCGCAAGATCGGGCGGAGGAACAGGTCGTAACTTCGACAGCTGGTTCCACAACGCCCGTGCTTCCCTTCGGGAGCTTGTTGGTACTTTGAAATCCCATGGTCCTGAGGCGCTGCTTCAAGAAATTAGGGCAAGACGTCGCCGAGTTCAAGAAACACAGGCCAACTGCACATTTGTGCCTTCCCGACGCCTCCGTGGTCAGGCATTCGCTGCCGCTCAAGAAAAAGCTGGCACTGACAAGTCCGACACAGCAGCTACATCTACAGCAGCTACAACACAGACAGTTGAGACTGAAGAATCTTTGGATCCCGCTGAACATTTGAACCCTGGTGATTCTGGATACGAAGACTCTGATCTATCTGAAGCCGAGGACAACGATTGTGGGACGAACGCAGGCCAGCGGAAGCGAAGACACAGCAAGCAGAAAATGAGAGCTCCAGGAGGAAAGCGACAAAAACACCAGTTTACTGAACCAGTAAAAGTGCCGGATGTCAAACGTGAAGCCAAGTCGAAGGTGGTGCTAGATGATGCAACAGCGTTCGGTATTTCAAAGGTCGAGCAGGGTTGGCGCACTGTTGCAGCTGCATTCATCCACGCCTTCAACTTCAATCGTCTGATTATCGACGAGTACACATATGCTGGAGAGGAGCGACAGGTGTCCCTACTGTCAGTACAGGCACGCTCCAAATGGATTCTCTCAGGAACACCCGCTCTGGACGAATTTGCCGACATCAAGAGTATTGCTCGCTATCTCGGTCTTGACCTTGGTATTGACGACGATGGTGATAGTGACAGAATGTCTCAGAACAAGAGACTGCGAATGATCCGGAAGAATCAGACTGCTGCCGAGGCTTTCCAGATGTACCAAGCTCCTCGGAGTAACGCATGGTACGGAAACCGCGAAGAGCATGCTCAAAGATTCCTACATCGGTTCGCACGTCAAAACATCGCCCAGATTGATCACATACCCCTCGAGACCAACATTGTTCTTGTTTGTCAATCACCTGAAGAGAAAGCAGCATACGATATCCTGTATGATGCGGTAAAAGAGAACCGAAAGCGGATCGACGGTCCCCTGAACAGCCTTCTTGCAAAGAGTCAGACTCTTCCAGAAGCTCTCATCATGAGTTGCACAACGACCCAGATTGGCAAGCCTCCCTGGGGCGTTGAGAAATGTCGCAAGGTGTTGGCAACTAACCAAGCCAAATCTACGATCCACTGGACGAAACTCGACAACCTATGCCGGCAAGCAATCCTTATTGGATATCGTGACGACGACAACCCATTCGATTGGCAAGTACTGAAGGAAATCATCTCCAAGTCAAAAATTGGAGACCCCGAAGTCAGCAACAGAGTTATTGAGCTCTTGTTCAATTGCCACCAGTCATACCAAGAATGGAGTGTGCTGATGGAACACCAGAATATTGTCACCAAGGTTAATGAGAGATTCAAAAAGGCTCTCAATGCAACGGTTGTGAAGGGAACCAGTCGCGGAAAGCCCGCAGAAGCAGAAGCTACCGACGATAATGAATCTACAGAGCCCTCTGATGAGAGTCACAAGCAAGCATCCCTCGCCATGACCAAGGCCTTGACTACAGACATCATGACTTCGTTGAAATCGGCGAATGGAATCGACCGCGAAATCCGCTTCTACAGTGCGTTGCTGACCATCCACACCTCCACCATCCCAGCCTGCAATGGCTGCGGTGAAGACCAGCATGACCTCGCAGACGTCAGCATTCTCCGAACCTGTGGACACATCCTTTGCAAGGGTTGCACCCTAGCTTCCCAAGGGGACAAACAATGTGTCTGCCGTAAATGCGACGGAAAAGTGACAGCAGTGTCCAAGGTCATTGTCGGGCTATCGGTCAAGGAGGAAGACCGAACAAGCGAAAGTTCCAAGCTCAACAAGCTTGTGGATATTGTCCGTGGCGTCCCGCAGGACGAACTCGTCCTGATATTCGTACAGATCGGCCACTTGATGCCTGTCGCCTCGGAAGCCCTCAAATCTGCAAATATTGAACACCGAATGGTCACCTCAACAAACCTGAAAGTGATCACCGAATTCATTGAGGGGCCGAAGATGAAGAAGGGGAAGCAACAACCTCCGCGGGCAAAGGCTCTGATCCTGAATCTCGGCAGCGCAATGGCGGCTGGCCTGTGAGTTCTAGTCCTATCCCATATTCCACTGATTTACTTGAAGAATCTAGCTGACTTTGACCTTACTTTACGCCCAGAAACCTCCAGTGCGCAAACCATGTGGTCTTCCTGTCGCCTCTGTTCGTGTCTTCGCAGCCCGAATACGCGGCAGGAATGACCCAAGCCATCGGAAGGGCCCAGCGGTACGGGCAGAAGCGTACCGTACAGGTATACCACCTCCTGGTGAGGGGGACGGTGGAGGTGAACATCTTCGCTCGACGCAATGCCTCACATGGCAATGGGACGCTGGTAGAGAGGGGAGGGGCGGCCTGCCTCGTGGCAGAGGAGGCCGTCCTGGAGGACGACGTCCGGTGCGCGGGAAAGCGGGTGGAAGATGAGAACGGGGAGGTTGTGTGAGCAATCCCTTCAGGTGGCACCCAGCCTGGAGGGGGTGCTCGGCGAATAAACAAGAGAGCGCCATTTATGGCAAATGTCTGATTTTTTTTCTTGCCATTGAACTTCCTCTTCCTATGTAAGCCTGCGTAGAGATTTTACTAAGTAGAAAGTGTAGTGGAAGATGACTACTCTATAAAGAGAATTAATTGCCCGTAGACTGTATTCACTTGTAAGGACGAAGAAATAGACAGGTGATGCAAAGAGGCCAAAGTAGTTACTAGTACTGCTCAACTTGATCTACTTGCATGAAAAAGCTTAAGTAAAAGGAGAGCACTGTTATAGCACTATCCCAATACACCAAGGGAGTGTTTCAGTCCCTATAGTTCTAGCGTAGCTAGAGGAGACAAATAGTTCATATGTTCGGGGTAGTTTATCTAGTAGTAGATGACAATATAGCTTCAGCTAGCAAGTCTCTCCAAGCTAGGGAATTATAGACAATTGTAAGTTTGATGGATAACTTAGTGATGGATAGCAACATGCAAAGTATCCGCCTATACGATAGAAGGTGCAGATTGCTTTGCTTAACGATTTCATTGATGCTTGTTAGCAATATTCAAGTCTAGCTCAAGTGGCTAACCTAACAGAGACTGTCTTATGTCACGTCGTGTGAAATGCATGAATGTCCAGATGTCTAGATATCTAGCTGTATGAGCAAATTAAAACCAGGGCTTTTTGCATTATCTATGGTTCGAAATTCCCTAAGAACAAGCTGAGGAATAGAAGTAGGCAAATATGAAACCTCTTCTCGAGCAAGTCGACCTTTTAAGGTTTTGTAAGAGCAGAGACCGCTGCCTCGGATATCGACAACTGGATGGCATTAGGTTTCCGTATTGGTTACACTTTCTCGAGGCTATACAGATTTCATGTGTAAGGCTTTGTTATATTATTTCAGCCCATAATACCATACGTAGCGTCAAGGGTTAGCTAGCAGGAACTCACTGCCGTGAGCCCAAGGTAGGTTCGAATCTTCTGCTATGCGCTTAACCCTAAGAGCACCATTTTCTCGAAATCGGCAGACAACTCAGTGGTGCAGTTTGACTTGTGCTATACATGTACGACAAAGAGCTAGGTTGTCACCAGTAAAGACCTCTTGTTAATGGACAGTGGCTTGAGTGGTGACTTGGATATAGTAGTTGCACATCAAATGTAATCGGCGGATTATACACAGGTCGAGGCTGGTAGGTAGACAGGTTAGAAACCATCAAATTTCTTCCAAGGATTGATGCCAGATTGAAATATGAGTACGTCTCCATGATGGTATACTTCAAGCCTAGAACCTACGTCTGCGAATCTACTGAGTCGGAAGCATAATGAAAAGATGAAAAATGAAAAGTTTAAGGAAAATGCGATTGGTCCTGCCGATATCCCACAGCGATTGGGCCAGATCTGTATTCAGGCTCCGATCACACCAAGACCAGGAACAAACGTACTGTACACGGTAGACAGACAAAAAAACAGGTAGAAAGGACGCCTCAGAGTGGTTATCATTCAGGGCGCCAGGGGGCGCGGGAACCTCTATTGTCCACGGTTGACCACGGTACCCGCAAGGCGCGGCTTTTGCTCGTCCAATTCAAAAAACACAACCATTATAATATCCTCCCATCCGGAATTGACCCACGGCAATGTGAAGAGGGTTTATATTCTTTTCTCTCTTTTGGGGTTCTCTTATTGCTGGGGCTGCGCGTCCAATGCATTGTCCTTGCGCATCATCGTCTCAGGGTTCCACACGGGCACGTCGGTCAGGTTAGTCAGGCCGGCGCTGTTCTCGCAGGTATCGCGCCCGCTCAGCGGGCCCGGGGCGGGAACCTTGGTGCCGGCGCCGGTGGCGGAGGCGGAGTCCTTGAGTGCGGTCAGGATGGTCTTGATTGACTCGGGGGTCAGGTCCTCGTAGTAGTCGTCGTTGATCTGGACCATGGGGGCGTTGACGCAGGCGCCGAGGCACTCGACCTCAATGTATGTGAAGAGGCCGTCCTCGGTGGTGTGGCCAGGCGTGATTCCGAGGTGCTCGTTGATGGCCTTCACGATAGAGTCGCTACCACAGCCACCAAGCTGGCATGGGGTCTGGGGAGATTAGCAATTGTCTGGAATCAATGTTGTCATTGCTGCTTACCGTTGTGCAGATCTGCACGAAGTACTTGCCAACGGGCTCGCGGTTGTACATGGTGTAGAAGGTCGCAACCTCGTAAACGCGCATTGGGGGCATCTCGAGCATGCGAGCGACCTCGTTCATGACGCTGATGCTGGTGAAACCGTGCTGGCGCTGGCCAAGGTCGAGCAGGGGCATGACGGCGGCCTTCTTGTACTGGGGAGGGTAGCGCTTGAGGATCTCATCGGCGAGTTGGAGGTTCTGGTCGGAAAACTTGAACGGGAGGGTCGGGTTGTTGTGAGGCTTGTTGCGGTGCTATTGGACAGGGACACAGTCAGTAAATATAACCTTTTCTCTTCAATCCGAGGCGCAATTGCCGCGAAGCCAGGAGGGGGTTCGGGTACGCACCACCGAAAGGGTGTCGCTGAACCGTTGCGAGCCGGCGGAGAAGGCTCTGTATTGGGGCTTGGGGAGCTGGTGAATCAGCTGGCGGCCAACCCGCGGGACTGAGAATAGTTTGGAGGCCATCGCTGGGTATATGCGAGGGTCAATTGGAAGACGATGAGGTTGGAGGTTGGAGGAGAATGAGGTTCAAGTTGACGAGGGCGTTTTGCGGGCGGACACTGACCAATCAGCGTCGACAGATTACTCCCGCTTTACCAATCCTCCATCGAACATCGCAACTTCACCTGCAACCTGTGACGATATTCTTGCTTGATATGAATACGATATGGATGATGATCACTGAAATGCACGGCGCCAATTAACAATAACAGAACTCGATATTAACCAGCAGTCCCCACTAACACCACCGTCCCCAACACATCCATGTACGATACCATCATCCAACTACACATTCTCCATACGATAAACCTCATAAGCAACCTCTTCATACGGATGAGCCGAAACCAAAGCATCAACTGCCTTCAGCATAACATCCCGACCCAGACACATAATCTCAACCTTGACCTCCTCACAGTGTTCCACAACACCAACCGCCCCGACGGCCGGGTCTGCGCCTTCATTAGGTAGGAACTGGCCCATGCCAGTAGTTTGGAAACAACATTTGGTATATTTCCCTCCGGGAAATGACCCTCCGCCTGTTGCGAAGATGGCATCCTTGCAAGGCTCCAGGTCGGAGGGCGGGACAAAGAAGACGAGTTTGTAGCGGTCCAGAAGGGTGGAGGTGGACATTTCGTGGATGAAGGAGATGCTCTGGTAGGCTTGGTTTCTTGTAGAAGTGCAGAGTTGCACTGCTCTGCGCTGAGGGGTTCGTGGGGTGGCTGATGCGATGGCTGATACTGAGTGGAGTTGACGTAGTGTCTGTGGGCGTGATCGAGGCTGGAAGGAAGACCTCAGTAGGCTACAGCACCTGTTGGTTGTTACTCTGTGCATCAATCACGGTTGTGTGCAACGTAGGAGAGCTGGAGCTGGGTAACTGCAAGTGCAGTCGCCAAGTGAGGAGTAGATCTGAGTTGGTGCCTGATGTATCAGGGATTATCTCTGATATCTAAATTAGGTACTTCGTCAGGACTTCGTTAGTACTTTAAATCAACATCCATTTCATATATTCATTTAATTTGCTCCTGATATATACTCCGGTTGAAAACGGTATACAAAGGTGTTGAAACACAGGGTATCAGATGCACTCCCACCCAATTCAATCCATATATACGCCAACTCTACACCAACCTCTAATTTAAGCAGCAAGGGTATGCATATGCTCCTTAACATGCGCCTCAATCCTCTCCAACAAAGCCGCCTTCCTCTCATCAGGAATCCAGCTCTCCTGAACACTATTCTCGGCAATAATCCTCCACTCCAAAACATTCAACCCAAACGCCTCCTGCACAGCACAATAATTATCCAAAATATATCCTCCAAAGTAAGCCGGATCATCACTATTAATCGAAAACTTCACCCCAGCTTCCAAGAACTTCCGAATAGGAACCTCCTTAACAGACTTCACACACTGCAGCCGCACATTCGACAAAGGACAAACAGTAAGCAAAGTGCCCTGGCGCGCAACCCGCTTCATCAACTCCTCGTCCTCAACAAGCCGAATCCCATGATCAATCCGCGTGGCACCAAGCTCAAGCGCCGTACTGATATACGTGGGGTCACCCTCTTCACCGGCATGCGCCGTAAGCGGGATACCCTTTACCTTCGCTTCGGCATAGATATCACGGAACATATCCTTCGGAGGCCCAACCTCCGAAGAAGACCATCCAAGACCGTGAACAACCCCAGCTTCGAAGTGTTTACTAGCGACCAATTCATCGTAAACACCCTTGGCCGAGTCGACGGGGAGATGGCGCACGAAACAGAGAATCAGGCGAGTAGACAGGCCGAGTTCTTTCTCGGCGCGCTGGCAGCCCTTGGAGAATCCGCCTACGATGGTTTCGTAGGGGATGCCGCGGTCTTCGTGGACTTGGGGGTCGAAGAAGACTTCGGCGTGGTGGACGCCATCCGAATGCGCCTTTTGGAAGTAGGACCAGGCTAGATCCGCGAAGTCTTGTTCGTTGCGGAGGACCGCCATGCCTTCGAAGTAGAAGTGTAGGAAGTCGTCCAGTGAGGTAAAGTGTTCATAGCGTTTGCTTAGGGTAGAGATTGAGGTGTAGACTGGGTCTGTTGGGAGGGGTATGCCGTTTCGCGCCGCCAGTTCGAAGATTAGTTCTGGAGTTAGGCATCCCTCCAGGTGGACGTGGTGCTCGCATTTTGGCAAGCCTTTGATGAAGTCGTGGAGGGGGGATTTGCACATGGTGGGTTGGTTTTGCTATGTGCACGTGGCTTTTGAAATTGGTTGTTTTCCTGTTTCTATAGATTGTACGGACTGTGCCAAGATATATGGAAATGTTCAGTTCACCGGTGTCTCAAGATATACCATGCTCCGAGACGTTTTATGACTCCTTTTTCGATTATTGAGAAGAGCGGGTGGATAAGCCTTCCTCGTCCGTGGGTCGGAGGTCCCCGAGATCGTGATCGAAAGCCTAAAAAGGAGTATAAAGGCACTGCAGCACTAAAACGGTAAGTGCAAGAGATATTTCATTGCTCCGTCCATGTAATTTTGCACAAAAGTTCTAATATTGACAACACATTTGAAAATCTATCCACCCTGCACTTGGCACTATAATCGTAAATCATCTAAACTCGCAATTCGGCACCAGCAGCCTTGCGGAGCCGGTTCATAACAGCCGCAGACAAGTGGCCCTCGTCATCTGAAACACCCTCCACGTAGATCACATCAACATCGAGATCGTCGAGCGCGCGGAGCGCCGAAAACAGACCATGCGCGATAGCAGTTGCATCCCGGCCGAGATGGTAGTCGTATGCCATCTTCGTGCAGGTGCTGGGGTTACCAGTCTCCTGCACTGGCACTGGGAAGCTCACGAGGTTCTCGATAGGGGCAGAGACGGCCTTCACAGTACTAGCGACTTCGGCCTCGGGAGCAAGATCCAAACCCAGCTTCCAGTTTCGAGTGCGTATGATACCGATGTTGTGTGCACCGATGGCAGTATCTTGCAAGTCCTTTTGGACATGCTTCACTACTCCTTTCATGGTGGATGTAGGCTCGAAGAGGACGACTCGTGCTTTCGGCGAATAGTGTCGGTACTTCATGCCCGGTGCTCGCGGGATATCTTTCATTTCTAGTGTTCCGTCGCTGTAGGCAACTTCCACCTTTTCCCAGCCTTCACATTCCCGTAACTCGTCGATGCCGATGCCGCCTGGGCGCAGGATCGCCGGTGGGTTGGTTAAGCCGTCGACCACGGTGCTCTCGACACCGACGCCGGAGGCTCCACCGTCCAGAATTAACTCGATGCGGCCTTGCAAATCGTGGTATACATGTTGCGCGGTTGTTGGGGATGGCTTAGTGGAAGCGTTGGCGGATGGGGCGGCAAGGGGACGGTCTGTGGCGTGGATGAGGAGCCGCGCGAGGGGAGAGGAGGGCATGCGGACGCCGAACGTGGTCAATTTGGAGGTGACCTCGGGCGCCAACTCGGACCCGGATGGGTTGGGTAGAATGATAGTCAGGGCGCCTGGCCAGAATCGGTCGATCAGAGGCTTGTAGATCGGTGGGATGGAGATGCGCGGCGTCTGAGGAGATCCCGGGCTGGATCCCGGGCTAGATCCTGTGCTGGGTTTGACGGTAGGGTTGAGGAGACGATCGAGCATGTCCAGTGAGTCAACGTGAATGATCAGTGGGTTGTCTGAGGGACGCTGTTTCGCGCGGTAGATGCCCTGGACGGAGGCGCTGCGTGTAGCATCGGCTCCTAGTCCATATACTGTCTCGGTTGGAAAGGCGACGGGGAGGTCACTCGACCGGAGGAGTTCAGCGGCTTCTTCGATAGCCTTAGACTCGGGTGTTTGTCGGCTGCGCTCCTTCTCCCACCATTCGGGCAGAGACAAATCGCCGGGCCCTTGGCTCAGCCGTTGGACAGGGAGGACTCGCGTCTGCGTGGAAGACATGATTATGTATCTGACACAACTGCGATGAGCACCGCCGGCGAAAGTGCGAGTGAACAGCAATTTGAAGAGGTCTTGATCAATGACGCACTGTTCCACGCAAGCCGAGGGGCCAAAAGAGGAGAGGCCCGAGTTCCAATCGCAAGATATGATTCCTTAAGCGTGGATTCTGGTAGAGATCGTCTCTAAACCATTCGGTCTAACATCCTGCACGATGCCGTCAGAGACAACGATAAGAGTCCAAACGCAGGAGAAATTCGATTCCATGACGTCGGATGACTCATCACGTTGGGCACGCTGCGCAATAAGCGCAACACGAGCAGTTGCATATTGTCTATCTTTGTTTGAATAAATAAGAGTTAAAAATGGTAAGAAATGCATCTATAAAATCGCCGGGGCGGGGTTGTGGCTGATCACGGTATTTGACCAGGGTAGATATACATGTAGATCGGCTCTAACGTTATAAGCTATTGATAGCCCTACCTCATCGTTGGTGTATTGAGGCTCTCATCTATGTACTGTCTATACATTCAACACTTTTGCTCACTCATTTCTTCTTTCCCTTGCCTCCTTTGGGTCCTCCTCCACCCTTTCCACCTTTGCCCTTATCACCACCACCACCACCTCCTCCAGCTCCGCCCGGAGTCATGATACGCACCTTACTAACAGGCATGGTGTTAATGATCTCGGACTCCTTCCAGGCTTTGATTAGATCACCTTCCTGTGCGCGAAGGCGCTCTGCATCGACTCGGGGGATCCCAGCATCCTCGGCATGTTCCTTCTTGACCTTGCCGGTTGTGGTCTCGTGTACCCACCGACCGACAATCTCCTTGACAGCCTTGCCCTTCTTCACTGCACCCGGCTGCAGCTTAACCTTGTACTTGTAGCGCCCAAGGGCACCCCAAGGAGCACAGACTGGAATAGCAGCAAGGATCTCGTCATCGGTAGTCGGTGTGCCAATCAAAGCCGGAATCCAAGCGAGATCTGCTGCCTCTGCTGCTGCAGTCTCTTCATTGTAATCGTCCGTCCCAGTTTCCGTAAAGATAGCTTGGCGTTTGCGCTCGGCTTCGGCGGCGCGCTCGTGTTGGGCCCGGCGGCGTTGCCTTTGCGCCTCGGCGTCCCGTTCACGCTGCTCTTTGGCTTCAGCTGCCTTGGCCGCCTTTGCGGCTTTGCCCTTATTGGCACCCACGAGGCGAAGAGCTAGTTCTCGTTCCTCTTCATCTTGGTGAGCATACTTAGCAGCTGCACGCTTATCTTTCGCCCGCTTTCCCCGGGTGGGAGCGATGCGTGGCGCAGCTGGTTCCTCGTCACGGTCAAGTTGCTTGCCCTGTCGCAGAGTGCGCCGCTCTCTGGCCGAGAGCTTTTGCTCTTCCGGTCCTTGCGGCGCGGTTTGAGTCGCTGATGCAGCTTCTTCTTCGCCCTCTGAAGCTTGTTCTGCGACCTCTTCGGCGGGCTCTGCCTCTGGCTCGGACAAGGACTCAGATTCGGGTTCTTGGGATAGCTGAGTTGCCGGAAGCTCCAAGTCGCCTCGTTGAAGAGGGTTACGGGTTGCCGCTTTATTGTCTTCATCCTCCTCGTCTTCTGACGCCTCAGCTTCCTTCTCTGTATCTGCAGTAGGCTCCGGGGTAGACTCTGACTTCTCCGGGACCTCCTGTATCACAGTGGAGGTCTTCGGCTCTGAAGCAGCAACTGGTACTGCGGGAGTAGCATCAATTTTTGGAATTTCGAACGCGTCAAAGCGCTGCTTGTGGTTCTTAACACTGCTCTCTTGACTGATTTGGAACATGATAGCAAATCCAAGAACAAGCTGCGATGGAGCCAAGAAATTCTTCTCTCCCTTGATCTGGAAAGATCCAGTGGGTAAAATACCACTTCCATTATCCGCAACCTTTGACACTTGATGAGCATGCGCCCACCATGCGGACATGACGGCCTTGGAATCCCACGCCGTCGAAGTCGCGACACAAAGATTTCCGGCTTGAGAGAGGGTAGATGGGGAAATTGGCGCTTCGGCACTACCAGCTCGGTTCTTGACCACCATTGGCGTGGCACCCTCCAGGTCAGCGTGCACAAAAATATCGCCCTTGTTGAGGTATCGGCGGTAGAGAAGTTCGCTTTGCATGGCATCACGAGCACTAGAAAAAATCAGTACATGTCACAAACTAAACCCGATGGAGTCACATACCCGATGACCAAATAACCTTCTGAGGAGATAAAGAAGATGAATTTCTCAAACCAGAACGGCGTCCGAGTCTGTCGCAGCACTTCCTTCTCCTGCTTCAGATTCTTCTTGAGATCGGTCGTGACCTTTTTCTCGTGGCTCTTCAGTGCCTTGGTGGAAGATTGGGCTGTTCTCTCCGCCTTCTCCGAGGCCTGCTTCTTTTGATCGTAATATTGTGATGCATTTGCCCAAGGGCTGAGACCAAGGTCAATGTCGATAGTCAATGCCTTGGAATCTCTTTCAGCACGCCCGGCGTCCTGTTTTTCTTCATTTTCCGATTCAGATTCTGATTCGTCACTGCTAGAAACATCTTCATCCTCGTCCTCGTCGTCACCAGCCTCCCCAAGGAGAAGAGTGACGGTGTTCTCGTAGAGTTTGAGAGGCAGCCTGATGATTTGTGCTACTTGGTTGCCACGTTCCTGCTCCATCTCAATGAGACGCGCTATTTCACCCCAGTCCATTCCTTGAGCTACCAGCCCATTGACAGCGTCCATTGCCTCTTGGACTCGGTAAACATTGTCCTGAATGGCATCCGCCTTGCGGATATGAAGCTCTTGAGCATCTTTCAGTGCATCAATGCGCTTCTTGTGTTCCTGTCGTACGGATTCAAGCTTCTTCTTGGCGGCCGCCTCGCGTTCGGTCAGTCGCGACTCAAGTCGCTGCGATTCCAGAGACGAGAAATACTCGTCCACGGTAGCATTGAAGCGTTCAAACTCCAGGATCTTGATCCCCGGCTTGTCCTCAAATTGGCGAGGCTTGAACGGATGGAAGTCTTCGTACACCAAGCTTGTCTTTGACGAGTCTTCTCCTTCGGGGGCAGGCCGAGAATCCTCCTTGGCGACAATGTAGCCAGGGTGACTGTCGCCAGTATCAAAGCTTTTAGAGATTCGCTCCGCCTCCTCCAGTACCTCCTTCACTTTCTGTAAAATATCGGGGTTTCCCAAGACCTGATCCAGCGGCGTGGCAGTGTCGAATTCTTTGACGGCAAAGACATGGTCCATTAGCAAGGGAGGATATTCGGGGAATCCTTGCGACAATGCTTTTCGCAAAGCCTCTGTTCCCTTCTTCTTGGACTTCTTGGGCGCAAAGCCCTCCTGAGAAAAGAGCGCCTGTGCCTTTTCTAGTGTCTGGGTAATTCGATCCGTTGTGACATCCGGAACCCCGTTATAGTTTTGCTTGTTGGACACGGTATATTTGAGTCCAACCTTAATCTCCTCCTGACCTTCCCCGGCGGGAACTTGTCGGAACAATCCAATAATGTTGTATTCGCGGTCCGTCAAGATGATGTTACCACCGGCGAAGAATTCGAGGAACATGTGGTATGCGCCATCACTGAAGCAGAAATCTATAATGCGATCGGTTCCAATCTGAGTGATACTTGTAATCCGACGGGACTTCAGGTATTTTCGGAAGCGCGTAACGAAGGGAGAGGGTGTGGTGGCCGCTGTGCGCGAGTATTGAGTCACATGAGTGCGGAAGCCGGAGTCGACGATGAGTTGACGGCGATGGTCCGGTTTGGCGAGTTTGAATAGAAAGATGCGCTGAATCAATTAGTCCAGTCCGGCTGGGAGGAAAGGATCGGGCGTACCGAGGACAGGTCATAGATGTTGGATACCCGGAGGTGGACCAGCTCCGAGGCCAATTCCTGCGTGATGACCTAGGGCTGTCAGTAGGATATCTCTGCAATGAGGCTTTTAGGCATACCTTCACGTCCAGGGATGAGAATCTCTGCTTCATAATGAGTGTGGTTGTTGAAGGAGGAATTTTCGAGGTGACGTATGCGGGGCAGGAACAGTCGGAGTCGGAAAGCGTGATAGCGCGCATCTGTCCCCTTCCATCCTAATCTATAGAAAATCCTTCTTTTTTGTCTTTGGCATCCTTTCGCAGTCAACCTTAATACTTTGAAAGTCCGTTGTATCTTCCTAGAGACTTTTCACATATCTTGATTTTCCTTTGTCCCCTGCAAGTAGAGGTTCCTTCAGCATTCCATATAGATACATTATCTATAGTATTGCATTATCTATAGTATTGCTGATACTGTGGCTACTTAAAAACTACTATTCCTATTTAACAGTCTCTACTTATAAGTCTCAGAATCAGGACCAATTCTGCTGTTTAAATCATATAGTCCAAGTTTTCTCTTGCTTTGTGTTTAGCGCCCACCTTGACAGAATCACATAACTGCTATCTCTTTCAGCAGCAAATATAAAGCGGGTATCATCCAGCTAAAGGTCCGGGCACCTTGATGGGATTTCATTTTTTTTGTCGCTAGCAATGTTCTAGAAATTATAACCGGGTACAAGCAGCCGGGAGTGCGTTATAAAGGTATCTCTTTGTCGCATTGGAAGGTGTTGAAAACCTGTTTGTGTCGCATGGGAGGATGTTGAAAGCCTGTCTGTTCGCTCAAGTTGCATATGGGTTGATCATGTCGCTGGGGCTGTGTTGTTCAGGGGCGAGGGTTCTTTTCTAGGATAGCCAGCACTGCTTTGTCGCCGTGTCCCTTTACATAGTCTATAAGCTCATCGGTGACCACATTCACCAAACCTTCCTCTTTCAGCTTCTCAACCTCCGCCTTGAACCCTCCAGATACCCAGATCTCATCAAGAATTGTTGCAATGACGATACCATTGGTCTTGGTAACCCGGACAAGCTCTCTCAAGGCAGGGTCCGGTCCAACATGGCCCTGAGTGAATGTGCCAACGCATGACACGATGTCGTATGTTCCGTCTGGCTTGTCGATTGGCCGGTTCATATCAGCTTGAGTTAGATCACGGTAGACGCCAGTCTGTCTGGCAATCTCCAGCATGGCGGGAGACAAGTCAATGCCGTCAATTGCCTTTGCATTGGCGACTGCAAGGGCTTCTCCCACCAAGCCGGTTCCACAGCCAGCATCAAGAATCACACTGTCGGCAGCACCGTTCGACAATGAGAACTTCATAGCAGCTTGAGCGACGAGGACAGGAGCAACATAGTTCTGAGCTTCGTCGCCGACCTCAGCATTGTAGGTGGCAGCCCATTTGTCATAGAGCTCCATACAATGTTTGCTGTCGGTGCTGGCACGGGCCTGAGCCAGATAGAGGTTGTTCGTAGGAATTGGAGCGTGCATATTGAGAAAAAGATTGTTGTTAACAAAGTGTCAATTATGATCAGAGAGCTTTGATTTAGGGCTTGAATGAGGTTTCCGCCCTGCTACATCCCCCTTCTTATAGCAGATGCAAACATACAATTTCGGCTAAATTTGATCAGAGCATTGCGTGATGCGGGGTAACTACAACCTTCTTCAAAGAGTGACGTTTGGTCGATCGATGATGTCGGTGGGTGAGCCCAGACGTCTGGGCTGAAGCCTGAGCAACCTCTTACATCTAGAGACGCGGGAAATCCCCGCTCGAGAAAGCAGGCTAAGTTTAATGTATGCATGGAATGTTTCCAGTTACTCCGAGGAGCTAATGCACGTGGAGTCTTCTGCCTTTAATTGCCCTTGGTGGCATATTAATTCAATGCGTGCAATAGGCAACACCTTTCGGTCTTTCCTACACATACTTCAATACGTAGTGATGATTGTATATTGACCCGAAGCTATTTACTTGCGTTCATGTAGGATTGGCCTATTAAATAGCATATTTCCCCACATGTTCACTTAGTTATTCTCCGTATCCAGGGCCAGGGCGGGGAGACGATCACTGGTGCCTCACATTGGTACGTACCTATGAATACGGCGTGTAGAGCGGGTTCCTATCATTAACGTAAGCTAGGGCTAATGTTTTCCCCTGGTATTAGAAATAGAATAATATAATGCCAAGCTCTATGCTAATAGAGATAGATGCCTTGTCCATTTTCTTTGTGTCACTACTAACAGGTCTTGCCCTAATAAGCACCACTTCGTCTTGTAAGACGCTATATACTAACACAGCAAACCGACTAGATCTTCTTTAAGGGAATAGCAGTGAGTGAGCTTTGTCAAATCTCCGACCCTTATGGACATTTCTTTTGCGCTCAAGTATCTCACCTTGTTCGGATGCCTGAAATTACCTCGCTGCTGGTGAAAATAGTGAATATGAGTTAGTGGCCTTGCGCTATGTTAAGGATGCTGTCTGGTATAAGATATTGTTACATATTAATATTTGTTCTACTATTAACCAATGTGAAATGTCTTAGAAAATCCTTCTCTATGGTCTGTAGAGATACATTAGTCATATTTAATGAGTTGTTTGCTATCAAGCAACTTCACTCACACTCCCACCCTCACTCATACACACATTCTTTTCTCCTCTCTGTCTTTCGTTCATCACCGCTACTACATCTCACATCAGACAGATACAGCAAAAAAAAAATTTTTTTGTCCCTTTTTTTGGCGTTGTGCATAGTCTTTGACTGAATCATTAAAGTCCGCTACTCGGCTTCATTCTAACTCTCTCGCATTCTATACGCTTAGGAGTAGGAATCGCCTACTCACACGTATCCTTTAAGTCCTCTTAGCCTGCGTTTATTCCAACTTTCTCTATGCCATGCCCTTTCCAAGCCTGGAGTATCCTTTAATATCGTTTAACCCCGTCTCAGTCCGCTTTCTCGCATAATCTATGCTGTGGAATGGAGCATCCACATCAAACCTTGTGTATGCTAGGTCCTTACAGCTTCCTCTTAGTCCGATCCTCGCATACGTCAGACAAAGAACCTCATTACCAATCCTCACATGTCGGATATTATCCAAGGCATACTGACATTAGGAACTGACAGCAGCAAAACTCAGCCTCATCTTATTCCCTTGCCATTGTATCGGATCTTCCGTCTCCTCTGCTTGGCTTCGTCAAAAGATGTCATCTTTAGACAAACAATCACCTATAAACAAGATGTCGCTTGCGGATAGGCAAACGACTGAGACAGTGGGCGGGAAGCTCTGAGTATGAACATAAAATGCTTCTTTCTCCTAGCATCTTTCTATTTGGCTTCAACACTCATCTTGGTCCCCGGGAATTCTGAATTCAGCCACTCTGTCTAATTTGCCAGAATGTTTGTAGGTCGGTGATTCAAAGAGGCTGCAGAGCAGGCTGCAACTCAGTAGGAGATTGAAAAATTCCTCTCAGTGCAAAGCTTCGAAACCTTCTGATATTTCTTAACCTTGGCTCGGTTTTTGAAGCATAAGCAGCCGATTCGACCGTTATCTAAGCCTATTGAACTTTCGATACAGACTTATATGTTCGATATCAGTCACACGGGTGATTTAATGGCTCAGTCCCGTGTCAACTACTATCCCTCCACGCGGGACCGGTGTATGCCCAGCTTTGAATGAAGCGCCCATTTCTAGACAGACGAACCGCATCCATCTCCACCTATGCGAACACTAACAATTGCCATCTTGTACGCACAAACCATACCTATCGCATGGAGATGATTGTTCGTTGAATTGAGATTTCCCCACTGTAGCTTCCCACCCACAACTAGAACACGTCAGTTTATTGAGATAGTTATCACAAATGGAACCCTAATTTAAATACCTCAAGCCTTGCAACTCCAGATGTAACTTGACGTCAAGAATCCCAAAAACCGGGTTGAACTCACATTCCAACAAGATCTCATTCCGACGATCCCCTAGACACCGACTTTGTTTACGAGGTACAGTGATAACCCCAAGAATGTACCACACCTCCTATCCCTGCGTAAATAGATCATCGATTGATAAATTGTCCATGAAGATCCCCAGTTTTTCAACCCCTGCATCCTATCCCCGTATCCTGCATCTTCCATCTATCAATCCAATCGTACCTTACTTCACCGCGTGAAAGAAATATCAATTCAATCTACTCCTCAAAATGAAGCTCACCATCTTCCTCCCTCTGGCCGCTTTCTTGTCTTGGGCAATTGCCGAGACCACTGATCCTACCGACGATGCCAGTCCTTGTCTTGTATGTCTCTCCGTTCTACCTTGAGTAGACAATATACCATATCAATCAAAAACTGACCGTGCGCTTTCTCGTGTCTATAGCTGCGGTGTATGTCCGAGGCTGCTGACGTTGCTGGCTGTGCCTCTTCTGTCGATACCGAGTGCACCTGTCCTAGTGCTGCGTTCAAGGATGCACTCGGGTCTTGCTTGCAGCATTCTTGTACTGAAGATGATATCACAGGTATGTCTATCAGCTTCGTTTTGTTTGGGTTTTTTTCAAATTCGATTTTTGGACACTGGAACTAATTTTTCTTCTCCCTCGTCAGCTGCTGGAGAATTGCACAAGGAACGGTGTGGAACAACTCCTGCTGAATAAATGGGCTGTATATATTTTTAAATCCATATAATCTCTTCCAAACAGGTGGAAATAGTTATTTAATTCATGATTTCTAATTATTTTTGGGTTGTTGCTTGGTGACTTAATACCGTAGATGGACTATCTGCACAAATATATATTGACCTCTGATTGGGACAGTAGCAATTTCAATTTTTTATAAGGGCAAGCTCCCTACGACCACTCAATTATGAGATATGGTCATGCTTAAAGCAATTAAAACTGGAGATATTTCTATCGCAACCAGGCGGCCGGATCATCAGTATAGATTTCTTCTACGGCCATTGAGTGGACATGAGTGACGTGACCGAGACTTTGGCCCCATTTTCATGCATCTACGGAGTCCGCTCGGACATTGGGCCTAGGCTCATTCATGCCAGGCGTGTCAGATCTGACAGTTTTGAGGCCTTTCCCCACGAGCCCGAGGATTTGTCTTACTGATGTCGAAATTGAGTCTGCGTACTCCGTATAGTGAGTGCATGATGCTTTGGCTATGAATGTTGGAAGACTACTCTACTTGTACGCGAAAATGATCTACTTGCAATCAAGTAAAAAAAGTACCCATGGAAGAACTCCATCATTGCGATTGCACGAGATTGATATCAAGAATAGGTGTGACAGGTAAAGAGAGCACATTCAAGTATTTTTGTCGTTCTGAACTTCATATTCTGGAATGACCCATCAACATCTAAGCGGAAGTCTCGAAGGCACCGGGGAAGCGCTTCATGTTCTCCTCGATCTGACCGTGGCCACGGAGGAACTGAACGTAGGCACCGTCCTGGCGGAGCTTGCCCTCCTGGCGGAGCTGAACGTAGTCCTCACGACGAACGGGGGTGAAGCCCCAGTTCTTGGAGACAATGATCTTTTGGCGGCCGGGGAACTTGTACATGGAGCGGCGGAGAGCCTCCAGAGCGGTGGGGCGGTGGGCGTCACGGGTACGGACAGACAGAATGATCTGGCCGATGTTGACACGGGCGACGAGACCCTGGGGCTTTCCGTAGGCACCACGCATACCGGTCTGCAGACGATCGGCACCAGCGCACGACAGCATCTTGTTGATACGGACGACGTGGAAGGGGTGGACACGGACACGGAGGTGGAAACCTTCCTTACCGGCGATCTTCACGAGGTACCTATTGACGAAAGTTATGAGTTTGCGTTCATGTAAGGCGGATGAGTTCGAGGGACATACTTGTTGGCGCAAATACGGGCGGCTTCGAGAGCCTCGGAGGACAGCTGCTCGTACTCGTTGGAGACCAGGTGGACACAGGTGGGGAAGTCGTCCACGTTGGCCTTCTTACGACCAAGATCGAAGATACGAATCTTAGGGTCGGGAACACCACGGTTGAACCGGGACTTGGGGTAGGGCTAAATGTTGATTCATGTCAGTCAAATCGATCTTCCAAAAAATAATTGATCCTCCAAAAATCGATAGCCCAAAGCCCAGCAATTTTCCTCTGCAATAGACGACATCCCAGCCATGGCGAGTTGGTTGCTGGAGAGCGTGGTGCTCTTTGGTGTACACTCCCCACAACCGAGATGTCCATCCATCACCCACACAAATCATTCTCCCTCCTTCAGATCGAAACGCACCTTGTTCTTGCAGTAGCGGTAGCATCTCGCGGGACGACGGGCCATTTTTAGTGCTGGAGGTGGGGTGAATGCACTTCCTGCGAACTGGTTGTTGGTTGTCGGTGGTGTCGAGGGTTCGAAAAGAGAGAGAGAAAAGAGCCCGCCAGTCACGGGATTACCTGATTTCCAAGCAAATGTGCTAACCGGTGGCAAAGCCCTAACCCTATGCGAGACGGGCCAATCAGGGACCGCCCGCCTTACCGCTTTGGGCCAATGGACTATCGGAGGAACATCTATACGCTGCGGCGAGTTTTATCAGCATCATTTATCCGTAAAGGATAATTAATAAGACCTGCATGACATGGTGTCATTCGTGGCGTTGGTCCGTCTACAGTAACTACGCTTGTGCTTAAAGCTACGCATGCCCCAATATGATTAGTCCATGGGTAGATTTGTACTAATCTCATATGCGGCGAGAATCATTCAAGATCTCGCGGCGCATATGTCGCGAACCTATCAACCCCGTACTATTCCACTGACGTGCCGTCTAAACCGAGCTGGTAAGGATGTCGGAGTCACCGGCATCCAGGATGGCCATAGTGGCGCAACGGAACAGCTTACCGCATGCGGTACCAAGCTCGATCTTCAATTCTAATTAGCAATCCTGCAGCATTTTGCCTCAAACAAAGAATGACTCACGTTGTTGCCTGAGAAGTGGTGGACGGGAGTCTTGGCGAGCATGGCGTAGTACTCAAGCTCAGACTTGCGGAGCGGAGGAGTGTTCGCAGCAATGATGACCAGCTTGGCCTTGCCCGAGCGCAATGTGTTCATGGTAGACTTTGCTCCCAGGGTGACCTTACCCGACTTCATCACCAGAGCGAGCCTGGAGTTGACCTGCAATATACTGTTAGTCAAGGTGCATGACCGCATTGCGACAGCAGCAACTCACATTGTCGGAACCCTTCTTGGACTTGTTGGGGGCCATCGTTACGCGGAAGTTCCTGAGGACTTCGGTTCGGTATCGAAATAGGGGTCAATTGTGCGCTCCGGCCTGGTTTGTTGAAGTGGAAGCAACCATCGCAAATGAAGATCTCGATCAATACTGTGGACACGGAGATACATTCATCCGGAAACCTTAGTCTAACCGCCAAGCCATAGTCGCCTGAGGCATGAAACTCCTTGAAACCGTCATGTATGGTGCTTTTAGGGATATCACAACATTCAGTCCTTGTTATAATTGTCAAACAACGAACCGTTCACACGGCCCTCGAATCTAAGCTTCTATATATACCTTCCTCTCTCATTCGCTGTTCTGAGTCGTTCTGACTCGTATTGATCCGGCCCCCGACCCGTTACGCGTATTTTTAGATACAAGAGTAAGGGATCCGCATTCCTCACCGTTGACTTATGGTCTGCAACCGTTCTTTTTCTCTCATTCCAGCCCTCTTCCGGTAGTCTGTGTTCGATGATTCTTCTCTTTCGATCAACCATGTGGCGCGTAATCAAACTGTGACAGCTTTCACTACATTCCTGGCCTTCAATCTACCCATACAAGCGCTCTCCACTAGGTGTCCACTAGGCTTTGACCGCCGATTGCGCTGCACCCTGAATTTCCTCCCCTTCTCCTGACCACCAATTGAAGCGCAAACTGGAGGCTTTTGGCATTCTTTCTATATACTTTCGCCAGAGTCCACGGACTCGGGACCCTGCACCATGTCAGCATCGCCTCGCAAGCCTGGAACTCCCGGCAATTCCAGCAAATCACCACCCGCAGATCCGCACTCAACCAACGGGTCCACCACACGAGGGCATGCACGCTCGCCCAGTGCCGCAACCAACGGACTCAACCGTTCCCCATCTTTAAGAGGTTCTACTCCCGTCTCTGCGCGCGCGGCTGCAAGAAAACCTGGCCGCTCCAACCTCAGCATGTCGAACGTTCCACGAGTCTCCAACGACCCCTCTGAAGAAGAGGCGCGGGCCCAGAATGCCGCCCTCATCGAAGACCTACGATCGCAGCTTCAAAAGGCTGAAACGGCTTCCGAACAATACCAGAAACAGCTAGGCGTTTTGCAAATGCGTCTTGATGAAGCAATCAGTGAACAAAGCAAGTTGGAGGACCAGGCCCACGAGCGAGACAGTCGGATCGAGGTCCTTAACAATGAAATCCGGGACCAAGGTCGTCAGATCCGTGACTTGGAACAGAATCACGAGTCCGAGCGGAATGCCATGCTGCAAGAGAAGGAGCAACAGACCAGCCGGGAGGAAGAAATGCAAGCGACAATCCAACGATTGAAGGATTCAGTGGCGCAAAAGGATATGCGCATGAACTCAGAAGGTGACCGCCACCAAGTCTCTCGATCTTGTAAGACGACATAACTCTTGTGATCGCTGAGTATATGACAACCAGAGACTAACTTTCGTACAGCTAGCTTTCGCAACCGATCTTCCCCGGACGTGGATGGCCAATTTGCACCCTCTTCGCATCTCGAGCGTAGCCCCTCCCGCAACAACTCTACACTTCTCCTGCAGAAAGATAAAGTCATCGAGTCACTACGCCTCGAACTGGCCGAGTCGCAAATAAAACTTGTCGAGATGGAGAATGCAGGCGGTGGCCGCCAGCGTGAACTAGAGAAAGACCTGCTCGAGGCTCGCATGGCTAACGCCCGCTTGATGGAAGATAACGAAAGCTACCAACTCCTACTCAGCGAGAAGACCCTCACTGGAGACTTCACTAAGGGCGAGTTCATGCGGGATGCCCACCCTACAAAGGAATCGTCCGGTGGCCTGGGATCTTTGGCAGATGAGCTAGAGTCTGTGGATGAGTCACCTGAGAATGATTCCAGCCCTAAGCCAGAGGGAGAGATCAAGGCCCTCAAAGACCAGAACAAAGCCCTTACACTTTACATTGAGCGTATCATTAGTCGAGTTCTCATGCACGATGGGTTCGAACATGTTCTGGACCGGAATGAAGACCAGTCTGGCGGGAAGTCAGGCAACGACAAGGACCTTCCCCCGACCCCTCCAGAGAAGGATGACGCACATTCGTCTTTCTTGCAACGCGCCAAGTCGGTTGTCGGTGGTCAAGGTGCTCGCCCTTCAGTTCAACCCCGGTCGCGCCCAACCAGCATGATGCCTCCCCCCACACCATCGCAGAGCAACCCAAATGAGAACCCCAACACCGCACCAAGCATTCCCTTCCGCACTCAGTCTGTGAGAGCTAGCCACCGCCGCAGTCGCTCTGAACAGGTCGACACCGGAGCTGCCAATGTTGTCGGACAGATCTATCGCGGACGCAACTCTGGCGGACCGATCAGCCCGACTGCTATGGGCCCTGGATCGCGCCAGAGCATGTTCTCCGGAGCAGCGAGCTATATCTCTAGCATGAGCCGTGCTCCATCCATGTCCAGCCAGCCAGACCGGGCCGGCCACAGCAGCTCCCCTAGTATCACGAGTGACCCTCACGGAGATACTGCCTCTACTGGGGCCACCTCCAGCCCTCCTCGCTCTAGTGGAGGAATGAACAACTACACTGGAGCAGTGATGCAGCAGGATAAACTGCGCCCCCTGCGTCTTGTCAGCGAAACCGCCAGACTCAAGGAGGAGGAGGACGCGGCCCGCAAGAAGGCTAACCGCGCGAGCTGGATTCCGTGGTTAAACCGCGCCAATGCTGAAGAACCGGCGCCGCAGTAGGCCGTGTTCCTCGGGCAGTATGATTTGATGTGATCTGGAAATCGGTCTTTACCATATTTTTAACATACCCATACCCTCTATGATGCACATAGCACGATTCATGTATTCCCTGAGTTTTCATGTTTCTTTTAACGCAATGCGAGTCCTCCCCCATCAATGTGGTTTTCGTAAAGGAGTCTGGACATCGCGGCTTATTTCGATACATATATTATTCCCCATGTCTGAGTTACGACGTATTTGCGATCACTTTGTGTCATGTCCCCAATCTACATGTATGCTTTATTTCAGTATCCTCCAGTTGCGATGAGCTAGCAAGAGCTGGCCATGGATCTATTTTGTAGATATCAATGTGATAAAAAACCAAAACATGAAGCAGCTTAGATCGAAGTCCTCTATGAAATTAAAAGCCCAAAGTAATGAGTTATGCACTGATAGAACACGGAACAACATTAGTGCGTCTCCGCCTCCGGCCAGATTGGCGGTTGAGAGCAACAACAATCGTAGAATTCACCAATTGCTCTCCAAAACAATAAATCACCATGCCCGGCCCTCTGTCCCTCTTCTCCGTCAATGCGGTTCTCGTCATGTCCGCTGACGACGGCTCCCGCATTTTCACCAAGTACTACTCAGCCCCCATCCCCCCGCCGGTGCTGTCCCCAACTCGACCGACTACCCCGGCGCCAACCCATACCCCACTGTCAAGGAGCAGCGCGCCTTTGAAAAGGGCCTCCTCGAAAAAGACCAACAAGTCCTCAAGCGATGTGATCCTGTACGACAACCGCATCGTGGTCTTCAAGATGGAGAGCGACGTCATGCTCTACGTTGTTGGCAGCGCCGACGAGAACGAGGTCCTGCTGTACAACGTCGTCCTCTCACTACGGGATGCTCTGGGAATTCTATTCAAGTATGTCCCTGTTATATTTGTTGGGGTTTTTGTTGCTAGTGGTTTCTAACATGTCTGTTTCAACCAGGGGCGCAACCGACAAGCGCACTATCGTCGAGAACTACGACCTAGTCTCCCTGACCATTGACGAAATCATCGATGACGGCATTATCCTCGAAACAGACCCCGTCATGATCGCCTCGCGGGTTAGCCGTGCTCCAGCCGCAGATGCGCCTAATATGAAGAACATCGACCTCTCCGAACAGGGTCTCATGAACGCCTGGGAGTTCGGTAAGCGCCGCCTTGCAGAGGGTCTGCGCCAGATGTAACGGGGACACGAATATTTGTCTTGCGTTCTAAGGTTGGGGCATTGATGTGATGTGTTTTTGGCCCTGTTGAAGCATTTCTTAAGTATTGTTTTACCCACCCGCTTTTCTTCCTGGCTGGTCCTGGCGTCATACGGCTATTCTATTTTATTCTATCTTTTTTCCCTTGCTCAACTTGGTTATTTGTCCTGGGATCTGAAGTCATAGACCTGTTTCTGTTGATTTCGTTTGCATTTTACAAAATGACCTTGGCTGCTGATTGTTCTTTGTCCTTTGATATTGATATTGACAATGCTGAGCCGGGAAGCTGCATAATTCATGATTCCATGTCCTGAGTCTAATGAGTGCAATGAGCAAAAGCAATAGCCTCGAATCCTTGATAAGGGGTTTCATTTTCTACAAGTATTGAGTCGACTATGCTAGGTGCCCAATCCCCATAACTGGCTGGATGATGTGTATACTGGATATTCTTGATCTGAATGCCGCGACAGAGAATAGACTCTGGAGCGCGATGAGGCACGCCATCAGGGAGAATAGTTCATTCTTATTATAAACTAGATGAAGGCTTTTCTTATAACACGAAGCCAAATTTTTCCCATGAAAGGAATAACAAAGGAAGCCATCGTTCGATAAGATTAAAATTCCAACATCTGTGCAGTCCCCTCAAGATTGGAAAGCCACGGTACTCGATACTTCGTCCAAAACTCCATGGTCGGCTTGACCTGCGCGAATGCATCGGGGTCGTCCAAAGTCCCAACCTGAACAACAGCAACGCCCTTAAAAGCTTCGAGATCGGCCGTCTTGTAGATTGCACCACCACAATTGTCACAGAAATGGACAGTTAAGTTCATACCACTTTCATGGACCACACTGTAGCGCTTAGGTGTACCGGCAGTGATTTTGAAATCGTTCTCCGGGATCATGATGTTAACCGTATTCGTGCCGCCGCTGATCTTCCGACATGATAGGCAGTGGCAGGTAGCCTGTATACCAAGCTCAAATTGAGCTCCTTTGTAGAGATTGTCAAAGGTCTTACCATTCCTTGTGGCTCTCCGGCAAACTCATATTGGAGGTTTCGGCAAAGGCAGGATCCGGTAGGCATTTTGGCGTTGATAATTGGGAGTTATGGCAGTTGAGTGACTACGCGGGGCTGAACTGCTCTTATACGAATCTTCAGCTGTCACTTGACTCTTAAACTCGTACCTGTCCTCGTGTTAAAGCCACTATAGTCATATACTACGTAAGCAAGTGTTTTCGATTCTCGACCTCGGGTGGATATCGCCACTGTAGGGCTGGCCCGTTTCCGTATTCTTGATCGCTTTGATTAACCAGACCGGTTTTTTTCTTTTCTTTTCTTTTCTTTTTTTGGTTACGCTTTAGTTGAGGAGCCCGAGGGTGGTAATAAGTTAATTCTCCGAATGTTTGTTCTTTTATGCAAGCCCTAGAAATTTTGCGCTAATGTTCCAATCAGACACGTTTTTTTTTTTTTTTTTTTTTTTTTTTTTGCGATGAGAACAGGCGGTGATCAACTGAGGGACAAAACCCAAGTTGGGGTTCTCTAAAGCCAGATCTTGGGCAGTGCGACCCTTGTTATCCAGTATAGAAGGATTGGTTGACGGGTGATCCAGGAGTGCCCTTACAACATCGGAATGGCCGTGGACAGCCAAATGTAAAGGAACTAATCCCTGTTTATCGGTCTCGTTGGGATCAGATATTCTATGAATCATGTACATAACAATTTCCCGGTGTCCATGCATAGCCGCAAGATGGAGAGGCATATGCCCCGTATCATCCCGTAGGCCAAAATCGGCACCGTGATGAAAAAGTAGAGCAACGATCTCATCCAGTCCATTGATGGTGGCTTCAAGTAAGGAGTTTCGACCAAAGGCGGAGGGGTCTTTGGCATCGATATCAAATTTGCGGGATGCAAGAAGAACTTTTACTGTGGAATTGTGACCATTTCGCAAAGCGAGGTGTATTGGGTCCCAAGAAATATGGACGTTCGACCACGCAGGTGGAACAAGGCCATCTTTTGAATCCAGAAGAAATTGCACCATGGAATTATCTCCGTCCTTTACTGTCCGTTTCATTGCCCTGAATCCGAGAAATGGACGTCCTGCCCAGGACGGCTCAGCACTGTGACCGAGGACGAATATCCTTTCATTGCAGCCCATTCCAAAAGCAGATCTGGTGATCACTCCAGCCATGTTCATGGCGCCAACTAGCTTGCCCACCTTTTCGACTGTAGACTTGATCCACCCTGCGACTGATTGACCATTGCGCACATCGATGGCGGTGGTTATGTGCTTATCAGAGTTAGGCAATCACTGAATTGCCTCTACTAGTGCTTTCCCCTTGATATCGGCCAGCGAGATTAGTGCACCGCGAGATGCGAGGAGCTTAGCTGTTGGGAGTCCCATGCCCGGAGGCTGCGCCGGTAATTGCAATCGGATTAACACTTAACAGCGCGGGTAAAAATAGTGGATAAAACTTCAACTTACTACTTTGTCTTCAAAGGACATCATTGTGTGGTGCTCTGCAGTATTGCGAGAATGATAATGACCAAAGCCATGGCAGGATAGTGATATGTGCGCAATCCACCCAAATAATCCCGATTCAAACCTGCAATGATGAAGTTTTGGCTCAATGGCTGAATAACTATGGATAACAATCACCAAGTAAATATGCCAGAGAGGCAAGTATGCGCGCACCACCAAATAGGCAGGTTTCCGCTATCGGAGCTCCACAGATCGGCCCTGCTATTCCCCGCAATATAGGGAGTAGGGCTCACTTCCTTCATCTCCCCAAATGGATTCAATTCGAGAAAGTGTACACGAGATTGGTCATACGCGGTCATTCACAGGATGCAGCACAGTAAGTCTGATGGTGCCCAGTAATGCTAATCTCTAACCAGAACAGTGTCGAAGTCGGCATGTCAAATGCGACGAAGGACGCCCGACATGTTCCATGTGTGAATATCTCGGTATAACTTGTGAGGGATACAAGAAAGATATCTTCTTCGACTTTGAGAGTTCATCCGGCAATCATGGGGTGCGCTTTCGCCGACCGTTGCTCTCGCTTGAGGACCGTGAACGGATGAGCGAATGGCTTACTTCGAGTGTTCCTCCCAAGCAAACTCTGAAGATATTATCCCATATCGATGAAGAATGCGAGCAAGCATCTTCCTCAGATGAGATTGACATCCGTCGAGGCCCCTTTGGCGGTTTCAGAATCAACCCGGGGCGAAGCGCTGTGCCTGTGCCTGTGCCCTGTGAGCCAGTCGTGAATGTGAACCACCCAGAAGACACAGAATCAAGTCCTCCGCAAGATCTCATTACTATGAATAACAATTATGAACTATCGCCACCGCTACCCCTTTCGCCCTGGTCACAAGGCCTGATGCACCTCATTTTCGACCTGCCCGAAAACGTACCCAGTCCTCCTTCTCCAGGACTCTTAGAAGCTATGTTGAATCCACAAGGGGGAAACAACACAGAATTACACGAATATATGCCAGTAGGCTTCATGCCTGACCCTTATTACAACAACGCCACATCACCAACCTCTCTATCTTCCACGAGCACCACGAAATCCTTCCCTTATGACGCTGTCTTCCTTCTCAAGCATTACGCCTCGGCGGTAATAAGCTTGATGACTCCACTTCGGCACTCCAAAACACCCTGGCATGTTCTTTTTATACCTCATGCCAAAAATTGCCTTGCAGCTCTGGCTCTGAATGATGAAATGAGCCATGCCTGTCTATGCGCATTCTACGGGATGTTGGCTATCAGTGCATTTAGTCTGGGAGGGGTCTCTCGGTCTCAGACGTGGCTTGAAAAAGCCGTGATATACAAGGAAGAAGCCCGAAAGCATGCGCGGATGATGTTAATGACTGCCTATGATGTCCCCAAGGTGGCCAAATACAAATCTATTCTGATGGCCTTACTTACTATGGTACAGGTTTTGATGTTTTCAGGAAATAGAAGCGAGACTGAGTGCTACTTCCTCGAAGCGGAAAAGTTCATTCGGTTAAGAGGACTGAAGCGCAAGAAATCCCGCAAGGTCCGTCTACTTCATCACTGCTATGCGTTTGAGCGCATTATACATGAGAGCATCTTCATCTGCGGTGCAAGCTCAACCCAGCGGCATCATATTCGCACAGCAATTGAATCAAGTGGGCTAGGAATGTATAGTCTTGACAGTCTATCATTCCGGCTCACTGGCTGGAAGAACTTGAACCAAGAGATGATGAGAGTACGCGGACAAGAGGAGGGAGAGAACGACCTACACCTTGAACGTCCGGGGCTTTGGTCTTCTACGCTTTATCCCGAGATATTTGGTATCCCAGAACAATGGGTCTTCCTTTTATCTCAGGTGGTCCGACTTGGAAAAGAGAAAGATGCAGCAGAGGGAGAAGATACAACAAATTGTCTCAGCCTAAAAGATTTTATCAACCGAGCAAAGACACTCGAAGATTCGATCAACAATCTCCACTTACCCAGCCGGAATACGTTCGCACCTGGAAATATCAACTCTAAACTCGACCAAGATATAATCGATAATATGCTAGAGGCAATGCAGAATGCACTGGCAATATACTTCTACCGTCGAGTTCATGATGTGGATGCATCCATATTGCAGACAAAAGTCGTGGGTGTTTTGGACCGATTACTACGCTGTGAATATGCAGACTCTACAGTGGTGCACGGCTCAGCGGGGTTCATCTGGCCTGCCTTCATTGCAGCGTGTGAAGCCGAGGATTCTTCTGTCCAAGCCACATTCTCTAATTGGTTTGAAAACTCGGCTTGTCGGAGCGGTCTTTCTTGCTTTACGGATACATTGGACAATATCCAGAGGATATGGCAGGAAAAGTCTTGTGCCAATGGGAAGAGTGTTACTTGGTTGGATCTGATGAAGAACACTGTGCCGTTGCAGTCGCACTTATGATTTTTATGAAGGGATGTTTTATGCTAGTGTCTGTTTCTTGTATATCGACAGGACCAAAGGTTGGGTCTGGCCATAGCCATACCTTGGTAAACCTGTGTCGACTTCATGCTACCACAATGTGCAGAGTATTGTGTATGACCATTGACCGCTTTATTGCCTCTAACCGCCTGCGTAGATCCTTTTGAAACCGTCTCCTTGAGCACGTTTCTTGTTCGTTGCTCACTTCGGTACTCGCAATTTCTGCAGCTTTTCCAACAATGCCCTGCCGGTTATATTTTTAACAGTCAAAACGACTAATGCCCCAGATACCAAGATATCACTCTTGGCACTGGACCTCAACAAGAATTGTGGCTGTTTGAGCCAAGAACTTCAATCTAGAGCAATGTGCTCAACTTGCGTGTGGCCGCGTAAGATGCGCGCTAGCCTTTGACTCTATACCTAGCACAATACTGCCTTTCTGAATGATTAAATGTGGAATTCTCTTGGCATTGTCGATCCATCAGCCTCGCCTCGCCTTGCAAATCTCCACGCGGCCCAAATCCGTTCCTTAAATGGCAACAAAAGAGTTGCAGTAACAGTTCTAAATTCCTCCTTATGCGGGGGGCCGCGTCACTTACCTCTACCCTCCTGTTCATTGGCCCGGGACCCTGCTTCTCTACATGAAGTGTTTACTTTATTCAGATTGAATACCGGCGGAATAGACTTACGAGTACGGGTTTCCAACCACCCTGTTGCAGCCAGGAGAAAATGCACCTATAGAGTGGCCCTTTTCGACTTCGCTTGATCAGCTGAGCAAAATCTTTTAGGTCTGGGTCCTCGCGAAATACTTTTCTTTTGACGCTAATGCAAATTCCTGAGTATCCGGTCTACAAGCTCCGGAGAATAACTGGGGTATAGGCGGCATGGTTCATCCCGCCAACCAGATGGTAGCCGAAGTAATCCAATTTCACTTCAAGAGCCTTGGCGAGAGAAAGATGGTTTTGTTTGTGCTCAAGAATGAATTGATGTATCAAAGGTCCTGCAGTCACGGAAGAGAAGTTAGATGGCCAGGAAAACGTATATAAGCTGGAGACTCATCCCGCAAGAGAAGAAAGATTTCTTCATCACCAGCAACAAGCAGCAATTGACAACCAAATTGCTCGATCAGTCATGGTTTTCTTCTCCAAAGTTGTTTTGCTTGGATTAGCTGCTATTGCAGTGGCTCATCCAGGCCATGAGGATCACTCAAGTCCAGCTCTGAAGCGAAGCTTTCTTCATCACTCCCGACGTAGCTTGGCTGCTTGCGCGGAAAAGACCGAGTTCCGTGCCCTTCAAGCCCGTGCAGCTTCTCGACGAAGGGATATTGCAAGGAAGCATGCGAAGAGAAGTACTGACTCCGGTGAGTCTTGGAGAAGGTCCAGTTCATTCACCATAAATATGCTAACGATTGGCAGAGTTTCTCAAGGTCAGAGATCTCTCAGATGTCCTGGCCACCTCTCATTTGTCTGACATAACTGGTGTCACGGCTGACTCTTCCTCTGATGTCTTCTTCTCCGAGAACGTTACCTGCATTCTCTCCCCGGAGGGTGAGGTCGGCCCCTTCTGGGTCAAGGGAGAGCTGATTCGGTCCGACCTAGTTGATGATGAACCAGGTGTTCCAGTGGTGATGGATGCTCAATTCATTGACATCAACACCTGCGAGCCAATTGTTGATCTTTACTGGGACGTCTGGAATTGCAACTCGACTGGTGTCTACTCCGGAGTCCAAGACAGCAGCAATGGAAACGGCAATGACGCGAGCAACCTCGATAACACCGCTCTGCGAGGCCTCCAGCCGACGGATACAGATGGAGTGGCCCAGTTCCAGACAATTTTCCCTGGTCACTATAGTGGTCGGGCAACCCATGTTCATGTCATCGCCCATGTTGGCGCAACTGTTCTTTCCAATGGTACCCTTACTGGTGGCAATATTGCCCATACTGGCCAGATGTTCTACGACCAGGACCTCATCAGCCAAGTTGAAGCGCTGTCTCCGTATAGCGAGAATGCAGTTGCGATTACACTCAACGCCAATGACCGCGTTCTGGCCGGAGAGACTGAGAACAGCGACTCGGACCCAGTTTTCAATTATGTTCTCCTTGGTGACACCGTTGAAGATGGTCTCTTTTCTTGGGTTACTGTCGGCATCGACACTTCTGCTAGCTATAGTGCGAGCTATGCAGCACTTCTTACAGCTGATGGAGGTGTTTCGAGCTCCAGCTCTGGTAGTGGAAGCAGTGGAAGCAGCGGTGGAAGCGGAGGCAATGGTGGAGGTAATACTGGAAGTGGCCCTGGCGGTCCTAACTAAGCCTGCCATATCTGTGCAAGATGGGAATGCTCAAATAAAGTCAAGTATTTATGGCAAGGCATAGGGGCTTAGGTTGATTGTATGGGAATAGTCCGTCGGCAGCGAAAGCTAAGAGCTGGCGGTGCACAGACGAATGAAGCACCGGGAGACTCAGATGACTTCTCCTTTATACTATCTGTCAATCATCTCCTGAGGAATATAAATCATTCTTTCAAACGACATTCAAACAGTGTGATCTTGGTGAGTTGATTGCCCTGTCGCCTTGAGTTGCTCACTTAGCGATCTTTTATCCACCCCCATGATCGGGCAGGAGACGACGTATTTGCATGATGTTATAGTAATTTTAGTCACGGCTTTCGAACTCTTAACCTGTACTGCTTGGACTGGCGTCTTGAGATAGTTGACTGTCAATCATTGTTGCGATATCTCTATACTTGTGCCAACAACCTATTAGTCCTACCTTATCTCGAAGGTAGCAATACCCCTCAGGGGCATGAAGCAGGGAAGCCTACAAGATATAAAATAGGAAAGTAAACACGGTGAAGTAATGTGGAACTGGGTAGTAGATAGTGGACATCAAGTTAGGCAAGTATCCGCGACAACCCCACATACCACTTGTACGAAGTATACTTGCGAAGATGAGGAGTAATCCCAAACTGCTGCTATTTATTGGAGGCATTGACCCTCAATATGTTGATTCGTGTATTCAAAATCCTTCCTTTTCCTCGAAGTCCCTCCCGCTGCGTGTAACAGAAGCACACACGACAGCCCCAACAAACCACATCATTCAAAATGGACGTATCAGGAATCGCACTTGTCACCGGTGGAGCTTCAGGCATCGGCCGTGCATGCGCGAGGGCATTCGCTAGAGATGGCGCCTCAGGAATTGCCTTGCTGGACCTGAACGCCGAAGCCCTGGCCGCAGTCAAAGCCGAGATCCAAGAGCTATTCAGAAAACAATCTGGCTCAAAGCCCTGCCGAGTCGAAACATACCCCACAAATATCACCGACGAGAACCGTGTGAATGAAGTCGTACAAGAAGTCGCCGCAACCTTCGGCCGACTGGACTACGTCGTCAACGCAGCCGGAATTGCCATGAAGCACCCAGGCGGCGCAGCATTCTGCGAAACATCCGACTGGGAGCGCATTCTCAACATCAACCTGACGGGAACATTCTTCGTCCTGCGCGCTGCTGCGAAGATCATGTTGAAGCAGGAGCCGATCCGATCTTCTATTAATGGTCGGCCATTGCAGCGGGGCTCAATTGTCAACTTCTCGTCTATTCAGGGTATTGCTGGAATCGCCCTATCCACTGCATACACTGCGAGCAAGCATGCCATTATTGGACTGACGAGGACTGCGTCGGAGGATTATGCCAAGGATGGATTGCGCATCAATGCTATCTGTCCTGGATACACTGAGACTCCACTCACGACGAAATCGCCTCAGATTCTGGCGGCTATGAAAGAGAAGGTTGCCAATGCGGTGCCTATGGAGCGTATGGGTCAGCCTGAGGAGATTGCCGACGGTGTTATTTACCTGGCTGGTGGGAGGAGTTCGTTTGTTACTGGTACGGCTTTGTTCGTGGATGGTGGTTATACACAGAGATAGATGGTGTTTATAACATTGAGATGAAATTTATTTGCATCTATTTATTCTGGAATGCGAAACAAATCGTTGAGACATACACTTGGACGGTTCCGTCGGGTGTGACCTCACCACCTCTATGTATCCGGCACTACCGTTCTTCTCCTTTTTTTATTGAGAACATTTTGTGATTTAACAAGTCGAGAACAGTAAATTGGATATCGCTTGTAATAAGCACTTGATGTTCTCACGTTAGCCGAGTTCTTGACCTAAGTGCAAGACTCCGACCCCGATCACTCTAGACTCCTGCGAGAGTTATGAACAATCCTGGGAGGATATTCGGTTCTTTGCTATCCAATAGTTCTAAATCGAGCTCTCCTTCATGGATTGGAGCCCCAGTCACACTTCGATCCATCTCAACAACTTCAAACAACCATCTACGACTACGGCATTTTACGAGCCAGTCTCGGAGAATTCGCTTTTCATCAAGCAAACCACGCATCTCTACACAGCCCACAGACTTCCAATCAGCAAGAGCAAAGATGAGCAGCCAGCGTGTCCCAATAGAGCCACAGCGTGTAGACGCGCCGCTCACACAATGCGCCACATTCCTCGTGGTATCAGTAACCAACAAGCCCGACGCAATTGAAACCGTGCAATCGACATTATCAGGCCTAGAGAGTCTAGCCAAAAATGTCTCTATCCGGGACCTTGGCGCTCAATTTGCTTGCACTGTCGGCATAGGAAGTGAAATCTGGGATAAGCTCACAGGCCTCCCCCGACCCGCTGAGCTACATCCATTCCGTGAGATCAAAGGCGTAAAACACACAGCAATCTCCACGCCGGGTGACTTGCTCTTCCACATCCGCTCTGAACGTCGCGATATTTGCTTCGAGTTTGAGCGCCAACTGATGGACCAACTCGGAAGTTCTGTCAACGTCATCGACGAAACAGTCGGCTTTCGCTATTTTGATGTACGCGACCTCCTCGGATTCGTGGATGGAACAGCCAACCCCGTCGGACCGGCAGTTCCATCTTCAGTTCTTGTCGCAGAAGAAGATGGCCATGCTTCAGGTGGAAGCTACATCGTTGTGCAGAAATATACACATGATCTACCTGCATGGAAAGATCTCTCGACAGAGCAACAGGAGAAGATTATCGGCCGCACGAAGATCGATAATGTTGAGCTCGATGATGCAGAGTCTGGACAGCGCTCACATAAGACGCTTAGTACAATTGAAGATGAGAATGGGAATGAGCATGGTATCCTTCGGGATAATATGCCGTTTGGATCGCCGGGGTCGGGCGAGTTTGGGACTTACTTCATTGGGTATACGCGTCGCTTGTGGGTCATTGAGAAGATGCTAGAGAATATGTTCTTAGGCGATCCGCCTGGGTTGCATGATCGTCTTCTTGACTTTTCGAGGCCGCTTACTGGTACGACTTTCTTTGCGCCTTCAGCTAGTTTGTTGGCTGGGTTGGGGTCTGATTGAGAGATGGTTTGTTCGATTCGTTTTTCCCGTCACTGTGTAGTGTGCGGTTCTTCCAAATCTAACCCTTTAGATTTGTATTAGAGTTCTCCAGGAGTCGGTTTAAAACTGATTCTAATATAGTTCTTCACATACAGTCATAAGCCACAAGTCCTTTCACATCCTACATCATTAACCTGCCATTTTAAATAACTGTCACCTGAGGTGCTCGAAAATGGGCAAAAAGAGGCAAAAAAGCGAGGCCAAAGTAGGGCGGAAACTATGTCTGAAAAAGTATTCTAGCTTCGAGACTTTCGTGTAAAGACTGTCCCATACTTCATGAATGGCACATTATACACATTCATGACCCCCTGTTGTACAATGTTCTTTAAGTGTCAAATATTCTATGCCCATCGCTAAAAGGCCAAAGTTAAGACAATAGCAAAAATGATAAAATTGATCCCATAATTATCTTGAACATTCAAAGCCTGGAAGTGGCAATCTGGGGGTTCGAAATCTTAGCATCAGGAAGCATATCAAATGTCAACCCCTTCCACCCTTCAGCTTTAGACTGAGCGCATCTCCGGCGATATTCGACGGCACTGCCAGAATACCGAGCCACGCTGCGAACAGTCTTGCCCTTAACATTCTTATTAACACCAGTCATCCAACTATCGACTTCATTCGACAGAGCACCCTTGCTGCACTCGACAACATGCTCAGTCCAAGCATCCACAGCTTCTGGTGTAGGCTCCACGTAAGAGTAGTCATTGTCCTTGCAGTACTGAAGCAAGTCCGAAATAACATCAACAGCATGCTCAATTGTCCGAGGAGCGTTGCCGAATGGCTGGTGAGGGCCAAGAACCATAAACATGTTAGGCATAGAGTTGGCCGTCATACCCAGGTATGTGCGTGGGCGGTGGTCTATCCAAATTGCTTCTTTGCCTTCGTTGTTATCGCTAAAGCCGAGAAGGGGACGGCCATCTTTCCCGGTCCAATCAATCGAGCTGAATGCACCAGTGATAGCATCAAAGCCAGTGGCATAGATCAAGACGTCCAGATCATGGTGCTTGCCGTCGGATGTGATAATGCCTTTCTCTGTAACTCTTTCTATGGGCGTCTTTTGCAGATCGACAAGATTGACGTTGGGCTGGTTATAAACTTCAAAGTATCCGCTCTCGAGAGGTACACGCCGTGTGCCGAAGCCATGATTCTTAGGAATCAAACTGTCTGCCACCTTTGGGTCGTGCACCCTCGCTCGGATTTTGCTCGCCATAAAGTCGGAATAGAGCCGGTTCGCTTCGCGGTCGGTATATGTGTCGCTAAATGTGCCGAGCCATTTGGCGAAACCGGGCTTTGCGTATATATCTTCCCAGAGCTTGAAGCGCTCTGCCTCAGACACTTCTAGGGACTTTCGTGGGTCCGCTTGGTGCATGAAGCATCCTGGGGTCTCCGCGCATAGTTGGAAAAGGGAGTCGTAGTCCTTGCGGTGTTGTTCCATCTGATCGAGGCTGATGGGCTCATTGCGAAGTGGTGCTGACCAGTTTGCTGTTCGCTGGAAAACGCTCAAAGATTTGATACTAGATTCTTTGGATACTGCAGTGATGGTCTGAATTCCTGTAGCACCAGTGCCGATCACTCCAATCCGCTTGTTGGCTAGGTCGCGTTTCAGGTCGAAGTCTTGCGGCCAACGGGATGTGTGGAAAGCTTCGCCTTGGAATTTTTCGATATCGGGAATAGCTGGAAGTGTCGGGGTAGACAGGAACCCCATGCAGCTGATGAAGAAACGGGTCCGATAAAAGGTACCGGCTTCATCACAAAACAGCCAGGTGTTGCTCTTATCCTGCCATTGGGCAGACTTGATGCGAGTATTGAACTGAATGTCCTTGCGCAAATTGTGTTTGTCACAGACATACTCGATATAACGGTGGATCTCTGATTGTGGAGCGAAGGATTCTTTCCAATGCCATTCGTTCAGCACCTCCTTATCCCACGAGTATGCATAAGAGAGGGACTCGGAATCGACGCGTGCGCCGGGGTAACGGTTGCAGTACCACGTGCCTCCAACATTATCGGCCGCTTCGATGACCCCTACCCGCCAAGACGGGAAGCGTTCTCGGAGGTTGTGGAGTGCACAGATGCCGGAGAGGCCAGCGCCGATAATGAGGATGTCATACTGATGGTCTGTGGTTGTGGAAGATCCCATCGTGAAGGGAATATTGTATTATGTAGAAGCCAGATTTTATTATTATCGGACTGTAAGTTTGATTCTCGTGTGGATCTTTATAGACTGAGATCATGGGGACTTCTGTGCGAGGGGAATTGGGCGAACGTTGGACATCATTCCGACCACCCCACGAGGACTTGGAAGTCATCGGCGTAACCTTCCTGTTCCACAATGAAATGAACGCCATTATCACAAGGTGTGATCTTCAGTTAGTGAATTCAAGGAAGTCGAGACCCGCGGATCAACAGTATGCTTATCTCCCCCGCATTTTATATCACGTGTTGAAGACACTTTCCTCTTTGATATCTGGCCATGCTGAACTTGGGATTGTCACTGACCAGCTAAGATAAGGGGCTCGATAGGACAAGGCAAGTCTAAGAGACAGAAGGATCATAACCAAGGTCACCCGCCCCCCGCTAATAAACCTTGGGCGTTGGTAAGAAGCCATGGCAGACCAAAGGCTCATAAGCTATAAAAGCTCCGACGGTATGGCTTGGTATATGGCGAGAATCTCTTCAACCTGACAAGTTTATTCTCTTTTACCCGAGACAAATTCTTCTTCATTCGATTGACTGTTTACTATACTCAGCTATGGGGATCAAATCAGTCGACCCATCCAAATTGGATATTCAAAAGAATATTCTAAATCAAACCTATGTCAGATAGAGGATACTAATTTCAATTACCTTTACGCTAATCATGTAAACTGCATTCTGGACACGGCGCAGAATGGCAGGAATGATGAACGCGTCAACAATGCGAAGATTCCTAGCTCCATGATGTCACAGCTCAGAGTCCACTCCCCCTTGCTCGATATCACTCGAAAGCCGGGCAGTTCCACAGGAGTCTAGAATGTTAAGCCTCAATGGAGGTTAACATCACAGATAGGATGTCCTCACGATAGGCAGTCTGCGACCGATCAAGAATGATGCGATCTATCTCCTCAATCGAATCGCGAGACATAGGCCACGGATAATCCTCTAAGATGATATATTTCATCCCATAGCCTTTGAGAAGTATGTCATCCACAAAATGGACACACTCTCTCAAAGCCATACTATCTAACAAAAGTGAAAACAATGCATGAAACGGTACACTCGCTTCGAGGCTTTCGTATAGAGACTGTTCATACTTCATAGCACTGTGTACACATTTATGATCCCTCTTGTAGTTTAAGGTCAACAAAGAGTTTGCTTCTATGACACTCGCACTCTATATGTAACGTGGGGAAGAAAATGGACATGTGCATTGTGTCTGGAGTTCTATTGTTGAGCCTATTTTTAGCACAGAGAAAAATCTCAAAGAAGTATTGATTGAGGTATTCTACAAGTCAGTAGTCTAAAATGGAAACAAAAATGGATCCACCCCCGACTGCCCATCAGTCAGATATTCCACAGACCAAGGGGCCGTTCTCTCGTCAATCATGTTCATGATAGCCATTTCAGAAGGATCCCACGATCCAACAGTGCCGAGGGGCGGGAATTGTGGGAAAGCATTAAAGTTGGACGATGAATCGGCGGGTCTTATTGGGACAGAAGCAACTTCGAAGGGTGGTAACATGTCTGTTCTCTCATCGATTTGAGACTTTTGCGGCCCTTGTGTTTGCTTCTGTTCGTGGTTTTCATGAGGTTGGTGGTGTGTCCTAGATTGGAACGTTCTAGACGAGTTCGTGTTCGTAGTTGAAGGCGAATTTGAGGTTGGCCCTCGAGAGTCTTTGCCATGCAAAGCTGTGCGTGCCATGCGATAGATTGCAAGAGGATTCAAGACAGCTTCGGGTGACTCTTGAACAGGGGATCCAGGAGTAGAGGAACTAAGGAAGATGAGTGATTCGTTCGCAACAATATATTGAGAAACATACTGTTCCTCATTCTCATCCGGCTCTCGCTCATTTATGGGCGCATGGGGAAGGTGAGGGTGGAGACCTGCTGCAATCATCATTTTCAAAACGGAGAGATACTAGACGCCAGGTGTTAGTAAATGGTTTTTGAGAACAGGTAGCGTCACATACGCAATGCTGTGCCGTTGCAACAAGAGACCTCATTTGCATAAGTGCTTCCATATTCTTTTTGACAAGAGTCGTCGTTTCCTCCACCTCAAACACACTTAAAGCATTGGGGGATCGTGTGTTCTGCTTTATGAAGTATAACATGACCTTCGTGCTGTCATGTGCAATGATACACAGCCAAGTATCAGACAGAGCTTTCACCCCGTGCCGTGAAGCTTCAGCAATGATCTTCGAGAGTTCACGAGCATTGTCAAAACAAGCTCTGCGACAATTGTCCAGAAACTCTTGTTGGGCTGTTGGAAACTTATGATGTCGTCGAATGTGAAACAAGTTCGGCATACCAATCCGGTATAGATCACACAAGGTTTGATGATAGGTACACCAAAGCAAAGTCAAAGCACCCAACTGCGACGACTCCTTCCGTGCGTAAATCGCGCCTGAGTTCCACTTAAGACTCTGCGAAAGATCTCTCCGCCAGTTCGCAAATTCGGTTACCAATTGCAGAAACTCGGAATCAGACTCCCACGGTGGCTTCGAGGTATCCAGGTGCTTGACATATCTATACAACCCGTTAGCCAGGTTTGGATTCAATACGCTTATAGAATGACTCTTACCGGAGAACCTTTTTCCTGCTGCTGACGAGGCGGATGAAATAAGCCTCAATCCCCATGTTTTGGGCTGGCTGTGAAGGAGTTTGTTCACACGAGATAAAGCCAAGTACCTTTCCCTGGTCCAGCATTTCAGTGACACAGGCAGTTCCAAGGGAGAAGTTATGGCTGTGACAAGGAAGCTGGATCTTTAAGTCTTTGTCTTCGATGAGAGTGAGTTGGTTGACACCACTACCTACCCAACTATCCATGACATAGCAACTCCACATTAAACGCCGTTTGGACTCGTTGGTTATTGGGCACGTAGAGTCAAGTTCATTGCAAAGTATGTCGGCGGAACTTTCAAGGTTGAGTTGCAATGCTTGTGACATTCTTGCAGTCACCCCAGAGAGCATAAAAGCTGAGGCATAGCTTCCGATCCGAAGATCGTGATCATAGAGGAGGATTGCGGTCTTGTTCCATATTAGTGTGAATAGTCGTCGTTGGGTGTGGACAGTATCTCACCATTAGTTTCTCTAGGGAGAGGTCGTCTAAGTCTACAAATATGCGAGCCTTGGCGATTTTGGCCCACTGATTCCCAGCTGTGAGTATCGTCTCGGGTGAAAACTGGGAATGGTAATTTAGAGCCAGGAATCTGTTGGATCTTAGTATTTTCTATCTTTATAGTAAGGGCTTTGGTACTTACTTTGCTCCCAATGCGCAAACAATGTGAAGGAGTGATTCATCGTTGCAGCAGGTCTCAAATTCTTCATCTAATCGCTGCATGAATGAGGGCTTATGCACGAAACCATAACATCGTAATGGATGAACGTGGGCGAAATATTCTTCGACCAAAATTATAATTCGATCTTTATCCGGTAATTGTTGAGTGTGAAGCCTACATGAGTCAGTTTCGGAGTAAATCAAGAAATGAAAATGGATTCATACCACGAGATAGGATCAGTCACGCTATCTGGAGACTGCTGAGATGAGGATTGATTTTTCTGGAGCCGAGTTGGCACCAAAGTAGGACTACGAGTTTTGTCATGAGCAGGGGCATAAGACGCGGAGCTTTTCTGTGGCTGTTGCATGCGACCCGGACTATACGAGCATCCAATATTTCTGCGGGAGCATCGGGTGCAAATATCACCCCCTGAGCATCGAGCTTTAGCCAAGCGACAAGCATGGCATGATTTTGATACTCGGTGCCGAGCTGTACCGGCCTGTGTCAATGCCGCATCCCGCCGCGCACTCCTGAGAGCTCTTGCAGCCAGCCCCGAATTCTGGCCTGGATGACCCGGGCATTCCAATTTGAGACGTTCACAATTCAAACATGAGGGCCAGCGCTCGTCGCATTTCACTTTGCGCGCCCGACACAGAAAACAGCCTAGATTGTCAGTCAGTCCCTTGTACATATCTCTTGGCATGGAATGACAGGTGGAGCTAACCTGATCGAGACCTGCGAGTGCCTGACGCAGGGCGAGACGTCGGATCACTCGGAGATTCTCTATCTCCACTCCATGATAGCATGATGTGCCGACTTCCGCATATGCATCTAGAATGGTAGATACATGTGAGAAGGAAAGAAGCGAGGAGTACCGGAACTCGTTCGGATCTCGCTAAGAGCGGAGGGCCGCGGCAATACTGCTTCGGACCAGATTAAGCTTAAGTGACAATTGACAAACTGGAGCTTGTATGAATCCGGGGTAAATATTGGGGTTTTGTGCTCTTGTTCAGCGTGTTAGTCCACTGGTGGGCATTCAATGCTGTTCCATTGCCACCTTTTTGCCGAGTATGTTGGAACTATACAACATCTACAATCCCATCATTCAGACTTAGACCGCATCAAGTAATCTGATCAATTGTTCACAAGCCCCCAAAGTTATGCCTCACGATTTCACCATTCCATCCCCAATTGACGTTTGAACAGGACTCTGACCGGGTCTCGTCAACCGCGGATATCGGCTCCCAAGACATACTCATTGGACGAGGAAGATCTGACCGCGGCGAGTGGAGCTACATAAAAATCCGGGGTCCCTGGCATGTAACAAGGCCAACTGCGCTCTGTGGCATTTCTTCTTGTTAATTTGCTTGTCAAGAGCACTGAAATGGGCAAAGCACCTCGACTGAACAATGTCTACCTGATCAGCGTGCTGACAACCATTGGCGGCCTTATCCAAGGCTTCGATGTGTCGAGCATGTCTGCCATCATTGGCACTGATCAGTACAAGGAGTACTTCCACAAACCCGATGCTGTTGCACAGGGTGGGATCACGGCCAGTATGGCTGGTGGCTCGCTACTTGGGTCGCTCTTCTCAGCTTGGACGAGTGATCGATATGGTCGTCGTGACTCGCTGTTCATCGCCTGCATAATTTGGTTGACTGGTTCGACTTTGATGTGCGCAGTGCAGAATGTTCCTATGCTTATTGTGTCTCGGATTATCAACGGCTTCAGTGTTGGAATGCTCACGTCGCAAGGGTAAGTTCGTGAACTGGTCCTGACATTGCCAATTCCACTAACAGGATCTCATAGTCCCATTTTGATTGCTGAGATCAGTCTTCCTCACCAGCGTGGCAGGTTTCTCTCTCTACAACAGTGGATGATAACATGGGGTGTATGCTCCGTTCACATCCTTCAATTGTGCCTGGCTGACATTACTCTAGATTCTAATCATGTACTTCATCTCCTTCGGAACATCCTACATAAGCAACAACGCAGTATTCCGCATCCCCTGGGGTATTCAAATGATCCCAGCGATTGTTCTCATGTCATGTCTCCCAATGATGCCTCGTTCACCACGCTGGCTTGCTACACAAGATCGATGGGAAGAGGCAGTCGCTGTACTCGCAAGATTACATGCCAAGGGAGATAATCTTGACCCGGTTGTTCTAGCTCAGACTACTGAAATTCGCGAGAAGATTGAGTAAGGCCAAATCCTTCTGTGCCTCCGCCAAAACTAATCCATAACAAGACTCGAACGCCAATACCAAAGTTCATCCTGGATGGAGCTATTCAAACCTCGCAACATTATCCGCGTACACTGCGGTATCTTTACACATATTTGGTCTCAATTGAGTGGAACAAATGCCATGATGTACTACATTGTCTACATCTTCCAGGTGAGATTGATCCTCTATAGCACCCAAGGTCTCCCTAGTATGGATCTGAGATTGACAAATTCACAGATGGCCGGCCTTGAAGGCAACAATGCCCTGTTATCGGCATCAATTCAATACATCATCAACGTTGTGATGACACTCCCAGCACTAATCTTCATCGACCGCCTCCCCCGCCGTCGTCTCTTCATCGGCGGTGCTTTTATCATGGCAGTTATGCAGTTTACTCAAGCAGGTATTATGGCTTCGTATGGATACCATGTTCCAGAAGGACTCAAAGGATCCCCTACAGTCACTTGGAGAGTTTCCAATGGCAAAGCATCTAAGGCAATTATCGCCTGTTCATACTTGTTCATTGCTACATTTGCGCCCACTTGGGGGTAAGTATCCCGTCTTCAACAAAATAAGAACACAACGACTAACCGTATATCTTTTGCAGTCCCTTAGGATGGCATGTTCCATGTTCCATTTCTTGAACAACTCTTCCATCAAAGCTAACTATCCTTCTTCGCAGGGCATACCCACCAGAGATTATCCCTCTCTATATCCGCAGTAAATCAGTATCCCTAGCAACATTTTTCAACTGGGCCTGTAATTTTGCTTTAACCTTCTTCACACCACCAGGATTCAAAAATATTCAGTGGAAGGTAAGTTTTATCTCCATAGACCATGCAAAGCGTAACTTATCACTGACTTGGTTTCAGATCTACTGCGTATTCGGAACGTTCTGCCTTGTTGCCGCTATCCACGTCTTCCTTCTCTTCCCCGAGACGTGTGGAAAGTCTCTAGAAGAGATTGATGAGGTGTTTAATAACCAAAATATCTGGACATTTAAAACAACGTCCGAGCCGAGCCGCTTCGCAGCTGATATTGAACAGGCCAAGGAGGACCTGAGTGCTGGGAAAGCTAATACGGCTTATTTCGAGGCCAAGGCATAGCTAATGATTATACGGAATTACCTACTTAATATTATTTATAAACATGATCTTTTCTCATACAACAGGGGTCATAAACGTGTCTCCAATCCCACCCCTAAAGTATATTGGACAGTCCCTATAAGAAAGCCTAGAAGTAAGTTTACATTTTCAAGCATGTTTCGCCCTACGTTTGGCATCTCTAATTCACCTCTTTTTTGCCCATTTTCGAGCGCATCAGGCTGCAGTTATTACAAAATAGTGGGTTCATCATATAGATTACAGTATATAACGGTGGGGGCGCGTAAGTACCTATGACCTATGAGTGTACATACGGTCCAGGGATAAGCTTGGATACCCTCTCGACGGCCGAGAGCGTTATTCCCAACATCATATTTAGATCTACAATGATATACTCCGATACCTCGCGAGATGCTTCTTTATCATGAAAACAACCCACAGGATCGCGAAACGCACCCTAGTGGATCTGCCATACAGATGCTATGCGACATCCAAGCGACATCCGTAACAATTTACCCATCGTGCTACAAGCAACAAAGCCGACTTCCGACAAGGCAAGTCAAATTGAATAAGAAATATTTCGCAGATCCCAGCTAAAGGCATAAATTATCTACACCGAAGAACCCCAAGGACGAAAAACAAAACCCATTCCTAATCCAATTAAAATGACCAAACGCAACATCCTCCTCATGATAGCCGACGACCTAGGCAAACAACTAGGCTGCTACGGCAACAACAAAATCCAAACCCCAAACATAGACCAACTAGCCTCAGAAGGAACGACATTCACCCAAGCCTTCACCTCAACAGCCTCCTGCAGCGCCAGTCGCTCAGTAATCTACACAGGCCTACACACGCACCAGAACGGCCAGTATGGACTACACAATGGACGACACCATTTCACAACCTTCGACCACGTCGAAACAGCCCCAGCCTTATTCTCAGCACGGGGCTATGCAACAGGTCTGATTGGCAAAGTGCATGTTGGTCCTTCGGGCGTTTATCCATGGGATATGCGCGCTGAGAGTGATAGTCGTGATGTGGCACTTGTTTCAGACCAGGCTTCTGCATTTTTCAAGAAAGGTGCAGATGATGGCCAGCCATTCTTTTTGACGATTGGGTTTATTGATCCGCATCGCGATTTGACGAGGTCTGGGTTTGGGAACCAGGAGGTTTATGACCCGCGTGTTAAGAGGGTTGAGTATAGACCTGAGGATGTGGAGATCCCATCTTTTGTGAATGATTTGCCTGGGGTAAGGTATGAGTTTGCGGAATACTATCAGTCTATTTCAAGACTGGATCAGGGTGTTGGGATGGTGCTGGATGGATTGAAGAAGTCTGGGTTGGCGGATGATACACTCGTTCTCTTTATGAGTGATAATGGCCCGCCATTCATCAATTCCAAGACGACTCTTTATGACGCTGGTGTGAGTTTACCGTTGATCATGAAATGTCCCGGTTCATCTGCTGGCACTGTCAACCCGAATATGGTCTCCTACGTCGATATCCTTCCCACACTCCTCAACTGGGCAGAACATCCCAACCCATCCCACCCAGCCCGAACAGGCCGTTCAATTCTGCCAGTTTTGGACGAAACATCCGGACTCGAAAACTGGAGCCAGATCTTTGGCTCACACACATTCCATGAAGTAACAAACTACTGGCCAACTCGCATGATGCGAAACAGACGGTATAAATACCACCGCAACATCGCCTGGCGCTTGGATTTCCCCTTTGCGGCTGATATCTACGGCTCGTTGACATGGGAGGAGATCCGGAATGCAGAGAACTGCCCGAAGATGATCGGGTCGAGGCCGTTGAAAGATTATTTCTTCCGACCTGCGGAGGAGCTTTATGATATCCAGGCTGACTCCGATGAGGTGCGGAACCTGGTTGGTGAGGCTGAGTATCAGTCTGTTCTTGAGGAGATGAGGGCTACCGTTGAGAAGTGGCAGCGGAGGACCGAGGATGCTTGGTTATACCGGGATGGGGTTTCTTTGATATTTGTTAGGCATCATCTTGGTGGTGGGCTTGATGTGCCTGATCGGTGGGATTTTGATGTTGAGAGACCTGAGAGTAAGGGGGTTACTTCTTTTGCTGGAGATTTGCCCTGGGGGCCGGATGTTGAGATGTGATTTCATTATGCGCACTTGAATGATTTTGGTTGGTGGGTGTGTTAGTTCTGGGGTTGACGAAACTTGTTTGCAGAATGTATTACCTGTTGTTCCATGTCTTGGATCTATCGCCATGGCATATGTAACAAGCACAAATGTGGCCAGTTGCAGGAACCTAGTCAGACATGCAAACCGCCACAGAGGCAATTGGATAAGTAGAGGATGATTCGATTCTAACCCTCGCGGGCGATTGTTATAGTACACTTATAACGATACCTTTCACAACATCAAGATCCGATGCAAGTTGAATAGACAAGACTGTATGCATAAATGGACATTCAGGATATGGGCAGATGAAGCTGAGAGTAAAATAACAAGAGCCGAAACCACCACAATGACAAGAATAGGTATAAAGAAAAGGTCATAGAAGCAGACATAGCTCGTTCAACAAATCGTGGAAGAAGGCACCGACTTCGGTTCTTCATGAAAAGCCAGCCCGAAAAGAGTATCATAATGTCATCTACCGACACCGACTGATGCATTCCATCTCCTACAGTCTTCACACTTCGCCCCAGGTGCCGAGACCGGCTCCGACACCAATAGCACTATTGCTCTCACTTCCGCCAATATCCCAGTAATTCCGGCTGGAACCAGTCATGGTCCGCCGACTTGAGATGACAGAGAGTTTAGCGCTTTGGCTGGCGCAGCTAGAGCCAGGGCGACGGAGATGAGGACGCAAAAGGGGTGAAGAGACACCAGTGGGACCTGATACACCAGAGTACTGTGATGCGCGGCGGGTCTGGGTTTGGGAGCGAATGTGGGCACGCGCGACCAGTGGGTGGTGTTGTCGAATGATGGCTGCTCGACGGGATGCATCTTGGGGTCGGCGAGATGGGGAAGGAGGTTGAGCTTCATTGGGCATGTAGCCACGACGGCTAAAGCGGTTGCGTAAGTAGCGGAATACCATCATTACGTCGAGTCCGCGTTCCCAGTACTCCTGTTCGTCTTGGGCTCGTGCTGCATCGGACGTTGAATGGGATCCCATCGGGTCGTCGTCTTCGATACCCCATTGCGCTTCGTGTTCGCGATTGGGATCGCGGAGTGTGGGCATGAAATGAGGTGAAGGCATAGAATCACCAGTAGTCTCGCCAGCGCTTTGTGCAGTTGACTCGAACGGCTTCTGCGATACGTCGCTCTCTGCTAGACGGTTGATGGACATACCCGCGTATTCAGCGGATATATCTTTCGTCATCTGATAATACGTAGTAAATGCACCTGGGTGTTCACAAAGTTGATGTACAAGAACACCGAGCTCATGGGCAATCCTCTGGAGCACTTTGGTCTGCCACATCGGTGCATCGCCATGCTCTGGCTCCGCTTCGCAGGCTAGCACAGTCTCCATATCAAGTGGCTCTTCCTGACCATGAGGTTGCGCGTCCAGCGGCAATGACTCACCGAAGATCACAGACAGCAAGGAGTCATCGATTCCGATCAGGTCTCTGATTACCTTACGAGTAATACGACGCCAGAAAGACTCCTCGTCTTCGGAGACCGCTTCCGGTAGAGATAATTCCCCCGGTATGGATGATTCGTCGAGAACGCTCGCTTGCGGCGTATGATCAACGGACCGCTGAACACTCGATCGGCTGGCACGACTGTTCCGTCGTTGACGGGTCTCCCGTTCAATTTCCTGGAGTAGGGCCCTGCTCTGATCCATGCGCCATTGTTCGATTCTCTGCCATCTTTCACGCTCAATATTCGCCTCGCCCTCTTCGACGGTATCCAAATGTCTCTGCACGCTCGAGTGACGACGGTGTTGAAGGTGGGCATACGACCGTCGCTGTGGGTTGTACTGTTCATGCTGCCAGAGCTGATCTTGCACCACCTGACTCGAGGCCTGGAAACTACCTAACCCGTCATGGGCTGGAAGCATCGCCGGTGGCCCTTGTTCCATCCTTGTGGGGGAAGCTGGTGCAAGGGTAGGAGCTCGGAAGGCATGCAATCCGTCGTCGAGGCTGTCTAGTTCGGTGCCCTCTTCGTCTAGTTGGCCATAGAGGGCGTCATCATCGTCGACACCGTTTGCTGAAGGAGTTGCGGCAAAGGAACCAAAATCACTTAATCTGGATGGGCCCGCAGTGCGGGTGCGATCGGTCGAGGTCGTGTGTGTGCGTGCGGTTGGGGAGAACAGCACCCATTGTGTGGTATCGTCATCGCGTTGGTCTGGGGAGGTTGGGGGGATATCAAGCACAGGAGGAGGTTGGGGAGAAGAATATGAGGTCCTACGTCGGGGGACGTGTGTTGGGACCTGGAAAGCCATAGTGTGATAAGCGTATACGGTGGATCCTCTCCGCAGAGATCACCGTCGGCCTAAGAGGATATCAAGACCTTTGAATAGAGAATATTCAGGTAAATAAAATCATAAGTAAACAGGAGAAACAGGAGAGACAGGGGAAGGGGAAACAAAGGACCAAGGATCAAGGATCAAGGGTTGAGTGATGATGTGTAGATAACTGATAAGGCGGTGATCGCCCGATGATGCAAGCGGTGTCGGATGAGGCCACTCGGAGGTGAATATCCGATTATTATATTGTTTCTATATTATATTACCCAGTTCTTGCTATATTATTTCTTCATTTTATTGTCAAAGTCGAATAATATCGGGTGAGGCACTTATCAGCTGACTAGGGTCACCGGGATCGACGATGTGACGTGTAGAGTTAGCGCTTGTCACATTTTCTTGTTTATGGGCAGTCTAGTAAACATCCACTGTTCTCTAATGTAGTGAACTGCCAACTATATTGTCAACTTGTTCTATATTGCGTCCCTATCACCCCATCGCCTGTCAATGTCGCATGTTGCTGTCTGACTGTCTGACGCCAAGACCAACTATGACCACGTCGCTTAGGCTAACGAAAAAGCACGCAAACCCCCTCTTGATACGCCCAGTGTAGAGATAGTATTGCGGTATTCCTTTAGTGGGCTCGACTCGCAGGCTTAGTCCGTTGGATTAGCGCCGCTGTCGAGAAATCCACCTGGATATGTCGGTGTCCCTAGACTACTGCAGTAACATTCACATACCCTGTTTCACTAGACATGTCTGCACATATGTCAAACGTACTAGATCAGTCAGTAATAGGGCCTGGGCACTAGAAGCGGCACCTTAGTTGGGTTCGAGTGCGTCCCTCGCATCTTCGTCGAGGGGGAGGTCGTCGGTGTTTGATATCACGTAGTGATCAGCTGACTTCACCTTCGAGGCGAGATTAACCACACACTTGCAATATGTATAGTAAAGTTGCGTAACGAACCCAGGGTAGAGATAATATCATCGCATTGGGGTATATATGAATCTAAAATATATACAACATCTCTATCAAACAATCATTCTTTTCCAGCCAAAGCCTCGCCAACCCAATCCATCTGCACAGCACTGACACCACGAGCATAACTGCGGTTGGTGAACACGAACTCATTGTACATGATGGCCTCGACCTTCTTGCCGAAAAGCACGCTCGATGGGTGAATAGCAACAGTCTGGTTTCCGACGATAGTGCGGTAGCTACCATCGGGGACGAGGCGGGCGGTATTGGTTGCAAAGCCTGCGAGGAAACTTTGGAGGATGCGAATTGGGGAGGGGTCGTGTGAAGAAACGGAGTTTGAGAGTTCGCTGGTGAGGAGCTTTGCCTGGCGACATTGCATTCGGAGTTGTTTGCGGACGTCCTTGTTTTCTTATTAGCGTAGGTATCGGGGTTGCGGTGAAAGTCTCTTACCATAACGGATTGCATGGCTCGGTGCGAAACGAGGTGTCGCTCTGCCCAGGCCTTGCGGTCAGAGTGCTCGGCGGCATAGACCCGCACAGTCGCCAGCATTGTTAGGTGGTCACCCTCGCGGCGGTATAGATCGCGGCGTGCTGCTTCTGCGGCCTCCTTTTTCTCCTCGGAGGTTGTGTTGAGGAAGATGTTCTCCACACTAAGACAGGAGATAATATCAATGACATCGATCAAACATTCTGGTCCATTCTCGGCAGCTGCTAATAGGACACGTCCCAGTGTAGGTGTCAAGGGCAACTTAGCAATGTGTTGACCGACATCACTGATCTTTCCTGTCTCCTCCAGGGCGTCGATGCTGAGTAGCTGAAGAAGGGCCTTCTCGAGGGCTTCACGAGGTGGCCGGGTGAGAAATGGGAATCCAACAATGTCATCAACACCACGCGCCTTCATGTTCAGCAGCGCTTGGCTCAGGTCACATCGTAGGATCTCGGGAGTGTTTGTCTCGTCCAAAGCGAGATAGTCTTTCTCGGTGTACAGCCGGAAGCATTGTCCAGGAGCTTCACGACCGGCACGACCTTTTCGCTGGATGGCGGCTGACTTGGAGATGGGCTTCACAAGAAGGGAGTCAAGGCCAAGTCGGGTGCGGAACTGCTTGACCTTGGCCTTGCCGCAGTCAACCACATACCGCACACCAGAGACAGTGACTGAAGTCTCAGCAATGTTGGTGGACAACACCACCTTCCTTGTTCGTGGTGGAGCTGGCATAAACACTCGCTGCTGAGCGGCCTGCGGTAACGCGGCGAACAGAGGTAGAACTTGAATCTTGGGAAGCGTCGGGTCCATACCCATCGCATACTCGTTCACCAAATGTTCCAAGGCCTCCACGGTCTCCTGACCAGTCAGAAAAACCAGGATATCACCAGGCATCGGCTCCTTGCAATGGATCTGGAAAATGACCTTGAGAGCCGCATCCACGAAATCATGCACTGGTTGGGGAGAGTAGATCGTCTTGACGGGGAATTGCCGACCCTTGATATGGCAGGCGGCAATTTCCTTTGAATCAGAAGTATCCATTTTATCGGCATCCACTCCGTTCTCGATGGACTTTGGTGCTGGCTCTGGGAGTTTATACCCTTCCTGGAAGAAGCCAGTCAGACTCTCCATATCTGCCGTTGCACTCATAACTACCACCTTGAGCGGAACACCACCACGACCCTCAAACTTGCTAGCGACAAGATTGCGCAAGAATCCAAGCACCAAATCTACGTTGATACCTCGTTCGTGGACCTCATCGACAACGATAGCACTGTACCGCGTCAAAAACGGATCATGAAGCATCTCCTGGAGCAACATTCCCTCCGTCAGGAACTTCACCCGAGTACTAGGCGATGTCGATGTATCGAATCGCACGGAGTAGCCGACCTTACTGGCAGGGGAGTGATTTCCAAGTGGTGTGCCCATTTCCTCAGCTACACGCCGGGCCAGCGAGATTGCAGCGACTCGACGCGGTTGTGTGATAGCAATACACCCTCCAATATGCTTCTTCCCTGTCTTTCCGTTGTGTGTGATTTGTGTTGGCACAGGCCGGCACCAGAATTCGTCCACCAGGAACTGCGGGATCTGGGTACTCTTTCCGCTACCCGTTTCACCAACCAGCAGCATCACATCTTGTTCGCGTAGGTATTTGCGGATCTCATCTGCGTTTGCAAAGATAGGTAGCTTGCGCCGGGTCTCGAGGAGGGCCTTGGCCTTCTCTCGTAGAGAGGTGAAGTTGGTTTTTGTGTCGGTGAGGGATTTGGACTTGTGTTTCGGCTTTGGTTTCGATGGTGCACCATTTGTTCGGGGTGCCTCTTCTAGTTTTTCCGGTATAGGATCGGCCTTTTCTACCTGCACGGGCACAAGGGCTTCACTTGGTTTCTCTTGACCAGCGCCGTTGGCTTCGGGCTCGTCGCGCTTCCGCTTCTTGTTCCCCTTCTTCTTTCGCGCCGGTTCTTCGGTGGGCGGGGGAGTGGTCTTTTTGGGCACGACATTTTCGTCATCGGAGTCAGCGAAGAGGGTACGGACCTTCTCAGGCATTTTGAGGTGTGGCGCGAAAGAATGTCAAGGGCGAAGCTCATCTCCTCCGAAAATTTTGCCTTATCGATAAGCCGATAAGCGCTTATCAGTGTCAACACAAGACAAGAGGACTTGATGTCAGTTACTCTCTTTTCTAGTTCTTTTTATCACTCTTCTCTAACTAGTTTGGTCTCTTGTGATCTTTTATATAATATGTTGGTCTCTGCTATTGCGGTCTTCAGAAACAACAAATTCTCCCTCATTTTGAAGTATATATATCGAGTCCGCATCTCTTTACGGGCAACTAGACATGGGAGTGGCGGAGATTAGTTCCAGCTAGCAGGGGTGGCTAATGGTTTAAAAAAGCATCGTGAACAACGCCGGCGTCAATGTGGAGGCCTTGCAACCAGTGATAATCCATGAAACTTCCGAGGAACTGTTTGACCAGGCCCTTGCTATCAACACAAAGGTGTCTTCCTGGGCTTGAAATGTGCGACAGCTCAAATGATGAAGCAGAATGCCCACTTCAGTGGCGACCTGGGGCTGGATTATCAATATCTCATCTATCATGGGCCTTACTGGTCTTGAAAATTGCTGTTGGTGGCCTATTCCTATTTCAAATACCCCCGTGCTACTCCAGATAGCTGCATACTGTGCATCCAAGGCTGCCGTGCTTGGGTTGACAGGAAACGTCGCGCTCGATTATGCAACATATCGCATTCACTGCGAAGCGATCGCGCCTGGATGTAATGGTTGCGCACCAGGGACTGACACTCAGACATGCGGACAGCCGATAGACACCAAGAGGCCCACGTTGAACGCCGCGGCTAGACTGATCGCCCCTGACATCCTGGGCATGATGGATGCGCTTCCTCCATTTGGGGGAATGGGTGAACCGGACGACATTGCCCATGCACCTCTCTTCTTCGCCAGCGAAGACGCTAATTGGATTAACGGCCAGTGCCTCGCAGTCCATGGTGGGAGGACATAAATTTGAGTCGAAGTTGACAGCTCGCAATCCAACAATGTCAAGTTCGGATCTTGTTGACAATTCCGCGGTCAGGCCTGCAAAAGAGCTTCGCGAACCATAGCCTAAACGCGCACAATGGAACAAATTGATGTATCATATTCCGGCAGGCTAACTCAAAGGTCAATAGGCTGTCGATCCCCGAACGTCAAGCGAACCTTGACAATATCATTTCCTGCACGATTGCATCACTGACGAAGGATCGCCTCCGATCTCGAGGTTCAGCCGCGAACCATCGATCGATCGATCTGCAGTTGCATGTAGACTGTATTGGATATTGTGACCTGCCACATTGCCATTGTGTCTTTTGTCTGGCTTTCCTTGCCATTGTGTCTCTCGGACTCCCCTTGTATGGGGGTCAACGCCCTGAGGAGATCAATTGACGCATCATCCGCGGAGAAGTCTCACATTTAAAGGTTCGTACATTTCCTGATGTGCGACATGGTCTTTTGTTTTTCCTTTTTGGTACAAACAATGGCGCCTGTAGATCTTCACGATGGGCTTACCAGCCCCGATGCCGAGTCGCTGCGCTCATTCACAGAGACCCTGCCAGATGAATACCACGAATGGGTCACTGAGTCTGGAAGAAGCTCACGGTAAGTAATACGATTGACTGTATGCGCACAGGAGCTGACAGGAAAGAAATGGTCAATTGCTGGACGATTTTCCCCAACCGCCAACCCGGTTGAAGAATTTAGACTCGATTCACGAGGAAGAAGTACATCCCACGCCCAAAGCGTCAATCAAGAATATGCGCCGGCATGCGACAACGAACGATCTTCCTCTACTACAACAAATGAACCCTTACAATGGCGCAGAAGAATTCAACCCCGTCAATGAAGAAACAGGCTCTTACGATCTCATCGCACCCTACGAGGGCGGCGATGCGCCTCTCCACAAACTCGAGCGACTGGCAGACGTGATGTTTTCTGCGGAACATATGCTCACAATTCTAAACAACTCGCGCTATCTCGTGCGCTTCCGCGAGTTCCTGCTTGAGGAGCGCCCCCGCTCCATCTCAACACTCACATACTACCTTAATGCAGCCAAGGCGCTCAAGGCAATCCAATATGCCAATGCCCTCGTCCGTCTGTCAGTTGATGTGCCTCCGCCAGAAGTGCATACCGAAGAAAACGCAGTCGGAATCACAGCGAATCAGGTCTTGGAGCGACGCGTTCAAGATGGACTACTTGCACTTACGGCCGAAGAGCTGCCTGCCTTCGTCACGTCAAGGGGCATCACGATCACGAGTAAAATCGTCGAAGAGCGAATCCGCGGAACGTTACCTATGAAGTTCCGTTCCACGTCAAATGCGCTGGCGGAGGTTTTCTGTTTGACAGATCCTTCGCGGCCTGATAATCCTATTATCTTCGCATCTGAGGGTACGCATATCTACTTAATTAGGGTTATGGGATTCCGCTAACAATAACAGAGTTCCACAATACAACACAGTATGGCATGGACTATGTACTAGGCCGGAATTGTCGCTTTCTTCAAGGACTAAAGACGAATAAGAACAGTGTTCGTCGTCTTCGTGAAGCTATCCAGGCCGGTCGACATCACTCCGAGATGTTCCTTAACTAGTATGTTCCTTCAACCCAGTAACAACCCAGTAACTAACAACTTAGTCGCCGTGATGGCTCCCCATTCATGAACCTCCTCCAATGCGCACCACTATGCGACAGCCACGGCCGCGTGAAATACTTCATCGGCGCACAGATCGATGTATCAGGACTCGCAATGGAAGGAGCCTCAATGGAGTCTCTGATTGAACTGAAAGCAAAATACCATGATCCTGACGTTGACGACGAGAGGGTTGTAGACGAGCCACCAAAAGATGAGAAAGACGAGTTCCAGGAATTGAGCGAGCTGTTCAGTCCCCGGGAGTTGTCCGCTGTGCAAGAACATGGTGGACATCTTTTCCAACCCCAGAAGAGTCTACTATCTCCTAAACACCCTATGTCATGGTTGCAGCTTGGTGAATCATTGGATAGTGAGACTGAGGCTATCCGTTTGCGTGATATGAAATCGCCCTTCTTCCGGATATCTCTGGCGGGTGTTTATGAGAATGTGAGATCCAACCTTCCCAGTCGTAATGATGATTGATTCTGGTAAGATGCTAACTTCTGTTTGTATAGTACCTCCTCGTCCGACCATACCCTTCCCTCCGCATCCTATTCACGTCGCCCTCCCTACAAATCCCGGGCATGCTACAATCACCATTCCTATCGCGCATAGGTAGTTCTTCGGCTGTGAAGGATGACCTACTTCAGGCTATGATGGTTGGTCGCAGTGTGACTGCCAGAATCAAATGGGTTACTCGGTCGAACCCAGAGGGCCGAAATCGTTGGGTCCATTGTACGCCGCTCTATGCCAGTAATGGGCAGGTGGGTGTGTGGATGGTTGTCATTGTCGATGACGATGAAGAGACGGTTGTCAAGCGGCGTGCCTAGCATTTCAATTTTTGTTTTGCGCATTTACTAACTGTGCTGTGTATAATTGCTTCTTTTGCGAATAGACTCAAAAGGTCTGGATTTTTGCTTCTTCCATACATCAACTACCTTCCATCATCGGGAAAGCACTATGAATTCCTAAGTTTTGCTAAAGCACCTTATGCACTTTAATATAATACACATCATCCTCATCACCCACCCGATCACCTGCAGAAAGCCTACAGAAGTTGATCTTCACCCTTTTTTTCATTTGGTGGAGAGGTATATCCACCGTGACCCATCCAATTCTAGGCTCTTGAAAATGTATATTGCCCCTATGCCAAAAGCTCCAATTCATATACGACTTCGTGCGATGTTGTAAGTGTTCCAGTAGATGCAATATCAAACCCATGTTTGGAAGCTAGTACGAACTGATGATGCTCTATGTAAACTTCTCCGATATATGCAAATAATTCATGTAAAGTCATCAATCATATATTTTCAGTCTAAACCCCAACCACGAACCCGACGGAAGACATAAGCGCGGTCATTGCGAAGGGTGAACTCGCCCCAATCATCCGTCAATCTATTGTAGCTCCAGAATCCCTTCCATGCCAGTTTAGTATTCTTCGATGGATTGGGTGGAGCAGGTCCAGCCAAGGCAGCCTTAGAAACTGTGGGTGAACGGAGAGATAGATGCATCGTGTACATGTACTTAGATTCAACACCTTCAGTCTCCACAATAAGATCGCGCTCGTCGCTGAGAAGGGGCTTTTGGTCCGATGATGTATGTGGTTTCCAGGCTTCGGCGGGGGTGTCGGATTCAGGGATGGGGGAGGCCAGATGCCAACGTCCTGGAAGGGCATGCTTTAATATGTTCATTGCGGCCGGCGGGACTGAATCGACTGCTCCTAATAGCGATTGGCCATGGTCTGATAGGCGGCGTTGATGCTTTCTCTGTGCAGGGTTGCGTGCTGCCACCAGATTCTCCTTGCTGAAGTAAGGGACTACGTCAACGGGCTCCGCTGAAGAGAGCAGGGACACCACTGAGCCATCGGGATAGAACCGCAGGTAGCGATAGTAGGTGACAATGTGAATTGGGCTGTTCCACGAGGTGTTTTGGTAGGCATCAGCAGCACCGGGCCGAGTGTAGTTGACTGTGCTGATGTAAACGCCAGTATACCGAATCCGAGGAAGTGTCTGGAAAACTTGACTCCATGAGGATAGCGGCTTAGGAATCTCCATCGGCTCATCCTTGGGAAAAGGAGTGTATCGTTCACCGAGGGTGTAGATGGGACGCCCTTGTAGATCGCATGCAAAGTCATAATGCATTCCCTGGAATCCGAACCTTTTTCCTTGACAGATCCGTTTCCAAATGTGTTGCTCACGAACGAAATGATAAGCCAACCGCTTGCAAACCAGTGCCATGCGTCCAAAGACTGACGGGTCGTTCAAAGCCACATGCCGAAGAATCTCTACTATCACCTCAGATGGGACGGTAGAGATTGGACAGGGAGGAGGTGGTGTGCCTTCAATAAGAGGTTCCCTCTGCGGAATCGGCAGATTTGCAAAGGATGCAATCAGCTGAGACGTCGGCAGGGTCTCTGCCTCCGTGGGTTGATGAATTGCCGCAGGGGTGGTAGTGGACGCCGGTTGATTCGTTTTCTTCCAGACATGTGCATAGTGTTTATTCCGGTATGTTTTATCGACAGTAGAATCCAACTATAAACAGTGAGCTTTCGAAGATCATGTACCGCCGCCATATCCGGAACTCACTCTGTATGCCTTGCGGTAGTGCGACAGACTGTCTCCCAAGTTGCCCTCGGCCTCCTTCTCGACCGCTCGCTCGAAATGCTCCAACGCAGACCTCGGCTCCGTCACCCGACGGCGAGAGAAATCATCATCTTCTGGCGATTCTACGCTCAGCTCCCCAACCTGCTGGGCCAGCTCCTCTGGATCGAATGAAGCCAGCGGAGGACCCTCCTCCTCGACCTCATTGCGGCGAGAGGCCTCATGGCGTGTTGGCGGAAGACGAGTTGGAGGCGGGGCAGTTGGGGCCGGAGTCGCAGCAGGAGGGGCCTTGGACTTGGATCGACGCGAGACCTCCTCGCGCCACTGTCGGCGGAACGACTCGAGCTCGGCGTTGTCTTCCATGGCGGGGAGGTGGTCCGACCTCGGAGATCAGATTGATAAGCCCACTTAGGCCACTTTAGAAAGAGGATCAGAGAGCAAAGACCAGAGCTAAGAGAAGAGTAAACATCTATCCCATCGAGGGCGCCATTGAAGTCTTCTTCGTTCTTTGTCGAAAGTTGCAGAAAGGAAGTTGTCACAGCTTATCTCCGACCGCCGCCACCCGTCAAACCCCGAAAAACTTCCCTTTCCCGGTGACGCATCGTCTTTCTTGTTTCTTGCTCTTGTTTCCGATTTTCCCTGTCTTTCTTTCTTTCTTTACAGATCGATGCCGATCGGATTGGATTACATTCCAAGCCAAGGTTCTCTTACCCAATTTGAGACCGAGATAAACGCTTCTCTAGGGTCGTCATGGACGTCTCGGTTTGACGAATCTACGACAATGGCCGCTACATCAGGGACGGGGTCACCCCTGGCCCCAGAGACGCCCTCCGCGAATGACGATATCACGGTGGGCCAGCGGATGATCTCTGCGACGGCGGGTAACATTTTGACTGGGTTACTAGGTAGGAGAGCTTCAAATCCGTGACTATTCAAGACTAACAGCTTCAGTAACACCTCTCGATGTCGTCCGAGTCCGTCTACAATCGCAATCCCAAATTCACAACACTTCTCCATACACTTCCCACACCACGCAAACCTTGAAAAATCTTCCCCCCAACCTCGGCATTACCTCTTGCTGCCGCGAAGTATTCTGGATCGGAAACGATGCCCAGATGTGCATGCTCGGACCTCATGCGACTGCAGTAGGCAGTACACCGCACCCAGCGATCGATTGTGCGATCGAGGAAACGCAGCGACGAACATTCACATCGACTCTGGACGGGCTACGGAAAATCGCACGCAATGAAGGCACATTGACACTATGGCGCGGACTCAGCCCAACTTTGATGATGGGAATTCCAGCCAATGTCATCTATTTTGCTGGATACGACTGGCTGCGCACGGATGACCGCAGTCCCATCAAGCAGCGACTCGGGGAAAGCGGCGCGCCATTAGTGGCAGGCTCTATCGCTCGAGTCGCGGCAGCGGCAGCAACCAGCCCATTGGAAATGTTCCGCACGAGACTGCAAGCGACCCCGGGGACGGGTGCGAACCACTTCAAGACCACCATTCGGGATCTGTACCACATGACGCAAGCCAAGGGATACAGCTCCCTCTGGCGCGGATTCACGCTTACAATGTGGCGCGACGTACCCTTCTCTGGCTTGTATTGGTGGGGATACGAGGAGGTGAAAAAGACTCTGATCACGGCGCGCTACCCACACCTCGCGGAGTCCGATGACAGACCACAGGAGACCACAACCCAAGCCTTCCTCGATAGCTTCATCTCTGGAGCTGTTTCAGGTTCCGTGGCAGCATTTGTTACCACACCCTTTGATGTCGGAAAGACGCGACAGCAAGTATTTCGACACTTGGATGATGGGGCTCTCACTGGCCCCCCGCGACCGGCGCTACACCCGGGCAAACTAGCGCCCGAGCAGCTCTCCCTTCCGAATTTCCTCATGCACATTTTCCGTGAAGAAGGTACCGCCGGTCTGTTCCGTGGCTGGACGGCGCGATGCCTGAAAGTTGCCCCAGCCTGCGCCATTATGATCTCGACCTATGAGCTTGGAAAGCGCATGGCTCGGGAGGTCAACGAACGTCGACTCTCTGACGCATGAAATATGCGCATATGCACCCTGTAAAATACTGCATGTGATCTTACGGTCGCTTTGGCGTTTTCGACATAGCTCATAGAGTAGCACTTGAGCTTTTGGTTTTACTGGAAATTTTGACGCATTTCTGTACATATACTTAATGGACATCTCTCTATCTCTATTGACTCATTTCCCCCTGCACAGCACAGCCAACTGGGTGAGGGTGATCGGGGCGCAGATGATCATCCGCCATGGCCCCATGAGGCTGAGAGCCCCCTGGCTTCTTTTAATTCCCCGCAGTTCTCATGAATATGTCCTCAAACAACATTATGACTTCAAGGCCCCGAACAGAGAACAGGCACTCGTGGTTCGAGCATATTGCGGTGGCAGGAGAAACCAACGTAGAGTAAGTATACGGATTGATCGGAGGATATCCAACTAACCGTTTATAGCATCGTCGCTGTTCCACCCATCGGCGCCTACCATAGAAAGACATGGACAGCCCATGGTGCCAAATCATCCTGGTTAGACACAGAATTGCTTCAACATCTGCCTCGCGCTCGAGTCCTTCTATACAACTATGGCGAACTCAATGAACACGATAAAATCGACTCTCTAGGTCAACAGCTGCTGAACCAACTCCTAAGTGAGCGGAAACATGATGTATGCCCCCGTTGACCATATTTGATCTATATCCTCATACCAAAATAGAGCTCCCGACGGCCAATATTTCTCATCTGCCACAGCACCGGCGGCCTCGTTGTGAAAGCCGCCCTGGCCCTGGCATCGCGGGCCGAGCCGAGTTCCCTACTCACGAGCTGCTACGGCATCGCATTCTTTGCAACACCGCATCAGGGGTCCACCTATCTCTCCGCTGAGGAGTATGCAACCAGTATCCGCCATGTGTTGCATCTGGAACACGAGAGTCCCCACGCTCTCAGAGAACAGTTCCGTCCCCGCCAGGAACGACTATGGCATCTGTCTAACCAGTTCAAGACCCTTTCCGCTGATATGAAGGTCTGGTCTTTTCTCGAGACTATTGACTCGACCATGCATGTTATTGACGCAGAGACCAATAATGTACTGGAATTTCATGTTCCCATTACCTCTATTCGGTCAGGATTACTGGATATCGAGCATGAGAAAGAAGTGCCCATGGCAACAGACCATGCAGGGACGGCGACATTCCACGGACAAGATTCAACTCGGGAGACATTCCTGAATGAGCTCAAGGAAGCTGTAACCATTGCAGTGGAGATATCGAGACATGAAGATACGCCGCTGGGCGTAGAAAAGAAAGTAATGGTCCAAATCAACGGTTTCTTCGAAGATACCGCGCTGGGTGTCAGTGACGAAAGTCCACTAAAACTATGGTCAACCAAGGTTTCTTTGGAAGACTACCTCTCACGAGGGCCATCAGCATGTCTCCGAGAAAGACTAGGTCGAGTCCAGCCCAGCGGCTTGGACGATTCATCCATCAGCAGCTTCGACAGTCCGCGCTCCTCATATATCGCCTCAGCATCAGACCCAGCTGAGCATCATGAGCACCATGAGGAAATACGCCCGTTGCGTCCACCCCTGCCGTACAGTCAAAGCTTTGAAGATGCGGCTCATCCATCGCCCAGAATTCATATTACTGAAGCGGCTATGGATGGTTATTTTGAGAGCCCGCCAGCTGAAAGTCCACCGCCAGGTCGCAAACAAAAAATCCAATCACGAAGGCTTTGGGACTTATTCCGCTGAGGTCGCGTTCGCATTCGCATCGACGGAGTGCTTCGGATAGTAGTTCTCAAGGGAGTAGTTCACGACCTGCCTCGTAAGTATAGTCTCTGCGGCCTTCCATCCTTCGGAGACATTAAGCTCTCGCTTGTATAAATAACCCTCAGCTCACGATCATTAGAAGCTCCACATCACCACCAAGGCAGTCCGCATTCCTGACGATTCCAAAGTCCACTCGAGACCGAATCAATCAAAACGCGGAGGCACCGGATATTCCTCGATCGGTGCCACGCTTTGATAGACCTGAACCTGACACCGAGAAACTTGTCTGGATTCATGTTCCTTATACCCATACCGGTTGGGTATCACAGGTTATCCGACGAGCGTGCCAGGATAGCCAAGATCCCAACTTGTAAGACCTGCCGTTTCATTGACAAGATCCCATGACACTAACCATACTTTGCAGTCTACGAAAATACATCAATGACAAGAATTGGTATCTTCGGCTCAACAGAGCCCGCCATCTTGAGCCTCATGCCCGTTTTGTCCGGCCGGCGTGCATTCATTCAAGGCAAATGGATATTTTACAGGGGACTCCAGGCGCCACAGAAGATCCCCAACTCGCTCTATATGTATGTTGACAAATCCCTATCCTCATACGAAAATGATGCTAACAAATACCTCACAGGTTCCATATGTGAGTACCCCTCCACCACTCACCTCGCTCTATACTGACCTGCCAGCTCCACTGGGACACATATCGCAACCTAATTCAACGACGGAAAGTAGTAGCAGACCGACTCCAACAAGGCCGATCCCGCCCAGTTCCAGGCCGAATCTCCAAAGCAAGCCTAGAGGCCCAACTAATATGGACGTACCTCGGCTGCGAGCCACCAGTCCATTTCAGACGCACCCTCGACCAATTCGGGTACCCGAACCTCCGCTCAACAATTGCACGCGATGATGACCAGATGCTATGGAAACGAACGCGCAGGCCAGCACGTATTGACGAGCAACTTAGACAGTATCTACAGTCAACTCAGGATGAAGGCGATGAATCGGAATATGGGGAGTTTATGGATGGGAATGTGTTGATGGTTGATCAGCTTTGGCTTTGGATTGTTGATTCGAAGACTGTCGTTACTTTCTTTCCAAATCAGGAGGCTACGACTTCTGAAGGGAAGCTGTTTGAGCAGTCTAATTTGCATAGTAGTATTTACAACGAGTTGAATGGGGATTTGGCGAGGAGATTTGAGACGGCTGGTGATTTGGCGGCGCTTATTATGTTGCATGCTGTTACTGTTCTTTTGGACAAGACTTTGCATCATGATTTGCAGGTACTGAGGATTTTTGAAGAGTCGATTAGTATTTTGGTGGGTTCTTTTGACTGGTGTTTTCTATGTGGTTGGTATTTGCTAACATGGGCAGACTGAGTCGGTCACGAAATCTTTCAAGCGCTTCCGCAATAGAGGCTTCACTAATCGTCCAGCGGACCACGATCGTACTAAAGATGGCAAGATTATGACAGCCGCTCAGCGAGACTACCGCGAACGTCAGGTTGCGAAACGGAATCGCGAAGATCTATCTGTTTTACTTGAACTACGGGATATCGAGGACGAGCTGTCCACCATACTCAAGCTACTCGATCAACAAGACACTGTTATCAAGAGTATGATCAAGTACTTTGACAGTAGAGGATATGGCAAGGTATTCCTCGACACAGCACAAGGTCGAATCGACGAATATCGTTCCCAGATTAGCGAGATGAAAGAAAATAGCCATCTAGCTCAGAAAGCAGTGAGTCTAATACCCGCAATCGATTTTCCAACACTAAATACTAATCCATCAGGTCGAAACTCTCCTCGATCTCAAACAAAAGCAGGCAAATGTTGACGAAGCCAAAATGGCCCGATGGCAGGCCGAAGTTACGCAGACCCAGTCGCGTGCAGTAATGGTGTTTACAATTTTCTCTGTAGTGTAAGTCCACTATTTCACCTGGAGCACCGCAAGGAATCTAACAAACCAAGATTCCTCCCACTATCATTCTTCACCTCGCTCTTCGGCATAAACGCCCGAGAATGGAGCGGCCAGGATACAAACCTGAAACTAGGCCAGATGCTCAAGATAGCAGGTATGCATTACTTCCAAGTCCAAGTCCATACCTATATTAACATAGATCTACAGCACCATCCTCCTTCGCAATAATATTCCTCTCCCTCCTGCTAGCGTTCAGCGAAACCCTGCGCGAAGCAGTCTCCAAATCCCATAAGATAAGCATAGGCCTGGTCAAAGAATTTATCCTGCACCCCGTCAAAACAGGCCTGCATTGGGAGGCAATCACGCAAAGAATGCCTGATATGGTTGTTCCAGAGAACTCGAGTTTGAGGAAGCGGTTTGATGATTATCTGGGGTATGGGCGGAGAAATATGCAGCTTGATGAGGATATTTGGCAGAGGTGGCAGGAGGATCGGTTGGGTATTGGGTCTGGGGCGCTTGGGGATGGGGTTTGGAAGGGGAAAGGGAAGGGGATTGGGGGAGAGAAGAAGACGGGGAGGCATTCGGAGGGTATTAGGACTGGTAACGGTCAAGTTTAGATTAAATGCGTATTTTCTGTTGTCTTCTTAGGTGGGTGTTTTGCACCTGTGTATTTTAACTATGATTCTTCGTTTATTAATGGGAAAGGTTGGGTACGTGTACCTACCTAGCTAAGTATAGAGTGGGTGCTGCTGTGAACCCGAAAGTTCTACCCCGTGGATACCATCGCCTCTCTCTCTCGGACATTAGGATATCTTTCAGGGAACTGGTCTAGCTGTGTGTGAACCGACGCTCTGATGGCACGATAATGGAAGTACGCCTGCATGGCGTGAGAACAAGTGTAAGTAGAAGGGCGCGCGGTGGAAGGTTTAGGGAGATATCCCATTTCAATTAATTTAAGGCATGCTATTTCAACAGGCGGACCCGGTTTTAAACCCACTAGACGCCATAATTGTTCTACCTATTCACACATTGTGTTGGTATAGATCATTTCACTCCCCGATGAGTAAGCGGAGAGAGGGTCGAGTAGCCAATGATATCGATTGGTTCTGGTAAGAATGGAGCCTCGGCTCCATTGGGACTAGTCTCCCTGGACACCTCTCAGGGGGTTAGCCCCGGATCCCTCCGGACGGTTGCATGCTTAAATGAACCTTGACACCAGAATTGAAGGTTGTCACCCCAAACTCTCTCGTTTCCTTTATTAGGTCTCTGTCATTATGGCTGAACATCCTTCTTTTACCCTTGCCGCCCTCCGTAAGTCATCCCGGTGCGTGGATCGAGTGCAAGTTACTGATTATTTATGACCAAAAATCAGTGCCTGCAGGAGGTGTCTTTGGATACATGCGGACCCGCTCAGCACCCTCGTTGATCGCAGGTGTTGGCCTCGGACTCTCATATGCATACTCCGGTAAGTTCGAATCAAGCAGTACGCCATTATAGGCAGCAATCGACCACCCAAGCTGACCAAATCGCCAGGTTATTTGATTAAAGAGAATCGTGACTACGGCACCGAGCTTGCCTTGGGAAACAGCGTACTCCTGCTGGGCTCTGCAATCCCTAGGATCATTAAAACGGGGGCTAAGGCCCCTGTGCCTTTGGCACTCGGTGCCACTGGCTTATTGGCATCGTACTACTACCAGAAGAAGGTCAGAGAATTTCGATTTGGGGTCTAGTATTTACAATGTCAACCAAATTTGGCATTCTGGTCGCGGATGCCTGGACCCTTGAAGTATCGTTTACGGAGGTCGCGGGGCCATAACGGAAGCGATTCAGTCGATGGTCGAGGGATTCCAAGGAGGCAACCAAAAACGGATTGCCAATCTTGGCCGTGGTGAGTTCAAACCCTCTTTGTTTCTATTGCAGCCCCAAAGGCTTACGCTCTATACCGTTAGGGGTCGGTCCTTCCGTCAAACCGGAGGATCTAGCATTTTTCTTTGAGATCCACCGATCGACCGCTTCATGATCGTTTGAGTGTTCTGCTTGTGTGAAACTATTCATGATAACAAGTAATCTCTGCTCTTAATTTTGATACATGCGCGCTGTAATATGGATTGATAGCCTTTTATGATACCATGGAAACCACATGGATAAGGTAAATCCGGAGAGTTAATGTTGAAGTGCCCTTATTTAACCAAAAGCCCTGTACTATCATCGAGTCAGTAATGATTTACATCAGGTCTATAGCGTGATACTGCCGTCGTCTTTGGCAAAAAGGGCATTCGATATCAATCACTAGAGCATTTCCCTTAAGACTATAGCACCCTTACATACATAAAGGAATTATCATCACTGGCCAGCAACGCTTATTGCAAGAGCAAACAGGGTAAGTATGCCTACACTGATTTCTTCATTGGCTCTAACCAGGATATGACTATAATTACCAAAGCCAGGGAAAGACAAAACGAATGATGTGATAACTTGGATACTTACAAGACGATAGACATTCAAATATCTCTTCTGAAACCACTGCTAGGTTTTCCGACATTCATTTACTTCATAGTAAGAACCGACGACGTCGTAGATTATAGCCCAGACGCAGCTCAGACCTGCCTGCTATTTGGAAACCGAACAATGTCAATACCAAGCAAGACAAAATAACATAAAGTGATACAAACCGACACTTGATCCAGAGCTCCTAACAAGCAAAACAAAAAGAACCCCTCACAACAAAAAGATGTGAATTACTAACCAAACATGTAATTTCAAAGCTTCCACAAACTACACCACTACCACCGCCACACCATATCCCAAACCATTCCTAACTCTCAAACACCCTTCGAAACCCCCTTCTCAAACTCAACAAAACAAAGCCCATCGGGCAATTCCAACTTCGCAAACTTCTCCCGAGGAAAAGGTTCCGTCTCGCCCGTCTCCACATACCCGCGTCGAGCATACCAAGCCCTAAGCTGCACACGATCCGAAAGCGCATTCAAACTAAGCCTCTCAACACCCCAAACGCGAATACAGTAATCCTCCCCATAATCCAGGATCTGACGGCCGCTACCACCGCTGGCATGTGCTGGGGTGACGGCGAGCAGGGCGAGGCGGCCTATGTCTCCCGCGCGTTTCGAGACGCTGATTGTTCCGACTAGGTTTTCATGGTTGGTCTTGTTATTGTCGGTTGTGAATGCGAGTAGCATTTCGCTGTCGGGTATGGTAAGGATGGTTTTTATCTCTTCGGTTGAGATGCTGAATGTTGCTGATAGCCCTAGATTGTCTATCCAGCCTGGGCGGGTGTCTTGGGCGCGGAAGGCGGATTCGATTAGGGTTTGGAGTTGGGGTGCATCTTCTGTTGTTGCCGTGCGGAATTGGAGTTGCATTTTGGTGGATTAGGTGGGTTGGGATGGTTTGGGGGGTGGCTTTTTGCCCCCTCTCTGCTATATCAGGATAAATATGAGCAGGATTTCCTATGTTATATGTATTTATGTAGGCTTCATGGCGCGATGCAACGGTGTAATCGTAAGGGCGGGATGTCGTGGGAAAGGCGGGTGCGGGATTTTTGTGTAGCTTTAGCGCTTACTTCGAGGTCACTTGATATCAACAACTAGAGGGAATGAGAAAATTGGTTTTGAGAAATAAATCATAGCATTGAACGCAGATGTCTCGTGTACTGCTGGAGATCTGTTTTCGGGGATGGAAGTACACCACATACGCCAGGTTGTTTATAATTGCTTCCTGCATCCCAAGCGAACACCAAATCGAATGATAAAGTAGAAAGAGAAAAGAAATATTGTGAAATACACAAACAGTAGATAGCTCATTGGAACCTGGTAAACAAATATTTAATGACGGGGGTATTTGAACAAAAAGAGAGAATGAGAAACGTAGATCCGGGGACCTGAGAGATGAAAGGAATGGGTGTGTCGAAGAGAAGATCAAGAACACAAACAGCAGAACAGACAAATCCTCACCCCTCAATAACGGGCAAAGACGCAAGATTCATCGCAGAGCACTTAAGAATGGTCTGCATCATGCGACTGGCATCCAACGGCTTTGAAAGATAATCGTCCATACCGGCCTGGATACACTTATCCCGATCCCCAAGCATAGCATGCGCGGTCAACGCAATAATAGGAGTGCGTGGCAAGGCATTCATCTTCTCATAGTGTCGGATATTGCCGGTAGCCTCGAACCCGCCCATGACAGGCATCTGGACGTCCATGAGAATAACATCGTAGCGATGTTGCTTGACCTCATTGACGGCCTGCAGACCATTTTCAACGACTGTAACGTTGTGGTTGAATTTTTCCAGGATGCGTACCGCCACCTTCTGGTTCACATCGTTGTCTTCTGCTAGGAGGATTGCTAGTGAGCGTGTATATCCTGATGGTGTGCGGGTTGAGCGGTTTCCTAGGGCTGGAAGAATTCCGTTCCAGAGGTCGATTGGTCGGCAGGGGACTGTTATGTAGGAGGCTATGCCTAGCTCGCCGGCTGTGCGGAGGGTGAGGGTGACGTTTTGGGCTGTTATGACCAGTGGGATTGGTTGGAAGGTTGAGTGGGCGCGGAGCTTTGCTGCGATTTCGAGGTTTTCGATGAGGATAGCGTCGAAGGAACCGCCCCATTCGCTTTGGAATTGGCCATTTTCTAGCTGCTCTTCCGTGACGATCAGCGGATCCAGGCCGAGTTCCATTAGGAGCTGGGCGATTGGGAAGCTGCGGGCGAGACCGTGGTCGAGGAAGAGAACACGTCGGCCACGATGTGGGAGGAGTTGCTCTGAGAAGCTTGGTGGAGGTGGTGCGACTTTCACTCGACAAGTAAAGGAGAACGTACTGCCTTTGTCTACAGTTGAGGTCACCCAGATATCTCCGCCCATGAGGGAGACTAGGCGTTTTGAGATGGCGAGGCCGAGGCCTGTTCCGCCGAACCGCCGTGTCATTGATCCGTCTGCCTGTTGGAACTTATCGAAGATGAGACCGAGTTTGCTCTCTTCGATGCCGATTCCGGGGTCACAGACTGAGAATTGGAATGCTGTCTCATCGGGTTCGCATAGGCTGTCGTCCACTCGCTTGATGGCCACTTTGATATCACCGTTGTCGGTGAATTTGATGGCATTATTGACGAGGTTGAGCATAACCTGACGTAATCGATATGCATCTCCAATGAGGAAATCGGGGACCTCTCCGTCTACTGTGTACACCAGACCCAATGCTTTCTCGTTGGTTTCCACGGTGAGAGCTTTCAATACACTAAACACAGTGGACCCCAGGCTGAAAGGCATCTTTTCGATCATCATATGATTTGCCTCGATTTTAGAAATGTCGAGGATATCATCAATGATAGTCAACAGGCTGATGGCGAGGCCATGGACCATCTTGAGTGTTTCTCTTACAGAGGCTTGCAGTTCGTCGGTGTCCAGTGCCAAGCTTGAGAGCCCGATAATGCCGTTCATTGGAGTCCTGATCTCATGACTATATGGCAGTTAGCATGAGTGAACAGATTACAATTCAGAAAATTTTGACTTACCTCATATTTGCCAGGAATTCAGACTTGCTCCGATTCGCCAACTCGGCCGCTTCACGCGCAGCAGTATTGCGCTGAATGCTATCCCGCAAACTCGAAATCATCTTATTGATCTTTTGTTTCAAGTCATCCATCTCTCCTGAAGCCGAGACAGTTATCAATTTGGTAAAATCACCACTCATCGCCGCCTCAGTAATCTCTCCAAAGGCACGAACCTGTGAGGTCAGGTTATCAGCCATAGTATTGACGTCTTCACTGATCGACCTCCAGATTCCATGCGACCCAGCAACATTCGCCTGTCCACCGAGTTTTCCACGGACTCCCACGTCCCTCGCGACGCCTTTGAGTTCCTGTGCAAACCCTCCTAAGCCATCCACCATGCTGTTGATTGTTTCTTTCAGTGTCAAAATTTCACCCTGGGCGTGGACTTCAATCTTGGTACTCAGGTCGCCACGAGCAATGGCCTGGGTGACATTTGAAATTTGTCGCACCTGGAACGTGAGGTTCTGAGCCATGGTGTTGACATTATCGGTCAAGTCTCGCCAGCGACCTTCAACATTCTCGACCTGCGCCTGGCCACCAAGTGTGCCGTCCGTACCAACTTCGCGTGCAACACGGCTAACTTCAAACGCGAACTGATTCAGCCGGTCAACCATCGCGTTGATCGTAAGCTTCAGATCCAAGATCTCGCCCTTAGCATCGGCAGTAACCTTCTTCGTAAGATCACCACGAGCAACAGCGGTAGTCACATCAGCAATCTCACGAACCTGCTGCGTAAGATTCATAGCCATGCGATTCACATTGTCGGTAAGGTTTTTCCAAGTCCCCTCAACACCATGCACAACAGCCTGACCACCAAGCACACCATCCGACCCAACCTCCCTCGCAACACGACTAACCTCAAACGCAAACTCCCTTAACTGATCGACCATTGAATTGATAATATTCTTCAACAACAAAATCTCACCCTTGCAATCCGCCTGCACCTTGCGCTGCAGATCACCCTTGGCAACCGCCGTCGTGACAGTAGTGATATCCCTCACCTGAGTAGTAAGATTGTTGGCCATGGCGTTAACATTGACAGTAAGCTCATGCCAAATGCCCTGAATACCCTCAATCTTCGCCTGACCACCAAGCACACCCTCAGTCCCAACCTCCCTAGCAACCTTCGAAACCTCCTGACTAAACACCTGCAACTGATCCATCATGGTATTAATAGTCTGCTTGAAGGTACCAATGTCAGGCGACATCTCGAGCGGATGCATGCGAGCCCGCTGCGACAAATCACCATGCGCAACCTGCGTGATGATCTCGCCGATCTCCCGCAATTCCTTCTGGAACGCTTCATTGATGTGGGTGTGTTTGCGGAGTTCGTTGCGGAGGTGTGTACATTCGTGTTCGGTGGCTGCGATGGAGGAATGCGATTCGCGACGGTAGATGAGTTCGTCGACGATTAGGGAGATGAATTCGCGTGGGACGGAGATCTCGGGACTTTGTTGGTGTTGCAGGGCTGCCCGGGCTTGCATCAGATCTGCGTCGCTAACCAGTGCCGGCCGCGCCATGTCCACCATGGTTGCCATCTTGGCGATCGAGGCTGGATTGGAGGTTTGGTTTTGGTCCGGTGTGTTTTCATGTAATGCGGCTAGTGAGGATTAGCGATGGGACTGGGACTGTTGCACTGGACGGGGATGGCTTGTACAGGATGGTATGGACCCCACGGGTGATGTTGCTTGGCCAGCAATATAGAATCGTAGGCACTTTATGCATTCCCAGTTGCAGTTTCAGAGGGAGAGATCGGGAAAGTGAAGGATACGGGAAGAAGGAAGAAGGAAAGGACAAGATATCCCCGTACCCACCCGCGTCAGGTAGCTTTCACTAGTCTGGTCCTTATTTTCCTGTCGCAGGAAGACATGTTCACATAGCCCAGTTCCCCCTCATACCAGTGTTTTGGGTCTAGACTCAAATGGGCGCAATGGCTTGCTGCACGGCATCATTTGGTCCATATAGCCGATCTTATAGGCCAATGGGATGACGCGGCACGGGGCTTCGTCGACTTCACGGGCTTCGTGGGCTTCGTGGGGAGGAATTTGAACGTGAACATTTACGATCTATAACATTTGAGGGTCTTAGAACCAATCTCGGAACACATGTCGATCCTGCTGATCGAGTCTGAGAGCCAAGACGATTTGCTGCTGCTACATTGGTGTCAGACGGAAATTACTTCCGGCCAATCGAGACAGGATTCGAGCGCACTGCAAGGGACTCGTAATGGAACTGCATCAGATGGAGTTCATTGATGGTATACATGATATAGTACAGATGTGGAACTCTTTTGTCAGGCTCCAAGAGGGGAGATGGGAGAGGGAGAACAGTCCATGAGAATACAGGTATAGAAAAAGGCAAAAAAACAACACCAAGTAGAGACACAAGAAAAGACATTACACAGATTCAAGTAGTATCAGAACAGGCTACGATGCAAAGACGCTCGATGGTAATTCTTCAGAGGATGGGGGAAGGGTCAGAGGCTTTAGAACATGCCGCCGCCCATGCCGCCCATACCACCCATACCACCCATGCCACCGCCAGGGGCGGCGGGGCCCTTCTCCTCAGGGGCCTCGACAATGGCGACCTCGGTGGTACCGAGGAGGGAGGCAACACCGCTGGCGTCAACCAGAGCGGTGCGGACAACCTTCAGGGGGTCGACGATACCGGCAGCGATCATGTCAACGTACTCGCTCTTGGAGCTGTCGTAGCCGCGGTTGAAGTCCTTGGCGTACTCGTCAGTCAACTTGCCGACAATGACGGAGCCTTCGAGACCAGCGTTCTCAACGATGGTGCGAGCGGGGCGGGTGATTGCGCTCTTGATGATGCTAACACCGAGCTGCTGGTCGAAGTTGGCGGGCTTGACGTTACCGAGACCGTTGGCGGAGGCCTTGAGAAGAGCGGTACCACCACCGGGGAGAATACCCTCCTCAACGGCAGCGCGGGTGGCGTTCAGGGCGTCAACGACTCGGTCCTTCTTCTCGCCGACCTCAACCTCCGAGGCACCGCCGACCTTGATGACGGCAACACCGCCGGAGAGCTTAGCGAGACGCTCCTGGAGCTTCTCCTTCTCGTACTCGGAGGTGGTGGGGTCAGCCATGACACCACGGATCTGCTCGCAGCGCTGGGTAATGTTGTCCTTGCTGCCCTCGCCGTTCAGGATGATGGTGTCCTCCTTGGTGATGGTGATAGCTCCAGTGGAGCCGAGCATGTCGGGGGTGAGCTTCTCAAGCTTGATGTCGAGCTCATCGGTGAAGACGGTTCCGTTGGTGAGAATAGCGAGATCACCAAGGATGCTCTTGCGGTTGTCACCGAAGCCGGGGGCCTTGACGGCGGCGACCTGAAGCTGACCACGGAGCTTGTTCAGGATGCAAACGGCGAGAGCCTCACCCTCAATGTCCTCGGCGATGATGACCAGAGGGCGGCGGAGAGTAGTGGAGGCCTCAAGGGCGGGGAGGATGTCCTGGACAGCGGAGATCTTCTTCTCGGAGAGGAGGATCAGGGGCTTCTCAAACTCGACCTTCTGGGACTTGGGATCGGTAATGAAGTAGGGGGAGGTGTAGCCGCGGTCGAAGCGCATACCCTCGGTGACTTCGAGCTCATCCTCCAGGGTCTTGCCCTCCTTGACGGTGATGACACCCTCCTTGCCCACCTTCTCCATGGCGGTGGAGATGAGCTTACCGACGTGGGTGTCACCGTTGGCAGAGATGGTAGCCACCTGGGCAATCTCCTCACCGGTGGTGATGGGGCGCTTGTTGGCCTGGAGGTAGTCGACAACGGCCTCAACAGCAGCCTGGATACCGCGGCGGAGATCCATAGGGTTGCATCCAGCGGCGACGTTCTTGACGGTCTCGGAGAAGATGGCACGGGCAAGGACGGTGGCAGTGGTGGTACCGTCACCAGCAAGCTCGTTGGTCTTGGAAGCGACATCCTGGAGGAGGCGGGCACCGAGGTTCTCGAACTTGTCCTGAAGCACGATAGCCTTAGCGACGGTCACACCGTCTAGGGTTTGTTAGCCGTCGGATGTCTGATTGTCGGAAACGAAATCCTTACCCTTGGTGATCTTAGGGGATCCGTAGGGGGAGTCAATGAGGACATTGCGACCCTTGGGACCGAGTGTGGAGGTAACAGCCTTAGCAAGAGTGTCGACGCCCTTGAGAAGGCTTGCACGAGCCTCAACGCCGAACTTGAGCTCCTGGTTGTTGTTAGCAAGGTACGGTAAATGACTCCGGGATTGATGGAAGACAAGCCGACCAACGGAATTGGTAGAACTTCCATCCCAATTGAACGCACCTTGTGAGCAAAACGCTGCTGCTGGAGGTTGACAGTCGAGCGGGCGAAAGGGGCGCGCTTGGAAGCGGCCGAGAGGACAGAAGTCCGGGCGGAGAGAGCGCGCTGCATGGCTATGGAAACAGATTAAAAGGAATTAAGGGAGAGAGGAATATGAAATCAACCCAGAAGAAGTATGGGGTTGGGAGGAGATGGAAGAAGAGAAGAAAGCTGGGGAGAGATGAAGCCAAAGTCTCGAAAATTTTCCCGGATCCCCAGAGCTTGGCGGAAGAAACAGCTAGAACATCACGTGATGTCCCGAGGGTATCTCGGGAGAACGGCAGTAGAAAACTGCAGATGTAGTAGATTATATATGGAGTAGATAAGGAGATCGAGGGAGATCAGTATGCTCTTCTAATTTTGATTGTATCATATGTATTGCGCTATAATCATCAAGCTGCTTATATCTTTGATGTTCGCAAGTTATATACCTCGGGAACTTACTCCGGCTTTCGGCCTGTACAAACTAACTCTGTGCGGCAATATATAGCGATGTCCCATTGTCAACTATATAAATGCCTCCAACGTGTTTAAGGGTATCTCCTGTGGACTTTTCATTTATCTTCCTTGTATGAACTTTCTAATCAAGCCAAAACCGTTTGGATATCCTAGACCGGCACCAAACACCTTCATAGTGCATGCATTGAAGTCCACGGTTACATGTTCATGGTAAACCATAAATTGAGTCACACAGAGAGGTGGTTGTACACCCGTACTTATGCAGTGACTAAATGAAAGATTTGGCTTATTGGACTGCAGGATATATGTATATAAGTCGGGAGCTCGCCCGCCATTTTTCCACGAAGGATCGGGATCAAGCCAACTGGAACATTGAATATTCCCCGCAAGTGGATTGCGTCTAGATTTTATGCTTCATATGTATAGCTCTTGGCCTTGAATGCGGCTGAATTTCGGCTCAGCTCGGAATCAGCTCGGAATCATTACCGATCTTAGTTTTAGTATTACAGGGCTAATAATCGCTCGACCAAAATGTACCTACTAGTCCACTATGTGAGCTGAAAGCCTACCAAAGTCTGGGTATACCAACAACCGCAATACCGCATATACTATCTAACGTCGCCAAGCAGGTAAGTCATGCAGATGAAACGGCTACAGTTCTTGGAATTGCGTTATTTCCCGCTTAGTTGCGACCTTGCTAATGAGCGGCCACTAGATCAGTACTACGATACTATGACTTGGGACGGGGAAACAAATTTTGGAAATACCATTTGGCGCGGGCACGAACCCCCTATTAGGCGCCGAGCACGAAGCCCTATCTCGGGACCCCCGAAGGGGTCCAATGGTAGATACAGATCTGATGATAGAAAGCCCACCCGATGAGAGCTTGCCACACCCTCACCGGGTGGCAGCTAGACTGGGCGCCAGATAAGAGTGACGAAAATTAGGACCGTAGTCCTCTGAAAACTGAAATTGGACCGAAGTCCACCACGACGAGAGTCAGGCCAGAGAAATTACTCTTGGTTCTCCCCCTCGGGCACAAACCACTTGCAGTGGGAAGGCGAGGGCACCGAGTACTCCTCCTCATCCTCCTGCTTCCAAGTAATCTCCTCCGCGGGGCGCACCACCGGGCGGCGGGGGCCCAAGGTCGCGGCCAGCTCCTGCTCAGCGCGGAAAGCTAGCTCGTTAACGGACGGGTACCGATGCGCATCGCGCTGCGCCACGAACGGAAGCCACGCGTCGGGACCAAGGGAGGTGCGTGGGGCGTAGTCCCAAGGCATCCAGGCGTTAGTGGTGTTTGGGTCAACCCAAGAGCCAGGCACGGAAGAGGCGGCAGGAGCATAGGGGTGCTCAACTGCGTAGCGGCTCTCAGATGGAGCGGAAGTACCAAGAGAAGGAGACCAGGCGGCGGGATAAAGGCCAAGGTGCACGGCGCCCTGAGAAACAGGCGTAGCCCGCTGGCTCAAGAGGCTGTCGTTGCCCAAGTTGCCGTGTCCAGGATAATAATCGCCAATGATAACACGACCAGGAGTAGCAGTAGCGCGAGTGGCAGGAGTACGACCAGAGCCGGAAGCCCACTCACTGGCAGGAACATGAGCAGCGCCGGCGGCAAACTGACTAGCAGAAATACGGGCAGAACCATAATCCGTGACGGGATGGGAATCAGTGCTGGCTGCGGCGATGCTGGGCACACGGAGACGAACGATGTTGGACTGGGTGGTAGTTCCGGTAACCTCACTGTCGTTGATATAACCATTAGCATTGTTCACAAGTTCATCTTCTTCATCCTCGTTATCTGCATCAGAACCGAAACTGCGTAGCCAGGCAGCACCTGTACATAACAGTTTCTCCCCAGCTTCAGGGCTAGTCTCTTTGAAGTTGTTCTCAGGACGATCAGAGGAGTTGACTAACCTAGTGTTTGCAATGCGTCCGTCGGCGTTGGACGCAGCACGGCGGGAAGTAGAAGTAGAACCCTTGACGGCGTTCTTGGCATTGGCGGAAGTCTTCTTGCCAGGCTTTCCACGCTTCTCGGGAGTCTCGGGAGTAGCATCACGGGCACGCTTGTTGGACTTCTTGTTCACCTGCTTAGGAGTCATGGTCTCGGATCGCTCAGTGGTGCTGCCACCATTCTTTGGCTTGCGGATGGGGCTAGGAGGCTCCAAAGATCCTCCACGGCGCGCAAGGCGAACCTTGGAGAGGTGCTGGCTAATGGCTCCCGTGGTGGTGTGAGGAACTTGCTCACACATCTTCTTGGCGATGTTCTTCCACGGCAGCTTGACCTTGTCCTTCTGGCAAATGTAAGTCAAGCAGAGGAGGAGATGGATATCAACATCGTCTGTTCAGATCAAAGAGTCAGCCCAAGTTCACAACGTCTTTCCATCAACACAACACGCGCAGATTTTTGGATGCATGCAGATTCCCTCACATGCATAAATCCGGATCGACAACACCGGCAATAATACAGAAAAGAAACCTAACTGAAAAGCGACACTAAAGAAAATAATACATACCAGACCATCTGACCAGACCCCGGTTCTTGCGGTTTGGGCGAGCCTTGGGGCCGGGAGGAGCATTGCCCTCCTGCTCCTCGCCATCCCAGTCACTCTCCTCATCGGTACTGTCCGCATCATCATTCAGAGGGGACTCCTCGGCCTCTCCGGACTCATCGACGTCGGGTTCCTGCTTGATAGGGGGTTGTTGAATTGGCTGAGCCTGATTAGGATTCGCCAGCCGAGCCCGCGTAGCCTGCCGGGTTTGCAGAGCCCTGGCATTGGCCTTTTGCATGGCAGCGGCAGTCGCAGTCTGGTATTGGAGGCGAAGTCGATCGGCCTCGGCCTTGTTGTCGGCCTCAGCCTTCTTCTTGTCGGCGGCTTTCTTCTTCTTTCCGCCAGCCATGATGGGTGGTGATTCTCGGTTTCGATCTGATGCCAGCAGCCATGGTTAGCAATTGTTCATGAAAGGATCAAACGTAATGTATGGTGAATGTGTGGGAAAGTATGGGGTCAAAGGAACATGGCAACAATCGCAGTTACGATCGGACATCCAACAAAAAGTGCAATCATCCCATGAATAGGCCAAACAATGCCAGCGGCACCAGAAGGCACAGAATGAGCCCTAATAGGTGGCGCGCCATTGATGCAGAGCTTATTCAAGCTCATGCCAACCATTTGCCAGCCACAGGAAACAGAACAGCAAGGATAGCAAGGTCCCAAAGCAATGATGACTTGAAAGCTTCCACTGTGCCGCTGGAGTATACCATGAAGCTGCCCAGATGGTGGCACAGTGTACAAAATGCAAAGTCTCAAGCTTGTTTGCATGACCGCCGAAAGACAGCCCGAACAACCAGCGAAATTATGCAAGCTTGTGAGGCTCAGCGTGAACGCTGAGACAACGTGGGCTTGAAACTCCAGAGACCGGCCATCAAAATACCCCGCCATGAGCTCGCGCAGAGCGCTTGCCCATGATTGGGAACTGCGACTGAATGATTGACCACAGGCTTGCAGAGACTGCTAGCTGGATCTTGGGCTGGGGTAGATGCAGATGGGGAAGCACGTGCAAATTGCGATAGTGAATGTGCGAGATCTCGACTATGCAATGGAGGATGAGGATGGGAAGAAGGGTTCAATGAACAGCGACAGCAAGGTCTACACGTGGTAGTCATGCCTGACTGCCACGAGCAAGCCAACATACTTGACCATCGACAGCGTGATCAACAGATCGTTGTGATACCGATGTGCAAGATGTGGCGATGCCAAAGAGCAGGAGGATGGTGATGATGGGAATGAAAGTACGTGCATGAAGGAGATGGGCATCACGATACCTTGAGGAGATGAATGCAACTTACCTGTTGCTTGAAGCTTGAAAGCGATCGACGGTGTGTACGTCGAAAGGAAGGGGGCGCGTATACCCAGAACGCGAGGGAATGGTGAAGGGTGAGAGAAAGAGAAAGGAGAGTGAGAAAGTTTTGGATCGATGGGATTTATGCCGGGGGGAGGTCGAGCACTTTCAAAAAGCTGACCAGATGTGAGGGCGGTCTCTGCAATATTTGCTTCGAGCGAGCTTGGGTATGGGACGTTCGACCTCGAGGCTCAACACGTATACTTCAGGCGTGTCCCAGACTTGGATTGCAACGTTTCGTGCCCACCGCGAGATACAGTAGATAAACGGAATCTCGCAATCGCCTTTTGGAACAACATTCTCAACAAGAAGTTTTGCTTTGTAGGCCCTCAGATGGTTACTTTAGTTGAGGATTGCAACCAACAGGCAGATTGAAGTGCTGAAAGTTGATTATTTTGATAGAACGTTCCGCGATACTTCGACGCTTTCCTCACGGGAACGACCTGCATTATAATATTGGTCACGCAACGCCGCCAAGATAAGTAAAGCTTCTGAATTTTTCCCGGTATCGTAGCAGAGGGCCATTTACTTTATGATGCAAAGAAAAATACTTATTCTGGACATGGTTGTGTTGGCAATTGCTGTTAAAACGGTTCTTGGCGTCCGGAGGTAAAGGCATAGTCGAAGTTGTCGTTAGGGCTCGGAAAGCGGGTGATATCGCCGCCCTCACACCCACACGTGACTCGTCATATGCACGTGATTTACAGGGCGGTGAGAACCGGCATTATTGATCTCATCCCGATACTCCGAGTTCGAACGTTTCCAAACTCACCCGAACCGTTTTTACCCCTTCAATCAACCCATTCACCTCCCATCCGCCTCAAAATGACTGCTGCCTGGAAAGCCGCCGGTTTGACGTATGGATCCACGGCAACCCACGTAATTGAATGCTAACTCGGACTTTAGCTACAACCGCTACCTGGCCATCGCCGCCCGCACCGTGCGCCGCTCTCTCAAGGAAGAGGCCCGCCTCGCATCTGAGCGCCGCGGCCAGATGGACCTCCGTTTCGCCAAGTGGGAGGTTAGTGAACTGCTTCAGCTCCATTTCGGTCCGAATCACAGCTAACAAGTTCATGTTATGAACAGAACGGCAAGCAGGGTGAGGTTCGCTCGCTCGCCCAGGCCAACGACGCTGCCCTCGCCCAGGCCGCCGAGAAATAAGCTATCTTCGCCCGTGAAACGAGAGAATGGAGCTTTTGAGGGATGGATGGCTCGAGTGTGACGGACTTGGGCCAGTTTTGGGCCCGGAGAGGCATTGAACTGTACATGTGTAGCAATATCGGTCTGTCTGGTTGGACAGAGCGTAGAAATCGCACTCGTCTTTGATTTTATACGATGTATAAATTCGTCGCATAGTTCCCGTAAGATATTCATATACTGCCCGAAGTGTGATGGGTTTGATGTCGCACGTCACCATAAGGGCCCGGTTATCGACTGCCCGAATCGCTTTTTCCTCCGCTCACAGTCCCCCACCCTCCCCCTCGATTCGCCGAATTACCTCGAACCCGTCCTGCGGAGCTTTAAATCATTGTCCACGCGAGGATAAGTCGCCAGTGGACTGCAGATCCTTGGATTTTCCTCTGTGATGCTGCCGAACAATGAGGTTCGCGTTCCCCGTCCGCGGGTCGTTCAGTCCGCGGTGCCGCGCGACATCACCGCTGAATTTACAGACGCCGCCTCCAGTAAGTCTTTTCCTCTGGAAACATATCTTCATCTCTAATTACCTGTTGTTATAGAGCTACATGGTGGCCAGCTCGTGAAAGATGAGATGTTCACGCTATTCGAGGCCGTGGGCGCATTGGAGGTGCGTCAGCTTTCTCACCGAGTGTGAAACATACGAGATTGCCACTGACGACGGTCGATTCGATACAGATTATGGACTCCAAGATGGATAGCGGCTATATTGCACCCGGCGAAAATCTTGCGCAGGCGCTAGAAGACAACTACGATGTACGACAGCCATTGACCCCAGAGGAGATTGTGGGCTTGATGGACCAGTTGCTGTGCCATGAGGTGGGAATAAATCCACGTTTGCAATGACGACGCAGTTGCTGATATGATTACAGGTGGCATGGCATAAGGGACACCCTCTGTCGCAGACTCTCTTCACGTCCATCTACCTCGACAGATTATTGTGGCCAGTACCTAGGACGATGGAGGACGCTCGTTTTGACCGTGTTCCAAGTGATTCGCCTTTAGTCGGCCTTGTGCTGCGAGCTTATTGTCTTGCCCTGGTTAAGGCATGCGACCTGGTCCATGCTCGGGTGACCACTGAATATTATTATGAAGTGAGTCGGCTGGTTACTAGCCCGACTGTTGCTAATCTCATTTGCCATTTAGGAAGAGGACTTCGTCAGTCAACTCTACAACCGGAACCTGCTATCTGCGTTCGACATCTCCCACTTCCACCGTCTGCTGGACCAGGCGGTTGCCTGGGTTGGAGACCAGACGGATATTGATGAGAAGCTCAAACAAGCTATCCGATGCAGGCTACTGTTCCGACACGAGCTCCTGTCTGCATTAGATCAAGATCTTGAAGTTCTCGAAACCAGATCGACGGAGAACTTTGCGTCATGTATCGCTCAACTGGGACCTCTGACCGAGTCTGTCTCATTAGGGAAGCCAGTGCCAGAGGCTTTCAGCTTAAAAATCCAGCGCAAGTTGGCGAGCACCGTGCCGCCTCGTCCAATGGTGCACATCAGCCATGATGATGCCCTGGCTCATATGAAACGGTTGTGCCAGGATGCGATAGATATGCAGCAGATGCTTGACTATCGCGGTCCCAGCAATTTTAAGGTATGTGCTTGCAAAAGTTCATTATGGATTTGTTCTGACGAATGTACTAGACTGCTGTCTGGACCTTGCTTTCAAGAAAGCCGCAACCCTCAATCTACATTCGCTGTCTCCTTCAAGCATTGATCGTTAGCAATATGACCATTCTGGGCACCGTGCCTGTCAAGGACTTCTTATTTGATGACTTGGCGGAACTTGTCCTGCCTGCGAGTATACTACTCGAGGCCAACATCGATGAAGTTGAAATGCCTTCCGATCCTCGGTTCCAGATTGCACAGAAGATGGATGGCTTCCTAAAACGATTCGCTCAGCCATTCGTGGATACCGTGCGATGTGCCTGTCTCAACCGTTGTCGTGTCAGGCGGACAATTTGCCATACCATCGTCGATTGGGATAATTTGCAAATGGAGGTCAGTCATTCCCTCTTTTCTTTCGACAACTGGCTGTCATACTAATATTAAAACAGGCGGAAGAACTTGACCTCGAGCTTCGTACATTGAGCGCAGAGCCACCATTGCAATTCCAAGGCGGCGAGCCGACCTGGTCTTTCCCACTGAGCAGCTGGGCATACAACCAAAAGCTTGTCCATTTTCGACTCATTCTCCAGATGGGCTTTGAGCTCTCGATCTATTCCCCAGAAGAGCTACCGGGCATGTACTGGTATCTATCACATGTCTGCTCAACACACCTCGGCCACATTGATCGCATTCGCACGTTCACGGTTGCTGCACGAAAACGAGACCTGATGTCTGCTGGCACGCGCACAGGAAGCTCTTCGCAAAAGGCTTCCGCATTCCACAAATCATTCCATGCTCTGGAGAGACTGACCACCCACATAATTGCGGTCGATGCCTTTGCAATTGCCTTGCATGCATTGTACGTGGTGCTGGCTCGGCACAATGTGCTCCCGTCCGCCTCTTCCTCCCAGGCATATTCCAGCGACCGCCTCCGCTACGAAATCCGCATGAAGCCATTTATTCCCATTACTTTGCCAGAGCTTGTCCCTTACGATGAATACAAGCGCGAGGCGGCCCTCGAGGGTGATTCTGATATCACCATCCTGGAGCGCGCTTCCAAGGCAATCACTGAAGCGAGAAAGGCATGGGAGGCCACCCTTGCCAACGGTGCATTCATCGACGATCCCTCCGCTCCGACTAAGGCGGTTCCTGTAGCCATTGAAGAGGACTGGAAGCGTGATGTCAAGG